GGTCTTAATCGCGGCGTAGAATGAATGGTTCTTCTATCGATATACATGACCTAACGCAACACTGAATGCATGGAAATGAGATGAGAAGAAGCAATCAATTGTATTATTATTATTACTGTTGTTGTGGTTGTAATAGATGAGATGAGATGAGATGAGATATACTTTTTAATAAATGAAGCCTCATGAAATGAATGGCATAGTTATTTATGTTTTTCGAGAATACCATCATTTTCACGAGTAGATACCTAGTAACTATCTATTTTATTAAAAATGAAAATGAAAGTAGAAGTAAAAGTGGAAGTAATAGTAATATTAAAAGTAAAAGTATATATAGAGACTAAATATATACTTTAATACTATACTATTTATTCTATACTACATTATTTATTCTATATAGATATCTAAATAGATATAAATTAATATAAATTGATTATTATCTTTTTCTCTTTCTTTTTTTATATTTATTTATATGTCTCTATATATATATAGAAATATATATAGAAATATATATAGAAATGTATATAGAAATATATATAGAAATGTATATAGAAATATATATAGAAATATATATAGAAATGTATATAGAAATATCTTTTTATATATCTCTCTATATATCTCTCTATATCTCTCTATATATCTCTCTATATATCTCTCTATATATCTCTCTATATATCTCTCTATATATCTCTTTATATTTTTCTATAATATTCTATAAATAAAGGGAGAAGATATGTATCTAAAAGAACTAGATGAATTAATAGATAGATAGATAGATTAATAGATAGAATAATAAAAGATAAAATAAAATAATAATCCCTCTCCCTCCTCTCCTTCTCTCCTCCCCTCTTCAAATAGAATACTCTTCAAATAGAATACTTATATCCCATTCCATTCATTTATTCATCCATTCATCTCTCTACTAGTACTTCGTTCAAATCTAATACTCCGTATATATAGTAAGTAGATAGATAGATAAATAATTACTAACAAGTATATGAGAGTTCTGGAACCTACTTACCGCACATGTAACGCTTTTCTGGCTAAAATATAGAATTATTCAACTTTTTATACCCTAATTTATTTATTATAATCAAAAATAAAATTGAAAATTCTTTTGGAAAATATTATTTAATTAATCAAATTTAATAGAAAAATAAATAGAATATTTTTTTCTAATTTTTTTAAATAGGATTTAAAACAATCAAAATTGAAAACTCTAAATTTTTATGAAAATTCGCTTATTTTATATAGGAAAAACATTACTTGTTAGAATTTTCGAAAATTTTTGATTTCAATTCCAAATAATTAATCAATAAAAATGATAAAAAATATTTCAATTAATTTTTTATATTCGGATTACAATTGTTTATTATTTCTGATTTTTTTCAAAAATAAATACAAAGGTTTCAATTAAATATTAGATTTATTAGTTTATATAAAAAAACTCATTTTTTGCAAGGATTTTGTTACATTTGTTACAGAGGTACAATAAGTAGGTTCCAGAACTCTTACATATAAATATACGCTACTAAACTTCCATCTAAGGACAAGTAAACTAAATTCTAAGCTCTAAGCTCTACGATATTTATTTATATTTATATTTTTATGTCTGTAAGAAATCTACAAAATATCTCGACACCATCTCGAGACCATTTACTCATTCATATACGGTATATTCCTTCAAAGATTAAATAAATCCTACTAATAAACAAACTACTTGTACCCACTCACCCTGTGCTACTAATCTATCCATCCATCCCATTCATTCCTTCCTCTACACTTTCCCCTCCCCCTCCAAAAAAAAAACAAAAAGAAACCCCCACAAAAAGTAAAGTTAGGGTAAGCCCCAACTCGCAGAATGCGGCTTCTGTGGATCGAACACAGTGCCTCCAGATTAATCGTAGAAACCGAAGTGCACTTCAGTCTGGCGCTCTCCCAAGTGAGCTAAAGCCGCTTGGGTGTGTTGTTTATTGATTGGTAAAATGGGGGGTTTAGGCTTATATTTGTGTGGATGTGGGAGGGGTGAGGATGGGTATGGGAATGGGAATTGAGATGTGGGTTGTGGGTGGTGATTGGTTGGATTTAGGGTGGGAAGTGGGGGTTTTCCGGAGGGGGAAATAGAAGGGAGGGGTGCTTGGATTGGTTTGGAGGGATTAGGTGAGATTTGATGTTAGTATTCACTATCTATCTATCGATTAGTCGATGACTTTAAGTAAATAGCTGTCATGCAGATAATCTAGCTAATATACATTTGTATCCCCTAGACTATCAATCCATGGCACCTGTGTAGTCCGTGCACTGAGTAAGAACATCAATAACCTTATAAATAATATTATATATAAAAGTTTTGATATTGTATTTGAAGATCAAAATATATTGAAAAAATTATATTAAATATATCAATTATATCTCTATAGTTTTTTAATTGTGAAATAATGATTCTGAGATTTTATAAATATTATCATATTTCACCTTTGAAAATAAAAGAAATTTATAGACGATTTTTATATAATATATATTAAAAAATATATATCAAATTAAAAGTTTAATATTTATTAAAAAAAAAAAGAATAAATAAAAGATTATATAAAGATTTTAAAAATTTATTATTTATTTTTATTAAGATTATAAATTTTGAATCATTATTATAAAAAAACGTATCAAAATAATAAGAATTCTCAAAATCCTGATGATCTGATTGGTTAATTAGATTCTTTTAAGCGAAGGTGTCATGGAGTGATAGTCTAGGGGATAGCATATCGTATCATCACTCAAATTTCAAAAGTATATCCACCAGGTGATCACATAAGTTGCCTAATGGCAGAATACTCACATAATCAAAAAAAAATCTAAAACCAGCCCCGCGATTACATAGCTAGATAAAGTCTTCGGAGTTTCGTTACATGTATCGTCTCATCTGTTGCGAGTTTCTTTTGATACCGGCTCGACCGGGTGACCTACCTAGGTATTGATTATAGAGCAAATTTTTGCTCGGAATTAGGACGGTTAAGTTTTGAATATCTGGTTCGTTCTTGTCTTGCGATATATATCATGGGAGCGTGATAGGAAGGGGGGGAGTTAATAATCCATGAAAAGAGTATGGGTATGTTGGAAGCTGTCATATCCATATAGGGAAATGGTTTCGTTCAGATCGTTAAAATATGCTTTTATGCGCAATACTGATAGCGTATGTATGCTGTCATAGATATAGGGTAGGGTAGACAAACACGCATCTGGATCTTAATTTTCCATGCGAGCACTTGTCGTGAGAATTCTTCTGGATGTAGAGAGAGGACTCGAGACTTTTCATTATTAGATACAGCAAAACCTCTCCATAAGGATTCCTTTTATAAGGATAATCTCTCTATAAGGATATATTTTTTGGTTCCAAAAAAATTTTGGGCTAAAAATAACCTATATCCTTAAAACCCTTTTATTAGAATATTCTTATATTTCTTGATTCCAGGATTATATATATCTTTATTGAATCAATAAGATTATCAGGATTTTAATTATTATATAATATTATATTGAGAATTTAAATAAATTCAATTGAAATAAAAAAACTATTATAAAATTGATTTGATTAAAATTAATCGAAAGAAAATTATTACTATATCGGGATTAAGTGGAATCTTTATATAAGGATATTTCTATATATTCTTAAAAAAGACTATAAAAACCGATATCCTTATGGAGAGGTTTTACTGTATTATTTGTAAGAGTTCTGGCCCCTGCTCACCGCACATGTAACGCTTTTCCGGCTAAAATATGGGATTATTCAGCTTTTTATACCCTAGTTTATTTATTAAAATAAAAGATAAAATTAGAGATTTTTTTAGGAAATGTTATTTAATTAATCAAATCATATAAAAAAATGAATGGAATATTTTTTTCTAATTTTTTAAATAGGATTTAAAGGAGTTAAAGTTGAAAATTCAAGATTTTTATAAGAATTCGCTTATTTTGTATGGGAAAAATGTTACATGTTAGAATTTTTGAAAAAATTCAATTTCAATATTATATAATTATTCAACAAAAAATAGTGAAAAATATTCCGAAAAAAAATTTATATTTTAATTATAATTATTCATCATTTGTATTTTTTTTGAAAAGAAAATATAAAGATTTAAATAGAATATCCAATATAATAATTTATATGGGAAAACCTCGTTTTTGCGGGGATTTTGTCACATTTGTCACAGGGGTGCGGTAAGTAGGTTCCAGAACTCTTACATTTGTATAGGTATGCTTTGGGTAATATGCGGCATTTTAATTTTGCGTTGCAAAGGGTTCAACAGAACAGACAGTGACTGGGAATTGAATGAAAGCTTCAAAAGTTTCTCTGAAGAGATTGAAAGAATTCGCACTTGCGAATCCGAAGATATATGGAGAATTCACGAATGCGCCATCAGATTTGCTCGAATCAACTCATTCTATCTCAAAGTGCGCATTAAAGTTAAATGCCATATTTGCACTACTCACAGATTTGGTGCATCAATTCAACTCAATGAAGACTCCCTAGAAACAAGAAGACAACACGGTTTACAGCTATTTATTCTGGTAAATACGATCTTTCAGACACAGGAGATAGTCATAGGATGAGGTTCATTTTGAATTATAATTGTCTTTGTCTGGTCTAAGTAAGTACCTAGGTTGGTGGGATGACCTGGGAACTATAGGGGAAAAGAACGACTTTATGTTGAGTGCGAGCCTTTTCGGTGTTGGAAGTCCATCCTGTCTTTGCATTTTCTCATCTGCGAAAGGATTGTTCTAATGATTTATTGTATTTTACTCCTTTTTATGCTGAGATGCATGCAAATCTTGTTATATCTTGTTTTCTCGTTTTTGAAAGACGTACTCCCACCGATAAATATCAAAAATTTTGATGTCAAAAAGGCGAGGAAGGTATGAACGAGAAGCTTCATTCTAGGGGACCTCCAACAAAATCTCTTTGGATCATTACCCGTGGAAACTACAGGCCGTCCAGAGACCCCCAATCAAAAGCCTACCAATTCCTTCCATTCGGCATAACTAGTCATCATATATTGTGACCAACGCAGTCGTCTATGCAAATTCAACTCAAATTTCAATGAATCCACGCGAGGAGCCCACAATTGCATCAAATCTGTGATTTCGAGTCGTTCATCCTCTAATAAATGGTGCCAAAGATAATCTTTCCTTCCACCAGGCCGAGGACATTTGAAGAAAAGCCCACCTGCTAATTTCAACGAGTTACGAATCTTCCTTTGCCTCTTTGTTAAGGCGCCAAATTCAAACTCTTCTTTGAGACGTTTTGTATCTTTGACCGTCGTCATAACACTCATCGCAGCGCGGATTACCGAGAAAATATCATCGTCCATCCAGTTCAACTTTTTTGCCAGTGGGGAAGGATGTTGTAGTCTATATAGATCGGCTGTGTTGAAGTATTTGTACCCGGCTAATCCACTCCAATCTCTTAACACATGGTGGAGTTGGAGTTCAATATTCATTTGGTGAGACGAAACAGATTGCTCGGATTCTGTGTGTAGATTCCAAATTGGGGCTTTCAGTGAAGTCTCGGCGATCTGTTTTGAGAAAAGAGCATAGAGCACATGACAAGTGAGTCCAAGGAGAACAATTGAGCTTGGTGGTAGATTATCTGCAATGAGGTTGATGATGTCCAAGGGGAGATCTATCAGATGAAGGCTGGCTTCTGAAAGGATGTTAGTCAATTCTTACATCATGATCATAGTGTAAATGCTCACCTCGAGAGACATGTCGAGATATTTTCTTCTTTTTGTTCTCGGCAGCCTTCCCTATTTCGCCCTCGTCGTTGGCACCTTTCTTTCCCATATTTCCCTTCATATTAAGATCCATTCGAAAAGTTTTGGAAATTGAGTAAAAGAGAGATACTTAAAATAACCGTTGTTAATCGATTAAAGTCTAAACTCTTACGGTTCGAATCGAAAATGGGACTTTGTAATAGGGAAGAAGTATAGTTGAGTTTACTTTGACTCAGACTTGTGCTAATTAGAAAGCAATGTTTGAGGATATAAGGGGTTACAAAACCGTACGCGACCATAAGCGAGAGGTATAGTAAGGAATACTTTGCTCAATGTGTATACGGTGTTATCTGGGAAGATGATACGGCATGTTTAATGATAATCAATAGTTTATCTCGATATAGATGGAGTTGGATAATGATTCTTACAAATCAAGATGTTTGATCTCTAACTATATGTTTTAATGTATTGGATAAATATTTAATTATGACGTTTAATATTTCGGACTATTCCAACAATATAAGGGTTTGAATATCCAGAAGCAGTTAGAAATTTGAGAATAGTTTAACGTTTCGATTAAATTCAACATCTCAGATAATCTGAATATTCTAATTAGTTCAGGAATTTTGATGATCTTCATTAATAAACTATAATATGGACAGTTGAATACTCTATATTCTACACACTGTGAAGACTATCAAGACTGAATCTCAAAGGTGTGATATTGAAGAAAATCTGATGTGGAATAGCTATCGAACTCTTTCAAATTGTGAAATAGTATCGAAATCACTCAGATATTGCATCGCCACATATTGATAATCGGTTTATGATCTCGAAGACTGTCTTGTTAGGTCATGACACATATCTATAGACCAAACAAGACTACTACGTCGAAAGATAGACCGTGACTGTGGAAAAATTATTTGATTCTTCAATTGATATATCCTCCATTTCGATACTACATCAAACTAGTGAACACTCGCTATTTTACCTAGATTTTCTATATAAATTGCATTCTTATCTCAAGATCTTCTGGCCTGAGTTGTCATCACATTCGGTGTTGAGCCAGGAAATCGATTGTCAGAATATAGTGAATTCTACACAATAATCATACTTGCTAAATGGAAACTTTCTAACAATTCGGGGATACGGCTTGTGTACGGCTTGTGTGTACGGCTTGTGTAAATTCATGTTACGGTGCAATTTGCGCCAACTCCCCACGTTCTATCCCATACAATTTATCGTACGGCTAAGTTATTGAAGATACGCAATGATATCGAGGTATATAAGCATCAAAAGTATCGCTCCTAGGATCGACTTTCTTCTTCTTCTTTTTCTCTATAAAATCATAAAAGTCGAACATCCTGCGACTGAAAGTCAGTTAAATTGTGCTGATATTCAAAGTCTCAACATCAAACCGTTACCATCAAGGATTACTTCACGATCCCGCGATTCAAACTCACTTTACCATCAATTTTTCCCCTTTGCCAGTCACACATCACCATCAAATATGATTAGACTCAACAAGAAAGTTACAAAGGCACTACCAGCCAACCGGGCAACTTATGATGAAGAAGCTGCGGCTCTACATTGTATGACTCTCAGTGAAAAGTTGGATTTCAAGAGAACGCTGAATCAGGAAAAAATAGCATTAAGTACGAAGCTCAACGTGCAAGGTGGATCCAAGACCAAAACTCGTAAGTACCAAAGCATTTCGATTTATCACGTAGCACACTAACTTATATTTTTAGAGTTTGGAACTCCCATCAGCAACTCCCACATCTCAAGATTGCCACAGGAGGTACTCCTTCGAATCGCGAGCAACTTAGACTTCCATGGAAGCCAGAACATAGTATCATTAGCGTTGACTTGTCGAAGCTTTTACCTTCTCTTTAGTGACGATATCAAGCGTGTGAATCTCAAGCAGTTGATATGCCGCTGTACGAACAGCGATCTCCCACAACATGATATGGATCATGGTCACATGCCCAAGTGTCGACCACGCCCACTTTGATCTTCCATAGAGGATTGGACCGGTCTTGAAGGATATCTATATGCTTCTGGGAGACATGATCACTGCTGCCCACGTCAATCAAAACTCAAGGACTGTTATTATTGGTCTCCTCGGGATCGCCTTCATCTGCCCTGGCCAATTGAAACTAGAGGGCAAACTACAATTCGAATCAAGAATCAAGAAGAGGCTACCAGATCTCTTTGCCATGCTCTCTCAGTTGGACTTTTCATCAAAGTTTCCGCGCTGTGCGATACGAAAACAGATTTCTTCATCGGCCGAGCAAAGACATGTCACTACGCGGTCCCAAGTCTCAAAAGAAAAGAATACAAGGCAATTTAGACCGACAAGCGAGGCACTGCTGGGGGAAAGAGATGATGTTGGATTATTCTGAGTGGAGGGAGATGATTGGGTTTTAATCAGGGATGATTTCTACTTGTGCCATTCTACGGAAAGAAAGTGTTGGAAATAAATTGTTGAATCTGGGAACTTTACAGGAATTGGGTGATACAATGGTTCGATCTTATGATCGCTAAATAGAAAATCTTTAAACAATGATTCATAGCGAATACAGACAAATTTTATTCAATCTTGCAAAGAATTGACAAATCAAAAATTGTAGTGATGTGACTTTCAATCTTGCCCTAAAATCCACGTGATCAATTCTCCAGTCAAACTGTAACCTGTTTCATCATGAAAGTGGCTTCAAGTGATATAGTTGGGGTAGGCTATTTTAGCTCAGGGTATCCAAAAGGCCGAATTATAACTCAATGATAAAGGTATTCAAATACCTATCTAAGAGAAATTAGAACTTTGAAGACAGTTCAATAATTCAATCAAATTCAATATCTCAAATGACTTGAACATCCTAATCAACATAGGGGTTTAATAATTTTCATCGTTGGATTGTAGAATATTGAATACTCGGTGAATTTAGTCTTTCCAAACAACCTTCAATGTGATCGTCGGGTAATAAGCTTTTAGCTCTGGACGATTAATCCTTAACAAAAATCACTATTTGAAATTCTAGTGTTTGACGAGAATTTGGTTTCTTGGCATGACTAAACAGTTTGAGGTTGGAAAAGCTTGTAAAGATAAGCAAGAGTCATTATGTATCGAAGTGTGTATAGATTTTATGTGGAAAGCTTTAGGCAAACTATCAATTAAAGTTTTGCACCTTAGAATGCCGACCTGAAACAAACTTTTGTCCATTTTAGGGGAAATTCTGTAAGTTCTCTTCTCTACCATTTCCGTGATTGTTCGAACTCCATAAATTGCGTATGATCTCCCATTCATTGGGCAGCTTTGACGCGTGCACTCTTCATCAATCTCCATCAATATCCAGCCATGGTATAGAAGTTCAACTTGAAAATTGGCTTCTGATAGACTAGTCCATGCTATTCGTTTGTCAAGTGGGGTTGATAATCAATGACTCTTACGTCGCTGAATGTTAGTGAAGTACGGCTGTCTAAAAGTTTTACGGCTAGGCTAGCGATATGATTCATACGGTTGTAATGTCTAGTCACGAAGAGACTAGCTGTATTACAGTACCCAGCTTCTTATAAAGTGCATGCGAACACACCTCCACAGAAGGATGTTCAAGCTACCCTTCAAAATTTCCACATCTACACCACCGAATAACTTTTCAAACTCACAATCTGAATCAACGAAAGATTCGAAGTTATCGTCACTATCAAGCTTAAATTCTTAGAACATTTCATAATGCCATCAGGAAAGAAAGATCATGATTTGATTTCAATGGCGCTTCCCAAACCCGCTGAACCTCTACAAGAATATCATGTCGAGCTCAGTTCCCAAATCTCTGGTAATTTTCTTCTCAATTATGTTGCTCTAATTCCTGTTCAGCTATGCTAACTTATCTCTAGCTATCGAAAGATCTACGCAGCAGGTTACAAACCACGAAAAGAAGTCTATAATTGTTGTTCTACCTACCGAGATCATTGCAAACGTCATGGACATCTTGGTCCCACATTTGGCGTAGTGTTTGGCCTTACTTGTCATGATGTATTTGATGAGTACAAGCGTCAGTACCCGAATTCAGATGCCCTACTTCTGGAAACCCGTCTATGGGATCAAGACTCAGAGGAAGACGTTCAGCACCCACTATTTCGACCATCCGCTCGACTTCATGAACTACTTGGTGAATGGATGGCAAGAGGCGATACCACAAAATACTTCTACTTTCGAGATCAAGCTCTCGGATCATCCGACCTCTTGATGTACTGCGCCACACCAGGATGCGACGTTGGCAAGTTTCTGCCCCGTGACATTTATGGCGAGGAAGCTGATCCTTCTGGCCATGCTTTAAGACAGTTGCTTCTGGCATGGTGCGCCTACGTTGAAATTCAGAGAGGATGGCTACAGTTTCGTGGAGATGATGAGTCTCCACACTATCCTTCTCCGTTTAACATGGGTGGAAAAGCATGGTTTGATGAGATGTGTAGAATTATGAATGTATACAAGAACAGAGAACCAGAACACATATTCTTATACATCATCAGAATAGCTATCGGTGTAGCTAATAAGAAGTATGGCCAAGATTCTTCAGTCATTGAAGCGAGAAGAAAGCAGTTGCGGAAACAGTAGAAAAGACTGTGAGAGTAGGCTTTGTATTATCCAGATCAGTAGTGTGACTGAAACTACTAAAAGTTCTGAAACCTAACTGATATCCCTATATCTTGCATAACCCTGTATCTTGCATACTTTTATTTATCAAAACAAAAATGGATTATAAATCGAAATATTATTATAATTATTTCGAAATTATTTAATGAGAATTTTGGAATTACTTTTATATAATGGTAAAGTTTTGGAAGATTTAAGATATCAAATAAAATATTGATTGATTTAAAACAATATCAATTTTAAATACTGATAATTTAAGAAAAGTTTATATTAGAATTTGTTTATAAGATTTTGGAATAATTTATTAAATTATTTTATATTAATATTATCGAGATAAAGTTTAAAATTTCAAAAAATATTGAAATTCAAGTTTTATAGAAGTTTTGAAAAATATATATGATTTTTTAAAAGATAAAAGTAATTGAAAAATTGTTTTTAAAATATCGTTATATATTTTAATAAAATTTAATAATTGAAAATGATTATTTGAATTTTATTTATAAATTGAAATATTTATATAATAGAAAGTATATAATATAATGATAACAAAATTATATAATAATAAAGTTTTAATTAGAAATAATATCTAATTTGATTAAAAATTAATAAAGAGAAAAAATAATATAAATAAAATATATTCATTAAAGTATTTGAATTAAACGGTTTAATATGGTTTTTCAAAAAAAATTAATAAATGTTTTTCTAATTTTTAAAAGAATTTATTATTAAAAAAAATCTTCAAACTCTATAATATTTCTAGTAATTTTGAATATTAAATTCGATTATAAACTGATATTATAAGTTATTTTATTGAATGTTAATATAAATAATGATTATATATTTAGAAAATTATATCAAAGAATAAAAAATTCAAAAAATTCAAAAATATTATTTAAATATAATATTATCTTATATTTTATTTATTAGTATTTTCCTTATAAATAATTATATATATAATTATAATATAAAAAATAATTGTTTATACTTTTTAATCAAAGTTATTATATAAATATCAAAACATAATTAAAATCTTCTAAAAATATTATAAAATCATTGATTTATAATTGATTTTTATTATAAAAAAGATTAATTCAAAAAATTCGAATTATATATTGGTATAATTTCGAATTTTTAATAAAAAAAACTACTTTTTTTAATTATGTATATTAGAATATATTAGAATTTATATTTTTTAAAGAAATAAATATTCTTTTTTATTTGCAATATTAAATAAATCGATATAAAGAATTTTATGTAATGATTTTTAAAATTAAGATTTAGATTTATATATTAATATATTTGATATTTTAATTGATTGATAGTAGAGAGTATATATTATTCTATTTATTTTATAAATTTTGAGAGAATTTAATGATTGGTTGATTATAAATTGAATTTAGAATATTGATGTGAAAAGAAATAAAAGTGTGCAAGATATAGGGTTGTGTAAGATGTAGGGATATCGGTTACTTATTGTATCTCTATAACAAATGTAACAAAATCCCGGCAAAATTTATATTTTTCTATATAAATTAAAATACTATATAATTAATTCAATTATTGATATTAAATTATAAAAACTTGATAGTAAATAACATGAATTATTTTATTTATATAAAAATTTCTAATTTATTTTTAAGTATTTTTGTTGAAAAGTTATATAAGCTTTTAGTTGAAAAAGTTTAGAATTTTTAATTTGTAATGCTTTTCCTATACAAAATAAGCGAAATTTTCGAAATTTTTCGAACTTTCAACTTTAATCCTTCAAAAATACTATTATAAAAATATTTAAAAATAAATGATATATTATTTTGAATAATTTAAGTAATTCTGAATCTTTCTATAATACTTTATTCAATTTTATTTTATATGTTTATAAATAAACTAGGGTATAAAAAGCTGAATAATCGTATATTTTAACCGGAAAAGTGTTATATGTATAATGAGTAGATTCCAGAACTCTTACATCAATATAAAGTATTGTAAATAGTAGTGAAAGGGTTTCGGGGCGTAATTCATGATTATTGATAATTTTATTACATTATAGTGATGTTGATTAGCTTTATTTTATAGTTATATTATATAATCAAGAAATATATAAGTGAAAGTGGGGATAATACCGATCAGGGGGGGCGTGCTACGTGTGTCCTCTCGCCCCCGAGCCGGCCCCTCCGAGTTTCAGGCCCTGTGTGCATTGCACACGTCATGTATTATTAGTTAGGCTCACGAGTGATAGAATCGGGAAGATCACATGACTAGACAGCAAATTTGATCATTAATTTGGCTTGGTATTGTGTCGAAAACCCAAGTAGTCTTATACTGGAAATTAAATTCTTCACTCTGCTTCATTATGTACTAACTCCTCTTCAACATTGGGTGGCTTTTGTAAATAGTAATCTTCTTCAATGTTATCGCTCTAATAGTAATCTTTTGAAATTAGTAGGTGTTACTTTAGATCAAGCGCTGTACTTCGCTTAGCGTGGGTTTTGGTTTATAGCTATCTAAGAATTCATTCTGTAAATCCAAACGAAACATTCAATGGATGTGAAAATTGATGTATATTGGTTAGTCGAGAGCCTATAATCTTCTTTGGTAGTTGCTTCTCGGTTAACTTTCGTTTGGGATTACACCCTCAGATGACATTGGGGTTGTCTGTAAGAGTCATTCTAGGTCTTCTTAAAGAATCAAAAGATAACTTGTTTTATGTGAGGGTCTTGATATATGATAATTTTCATTCTTATTGCTCAATATTCATGGACAAAAATCTTGTTCGAGTTCGTTATAGGTATCATCGAGTTTTTCTTAATTTATAAAATTCTTGATGTCAAGATGTGATGAGTTTCAGTAGCTTTATTCTGAGATGCAAAATGAGACAAAGCACTAACGGGATAAAAATTGTGAGGACATGTATCTTAAAGATGGAAATGAGCCCTGATAATATAATCATAGAAAACCTTTCATAATATTTAAAACTTTCCATAAGTGATATACCCGTAATTTGAACTGAAACCTAAAGCTAGAGAATATCTCGGCTAAAAAAGTCTATCAAATTTTCAGCCCTTATGACGCCTTAAGCGTATTGAGAGCTTGTTCCTGGATTAGAACTGGGGATCGATCGTTAATTTAATTCGAGATTTTGTATCGATCAACCAATTGAAGACGACATGCGTCTTTCAAAAATCCACACCAAATCTAAAATTTTAATCTTTAAAAAGATTACAGGGAATGCTGTTCCCCCTTTTTCGTTAGAAACTAAATCCTCGAAATTGCCTCTTTAGGAAACCCTCCCCCAGGTGCAATTCTAATAGGCGATCTACAGTGGGATGTTATTTCAATGTGTACTAAATCACTGAAAACTCGATTTCTTTTACTATTTATTCTAAAAAGCTATCACGGAAACCGTATTTCTAAAGATTGACAGGCTTGCCCAGAGGCTAAGAGCAATCTATGATTCTTTGAAGTGAGGATTTAAGTAATATAAATAGAATCAGGAAGTAGAGCACAAGGTCAGGAGAAAAAGATGACAACAATTAGCTGTATTGTCATTCCTTTATTCCTTCATTCTTTTTCTCCTTTTCAATGATATTAAACACATCAGTACCACCACCAAAATAGATTCAATTCATATCAACCTGCAAGCTATGTATGTAGCATTATTGGCATACAGTCTCCTGGTAGTTGATCATATGCGATGGATCGTTCAACAAAAACCGGATAGGATTCTGCCCGTCAACACATCCGTCAACTGCTTTCAGTTTTTACATCAATGGCCGTTCAATTTTTCGAAAGATGGAACCAATGCGATTACTATTATGTTCTGTGTGGGCAGAATTGAACTCACCATTTTGAGACGTCTTTGCTATACAAACGGATATTTCTCGAGCAGAGCTTTACTTGCAGATGTGCTATGTAGACTCTCGGGGCTGGGAGCTTATCCTGCATTTCAAGGTACGTTTCATGAGCAGTAATTGCTAGGGCTCTCACAGTGTTATTGTAATCACCTCATGGAGGTATAGAATGATATGGTATCAAATGGATGAGCTGAGGATACGGTGGTAAGTTCCCAGGAATGCTATTTCACGATTGACTCGTGAATCATGGATATGATTTAGCCGTACACAAACATCCATCTGCTTATATAGGTCACCTCCCGACTCTAATATTTCCCCCTTCATCTTCCTTGACAAAATATCATCTCAGAAGTCAGCGACAAGAATCGGAATTCCTCAAAGCCATCCCAAGTAAAATCTCCGCACAAGCATCACCTCAATTTTCGACGCTAGCACATTGACTAAAAGATAACAAGTCTATTATATCACAGCTTCGTCATCTAGTTGATTTATATCATGGGCGCCCAAATATCGAACGAAAAGCTTTCCAGCTCAAAAATTGGAAACAACAAGAATGTACTCAATCTTTTGTCTAGATCTCGAGCTACAAAACAATCGGGTAAGTGGATTGGCGTAAGATTATTCATAATCACTAGCTAATAACATACCAATAGATTCATCACTGGAGAGGTTACCCGTAGAGATTCTGTTGAAAATCATGCGATCTCTCATCGTCTCAGACGTTTCCATTGCATTCACATGCCCTCGAATGTATGTAATGTTCAAAGACGCGTTTCCGCGACCAATCAGTTTATGTAACACTGGTGTTACCCCTCATATCGATCATCTTGATGCTCTCAAGGTCAAAAAAGTACATTCAAAACTCATCAAGTACGCACCAATGCTGAGTATATATAAGCCCAAAGACTATATATACAGAGTAGTGACACGCGTATGTAAGCCTGCGAGATACGATATCAAACTTGAGGTCCTGTATCGTTTTGAACACTATGGTCGGTTTCTTCGCCGACCATACTATGATAACGAAGAGAATTGCAGAGATCTTAAGGACAAGTATGTTGAATACGAGTTGTATGTCCATTGCTGGAGTAGAAGAATGGGGGAAGTATTCACGTACCCCTACCCGCATAACAAGGGACGAGTCATCTACGAGATGGAAATGAAGCGAGAAATTCATCGATTGCTAGATTCCATGGACGATGCAACTCCTAGCCAGTATATCGAACGTGAGTTCTTTATGAAGGAGTTCCTCGCAATCGGTTCATACAAAGAGATTCAAGACCTAATTCTTGCGGATTTGTCCCTGATACGATATAGTCAATGGAGAGATATGTCGAATTTTTAATTCCAGACGGCGAGGAAACCAAAGCCTCTTAAATCAAGAATTTGGTGCTTTTGAACTCCATTCATATCATCAAGTCAAAATTTCATAGTGGAATTGAGCAAAGAGGGCCTGGAAACGAGTGCAGCGGATGATATGCGCTTATTAGTATAGCAGTAATGGCAGTGCAAAGAAGATTGAGAAGTAGCCAATTTTAAATTTTGTGGAAATTATAACACAGAGAATTGTAAAACGCTCGAAGCAATGAATAGTGATGAAAACCTTTTATCATTGACGAATGAAACTCGGCAGAAACCTTATTTTGGTCTCTTTAAGGGATGTGCCTCTGTATTAAGGACATACTCGTCTAAGCTGATCAAATCTGGATCGGCAAAAATAAGATAGAAGTATTTGAGCGTTTCAGCCATCCAAAAAGATTCCATTCTGTCGGCCTTGGGAGGATTCTCTGAGACGGTACAGTCGTCGAGAGCAGCATGTGCAATATCGGTGATTGTATGTTTAATGATATTGTTGAACATCGTCCAAGCTTGTTCTCGCAACTTAGGATCACCAGTGATGCGATAAAGTATAAAAACGGATTCGATTGCCTCGGGCCTGTTGAAAGTTAGACACGTCATGACAATGGAAATGTGAGAAGTCTTGCCTAAGAATATAACGTCCATCATCGAACTTCGTGACTCCAGCTACCAGTCGGTGCTGTTGTATCTTTTCATGCACAGTTTCGTTGCCTTCGGTGTCTTTATCTATACCTTCGAGCCACTTTTGCTCGTCCCAGGGACAGTGACTTTCGTTCTCACATGGAACTGTATGCATCTTCTCAGGCATGATCCCAAGGGGCATATTTTCATAAGCCCAGAGACATCCATCCGTGAGTTTTCTTGCCAATTCTAGATCCTGTTCATTTTCGAATATCTTCGCACCGATTGCAACCATTCCTCCTGCAAAGCAGCCCAGATGTTGTGCTTCTCCATCTGTTTTAAGTTCCGTGACTAGTGTCTTTCCATCACTATCCACGTTACCAGGCAAGCGAACATCCTCACCATTTTTTGTCATCGGGCGGTAGAATATATTGCGTTTCATTGCAATCAATGCGAACTCATACATCCTCCTATATTGCTGAGTAGCTCCGCCAAGTAGTAGATGTTGCTTTTGAAATTAGCATAAAATAGTAGAAATCTTCTCGAAGATGATCCAAGCTTACCTTTGGTAGATACTCGTACAACGAATCAGCCATGCCGCCAATAGTGAAACCTCCATATTCCACGAAGTTCTTGTCTTTCGCGTTTACAACCACCGGCCACATTCCTGGTAATTTAGATATAGGTTGCTGGTTGTCAAATATATTCATGATGCGCTGCACAGCATCATAGTATCGGGGATCACCTGTAATCTGGCCAAGACGTGTGAACTCTAGAGTCAAGGAGCCAATCTCTGATTCCAGAACATTGTCTTCGGCTTCCTGCGGAGCACCAGTGGCAGCAACATGGTAATACCATCGAAGAATGGGTAAATGATTGGGCGTATCGAAGGATTTGTACAGCATCTCTCCCATCTCCGACGCTTTCTGTAGCAAAACTGGATATTTTCCATCACTTAACTCATAAGCGGAGAGAAAACCGCCCAGGTACCGGATAGTAGTTTCAAAGACGTTAATTTGCTCAAGAGCGCATGTACTGAAATCAATTTCTTGAATAGCTTCGACAGCTAATTTGAATTCCGAATGCATCCCCATGATCCAAAGAGTATCTAGAGAAAGAATTAGTAGAATGACATAGAAGTCTGAATGCTGTGTACTGACCGAGAGTATCGACCAAGCTCGCGGCCCACCCCCCGAAGGGATCCATTGATCCACCGGACAAAGGCATTACCTCATCTTTCAACCATGCATGGCTAGTATAGCCATTCCACGCATGTGTGAAATTACTCTTGACGGCCTCAAGCCTAGCTTGCCGTATTGACTTTTCGGCTTGAGTTTCTTTCTCAAAGCGATGTTGGATTCTCGGTATGGTTGTGGCCGGATTCGTTGGAAGAGGTATAAAATCGGTAACAGGAAAGCTATGTTTGACCTCGGACCATCTAAATTTGTTTCCTTTCCCATCTGAAGCCGACTGAACTATCGGTTGAGTCCGATCGTATGATTCTTGATAGCGTTTAATCGCGGGTCTTTGGTAGATAAGAAGGAGAAGAAAAATCGCGACAACGAGGGTCAATACCTTCCATCTGAAGGCCATAACTGTTAGTGAACTACAATCCCGCAAAGAATTGTTTTAATTTCGAATGGAATTGAAGAAACACAATGTTGGTAAAGAGTGAAATCTAAAGAACGTGTAGAAAGCTAAGAGCGCCAGTCTTCACAAAAATAGAGTACAGGTTAAATGAGGATTAAATTGATTGGACGAGACTTTCTCGAAGGGTTCAATGGCCAATATTCAGAAGCAAGAAGTACTATGAGCGGTAAACAGTGAACTTGGGGGCGAGAGGTGGCAGTGTTCTATTTTTCTATTTTTCTGTTTCAGGGGTGGGGTTTCATTCTGTAAGCGCCCTCAAATAATCACCTGCCCCACCCCCCCTAGATTAAATGAAAGACATTGATTGGCCAATTGTTGAATGCTTCGCGAACTGTTTTCTAGTCCATTCGCTATCCAATCAATAACTATCATGGGCCAAGTAAGTAATAATGGAACCGTATTCACTGACCATACATGTTAAGCTTCGAAATTTTACCAACATGTTGGTACTGGGAAAACGACCAGTACAGAGAAGCATGAGCAACAAGGATCTCTCAAGTGAGACATTCTTGTCCTTAATTGAAATGGCTCTGATTGTGGTGAATATTTTTGAGGATTACAAAAAGTTGCCAAATGAATACTCAAGTGGCACATTACTCACGCAGTTCTTTGATCCTACGCACACAAGTTTGTGATCCCTATTTATTAGGATTGTTTGATGACGACGGATAATCATAGTTGAGATCAAGTCATCTATTTCTTCTCGGCAGACGAATTGCAATGCGACGCTCCATCCTCAGTCTTATGTTCGGGATCTTTGTTATCTACGCTCTTCCTATACATGCCCAAACATACGTCTCTTCCACCGTATGGATTGTGCCGGATGGTAACACTGCGGACCTTTCTAAGACATATATCGAGGGTATAACCCTTCAGGTTACTTGGAACCCAGCCCCAGAGGGTTATCAATTTCAAACTCTATCCAATCTGTGGGTTACGACCTGGGATTATGAGACAACACAATTCAGCCAGCTGCTCACCGGTAAGAACATTCACTGCCGTTGTAACCTCCCAAACTCAATGTACAAAACTGTTTTACTGATTCATTATCCCGCGGTTTTCCAGAGAAAGTGAATACAAATAACAGCGGCACGTATGACTGGACCATCACAATACCGACGAACGTTCTGAGTAGAGATGCAAAATATGTCCTCCGATTCAAGGATCTCAATTCAGTATATAATTCTAGCTCCCAGGAAATATCAAGTACCGGATTCTTAGTCATTAATGGAGCCTCTTCATCAACTTCGACAGCATCTCCTACTCCAATACGCTCGACCCAGACATCTTCGTCGGCCTCTAGCACAGCTACCACCAGCGCTTCGGCGACACAATCAGTAATCTCGACTACATCAGCGACACCAGCATCCATATCCACCTCTGAGGGCAGTGGTCTGAGTGGAGGCGCAAAAGCCGGTATTGCCGTGGGTGCTGTGGTTGTAGCTTTCTCGATTACTGGGCTGGCATTTCTTTTTTCCAGGCGGCAACGCCATGCTAAACGTCCCTCTGCGGAGCCTTCAACAGAGCCCCCATTGTACTATGACCCGCCGAAGCAACCCTTCATTGGAAACACGAGTAACGTGATAGCTGAGATTGGGGATCGTGAGAGAGCCGAATTGCAGGGCAGCTAGGACTGTTTGTCGGAGACGTAGCGGGAGGTGAACTTTTCTTGCTAGGTGGCTCATGAGCTCAATGAACCGAATCAGCCATCTTCTAACAAGATGACGGAAGCAGTAAAACGTGAAATCATCTTTACTCCGAATGATTGGCAGGCCTCTTCTTGCTTGCCTGGCTGCACCAAACTCAATATGTAATAGAAACTATTAATCAAAGACATAAACATCTTCTATTCTCGTGTGTCCACGGACAGATAACTTTTTATCGCATTCACTGATAGAATATATCAGACCAATACTTTACATCAGTTCCGAATAGTCGATATTTCAAGAAGCTAAAATAAACAAGTCGTATACAGCTGCGGAGAAAGTAATTTAGAGACCATAGTGTATGAAAATTAGTGTCGGGATATTAATCATGTGATCTAAGAGGGCACTGTATTGCAACTAGCGTATGTACTAGCGTATACACTAGCACTAGCTCTTCTACTATATTAAGTACTAGCTTCTTATAGTAATAAGAATCAAGTATGAATGAAATATAATAAACTAAAGTACCATATACTTTATCAATTCAAGTTGATATCAATACTAATTAATAATATTACAAATTAGGGTCTTGAATTTTATTATAAAGTATTAGGTGCTTTGAGGTGGTTTTTAAGATTGATAGAAATTCTGAAGAGATTATAAAGGAAGATATTATTGTACTTGGTATAATACACTATTTCTTTTTTGTTGTGTTAAAGAGTGTGCTTCGGATAATTATATCAGGAAAATATATTCAAGAAGGTTGATTTTATTAATTGTGATAAATCAAGCTTGTGTTTATTATGTATTTGTCTTTGTATTGTATGTTGTGCAGGGTAATTTACAAATCTTTATTTAAAATATGTTTATAAATACCCTTTTATTTTTTTATTTTTTTACTCTTTCAAAAACACTTATATCTATACTTACTTTCACACATTATTATGTTGGACAACGATAACGTTACAATTGCCTCTGCTGTTCCTAAGGTTGTCGATAAGGATTTATATATAGAGGAGAAAGAGGATTACTGTAAAGAGTGGTTAAGCCTAGTAAAAGAATAACAGACTAAAAATGGATTTGTATTTAATACTAAAAAGTTCACTAAATATATCAAATTCAAATGTAAACAATATAATTATAAGAATATCAATAATAACAAGCTCGCTGAGGTTTTTTATAATAACTTTAATATATTTATATCTGAATAATTTTCAAAGATTTATTAAATGGATATATAAAAGCTATATATAGTATTATATATACAAGGAGTATTGATATTAAAGATAGATATTGAAGTATATATAGCTTTATACAATTAATCTTGTAAGTCTATTATAGAAATATAAATAAAGGATTAGATTCAGGAAGTTTTGAAGAATCGCAATATTAAGGATTTTAAGTTTAGATTCAGGATGATCAAGAGATTTATTGAAAATAGCTTCAAATATAATAATAATCAAAGAGGTAATAGAAATGATAATAGAAATAATAATGAAAACAATAATGGAAATGATAATGGAAATAATAATGAAAATAGTAATAGAAATAATAACAGAAACAATAACAAAGAAGAAGATCCTGACAATAATAATAATGATAATAATGAAAAAAAGAAATAACACAATAGAGATAAGAAATCATCAATATATCCCAATCATTTTAATAATCAATCTCTTATCAGTTTATTCAAATTCTATATTGATAAGGAGAAATATAATAGAAATAACAATAATTTCGATTTTAAACTCTTAATATTCTACGAAATCTTATAATACATAAAGGTATTTATAAACTTGTAATACAAGATATTCCCAATCATATTTAAAAATAGTATATTTCAGTTCTTTTATACTAATTATATCTTATTACTATTGACATTCAAGAAGCTTTATACTTATATACAAAATAACTTTAAAGAAAAGAAGTATTAATACAATATACTATTTAAATGAAATAATATTAATCTTAAATCAATTAAAAAGAAATATAAAAATAAATTGTTTAATAAATATCTTATCATTATAATCAAGAAATTATACATACTATAATATCAACTTAATCCTATTATATAATAAATATCCTATTTGTATAATAAGCTTATACTTATATATAAGGATATAAAAACATACAACCTGACTTATTTTAACCTCAAAAAGGAAGTATTTGATTTAATCAACCAACTACAACAATCCATCAATACATAAAAGAAATTGTATAAAAATAAAAAAAATAAAATACTATTCATTAATAGGAGATTCTACAACAATAATAATTGAGATAATTCTAAGAATTCTAAAGGTAATAGTAATTTCAAATATAATAGCTTTAAAAGCAAATTCTAATAACAATCTAATTCTTTAAATCAATATAATTGTTATTGGATATACAAAAAAGAAGAATATCAATTAATAAAATATATTCAGAAAGAATAAGATAAGAATTATTATAAATACCAAGAAAAGATTAAAACTAGTAATAATAGTATATATAATAAATACTATAACTAATAATTAATCAAATACAAAAGAGAGACTATGGATGTAGAATCTGATTTAGAGACTGAAATAGATTAGTTCTTTACGAATCTTAATATTGATAATAATAATAAAAAAGAAATATTTTTTATTAATTTAGAATTTATCAATAATTAGAAAATATTTAATCAATTATTAATTAATACTTTTTTATATATAATTATTAGAGATTCTATTGAAATTATTTTATTTATAAAGAACCCAATAAATATTTTTTATATAAATTATATAAACAAGAAGTTTTATAATATATATATTGATATAGCTTATATAAATAAATCAATAATTAGAATTGAATAATATTATATATAGCAATAAATATATCCGGTGATATATAATCTATAAATAATAAAAGCTATAAATATATATTTTAAAAAGAAAACTATAATATCAATAGGATTATTCTATATTGAAATATTATTTAAATATATCGACTTTTATATTGTGAATGTCGATATTCCATTTTTATTAAGATTAAAGAATATAAACCGACTTAAAGCGTTTTATAACAATATCACTAACAAATTCATCAATCCAATCGGTTAATACTCTGTTATTAGAAGATGCGAACATGCGTTTTTGATATGGAAGGTGAATAACTGCTATTTAACGACTATAGAGCTATAACACCTATATCATCGATTTGACCACTCATCTATATAATGCTTTTATTGTGTATTACAACAAGTAGGCTATAATGAGAATAATAATATTATCAAATATTTTATTAAATATTATAAATATTATCAAATATATAGCAAATCATTAGAACGTTTTAGATTTACTTTATCAAAGGATATTGAGTTTAATTATACTATATATATCGATATTATATATATTACAAAAAAATTAGTTCTATATATTATCGATAAAATAATATAATATCAAGCTACTTAGTTTCTTAAAAACGTTTCAGTTAAGTATATATTCAATAGCTTTTGGAAATATTGAATTGATATATATATAGAATTATTGAATTATATTATTTATAATATGAAAAAGAATTTTATGAGTAAAGAGTTTATTCAAAATACAAAATCCATATCAATTATTATTAAAAGTGTACTAATTGAAATGTATAACTCGGTAGGAATTATAGAACAATATCATTACCCATTATACTATATATATAAGATCTTAATAAAGAAGTTTGAGAATAATAATTTAACAAAATCAATAATTCTGTAAATGGTAGTAAAAGTTATAAATAATATAGTAAAATCTAATAGGCTTGTTCCTATACTACTAGTCTATGGAATGTATTCCAGATTAAGTAATATTAACTCTTCAATCCCGATAATCATTTAATGTGCAAAAGTTATAAAGAAAGCTATGATAGAAGTATATTATATACAAATTAAAAGACAGATTACAAAGGTATTTAGAATGAGGAATAGACTATTTATGATATTAATCTTTACTTTATTACTTAATTTATAGGTTTTAGTATAGAGAGAGGGTAAAGGCGGTAATACATCAGACAAATGGATTGAACTATATGTTCTAATTGGAACGGATAGGGAGATATGTGAGATAAAACTCACTAATGGATTAATTAAATTTCGATCTACATCAATATAACCTTTTTATGAAGAATCTGAAGAAGTCGAGCCGAATGATACTAATACTATGAATGATGATGATAGTGATATTATAATAATTGATATATTATATATACCTACACTACGACCGCAAATACTTCCTCTAGTGGTATAATTAGGTGTACAACTACAATATCGATTGTATAGCAATTTGGTTAATATAGTTAATATAATGGATATCGATATTAAACTGTAATCACAATTAATTATATTCTTGTAAGATAATATACCTATACAATATAAGGAATTATGATACAAGGAAGTTGATAATTTAATAAAGAATAGAATCTTTAAAATTATTTCAAAAGCTAGTATACTGTTTGAAATATAATTATTTAAATCTCGATTTGTTAATGAAATAAAGAAAAAAAGAATTGATAAAATATATGCAAAGTTACAATTAATAATTCAAATATACAAGGATACAGGCAAAACTATTATTTTAATACAATTATTAACTATTTAATATATTAGCTAATATATTATTTTTATACTTACTACTATTTTATAAGTATTAAATAAGAATATTCAGATTTATTTATAGGATATTATATAAGTATATATCCAATTAATTATAACTTTGAGTAGACCTATTTATATAGAAGTATTAATAAAGATTGGATTTAATAATAAATATATACTATATATCATTAAACTCTTATATAATATTTCAAAAATAGGAAATTATTAATTTGAAACTTATTATAATCATTATAGGGATAGACTAAATATAATACAATCTATATACAATCCTTGTTTACTCTATTCGATTGATTGTATTAGTATTATAGGATTTTAAACTGATAATACTCTTATAATTAGAAATAAAAGATTTGTATATTTAAAGTAAAAGAAGTTGAAAAAAACTAGTTTTATAGTTAAAAACAGAAAATAATTTATTAAAGATTATCTATTTAAATTTAATAGTAAATTAATTACTCTTAAGGGTAATAGGATTTATTTGAATTAAAAAAGACAATATAATAATCTTAGAATAGTTATATCGGGAAATATCGATATACATAAAACAAAAGGAAAAGTTCAAAAAAATATTATTTCAAAGAATTAGTATATCGTTTAATATGTAAGAGATGTATATATTGTAATTGTATATCAACCAAAAATGTTATATCATTTTTCTATTGCTGCTCAGATAATAGATCTGAAAAAGGAAGATATTATCAAATTTAATAAAATTATCAAATAACAAATGGATAATCCGAAAAGAGGATTTATATTCATATCTTTCAATATGAATTCTATCAACTTAATCGTCTTTATCAATATATCCTTTACTAATAATACTAATCTATCATTACAAATTAGTTATATCATATATTTCATAGATAAATACAGCAATACTAATATTATCTACTGAATATCAATTAAATATAAAAGAATTACTAGGAGTATACTAGCTTCTGAGCTATATATACTAATTCTAGATTTTGATATCAGAGTAGTTATTAAGGGTACTATCAATACTATTCTCAAACCTAAAAAGCAAATATTACTTATAATCTGTATAGATTCTAAGTCACTATATGATCTATTAATTAAACTTAGCATAAGCGCGGAAAAACGACTCCTAATCGATATTATGGCTTTATAACAATATTATGAAAATAGGAAGATTATAGAGATTAAATAGATTAACGGGAAATCGAATCCTATAGACACTATAACTAAAAACAGTGTATATCAAGCTTTAAAAGACTTGATTGATACTAATAAAATAATTATTAAAATAATATATTGAATAGAAAGAGAATAATGGAATAAAAGCTAAGGAACGAGTAGAATATTGTATTTAAGATTGAATAATAAACTTAGATTTAAGTATATGATCCATTCAACTTAAGAATTGCTAGTATCAGGATATTGATTGTATAATCTAAGAAGACATTGTATTGTAACTAGCGTATATACTAGCGTATACACTAACACTAGCTCTTCTACTATATTAAGTACTAGCTTCCTATAATAATAAGGATCAAGCATAAATGAAATACAATAGACTAAAGTACTATATACTTTATCAACCCAAGTTGATACCAACAATTAGCGATAACTTAAATTCTTGTCGGTTGGGAGCAGAGGTGTGTTCTGAAAGTGAAAAAAGGAAGTAATCGTGGGCTCTCAGAACATCTAAAACCAGTATAATTGAAGTGTAGAAAGTCTAATACTTCTTTGGATTTGCCAGAATCTGACTTGTGCGCATTGATACAGTTAATCTGTTGCTAGTACCATTGTGATAAGTTCCTGAGATAACGATACATCGATGCTAAGTGGTGTACCATAGTTCGATGCTGAAGTCAGATCAGATCAACCATCGATTTCGATTTGGAAAGGACTCGCATCCATATCATTGTAGGTCTCTGAACTACACGCGTTCGATACCCGAAGAAGATGGATCGAAGGCTTCCTTTCACATCAGCAGCTAATGAGTAAGGCCTTATTTCAGAATTGTTGTTCGATTGGTCGATCACATCGTTAAGTCCTTCCCCGTCTCGTAGAACATATCCATTAATTGGAATGTCGTCCAGCGGGTTCTTCAGACTGCCACACCTCTGAACAGGAATTCCATTGAGATTTTGCCCTCTTCAGGGACGGTTCTCCGAACAATATTTGAGAGGTAGGGCACATGCTCAATTTGTCTGAATTATAGCATTCAAGAAACAAATTCGTGCAGCAGCAGGGCCGGTGCCATTGTAATCGAAATCGGAGATTAATTTTATGGTCCGTAAGTAGCTTTCTCGTCTGTACTACACAAAAATGCACAAATGTGACATATTACCATCTACCTATTTAGTTGAAGTTGTCACATTGATCGCAGCGTACGCTGCTAGCTTTTGCACAGGCCATGCCATTGCCCATTGCCAATTTTCAGGGAGAATGGATTGTATGCCAAACACCTCTCTTTCTGCAATTCCTCTCATCCACCAGACATTATCAGCAGCTTTGCAGAGTGCGAAAAAGTGAGCCAAAATAACAAGTGCACGATTGCTGTTTCCGTTCAATTGTTGAACAAATGCTTTGGGTGCGACTGTCGGAAACGCATATATGACACGGCGAAGTTCGTAAAGGTCCTCTCCACCTTCGATACCGAGTAGAATGCGTCCACAATAATTTAATGCAAAAGTAAAAGCAGCCTGGCTTTCCTCATCAATAACCTCACCCGGCGCCCTCCAGTTTAAAAGCTCCGAAAATGGTTGGTGATATATTTTACTACGAACATCTTCCATTAACGTCTTCATGTCTGGTTTGGCGGAAATCAGAGCTTCTAGCTGGCTATTCGGATCGAGCATAGGAATTGTCTGCGAAAACAAAACAACGTTCCCACGGAGAAGAGCGAATACTTGGGTTGGAACTGTGTAATGGCCAATATTATTGTTTTGCAGGAGGATGAACGCGGGCAACCCAATCAGAATTGTAGAGAGGCACACAGCTTCAACATTATCCTTGTTGATATTTTTTATGACTTGACGATGCTCACGAACAGCTGCATTGAAATATATCCGATGAATATCTGCCATGTCTTCAGCCGCTGGGTTGATCTTGGTAAGATGGAGAGCTGCAATTGATATCATCATATTCAAGAGGACTGGATGATCGAAAGCTAGAGTCGGAGCACCTTTAGTCCACAGATCACGAACACCTTCATCGTGAATGGAAAGGAACCCTTTTTGGGCGGTCTCGGTACAAAAGTGGTGAAGCAGGCGCATCTCAAGTAATCGACGTTCTTTTGTTTCACGAGCCACTGTAATATCGAGTTCCCTGGAGGGGTCAAGGTCATAAGGCGGATTGGAAGGGGACCTTGTCTCTGTCGGTCGTTTTTGAATTGGTTCGGGATAGTGACATGATATTTCTCGGCGGACGCACGCATCACATGCCGGGCGTGCTTCGTTGCACTTCAGATTCGGATTTGATCAGCAACATAGCTAACATCTGTTGCAAGTGAATCATTCATTCGACTTTACCTTCACCTTTCGTGCTTTACATGCCATGCACCCCTGTCGAGACTTTCTATGAGCTCTGAGGCCTCTTGATACTGGGGCTGCCATCGTCCTCTCTACTGGATCAATGTCAATCGAGAATTGTTACTGGTGAATGCTGATGCCTCAGTCACATGGCAAGCAATATCACGATTGATAATTTACACGTGATCGGCGCCACACTAAGCCAAACCGACCGAATTTAGGCTCTTTAGCCTTGAATTCGGGGCATCAGATAAACAACTTTTTGATCCATGATTAGCTCGGATGATTATTAATGTTCAATCAACATTACTATCAAAAAAAGATGGCTTTCTTCAGAACTCAATGTATAATTACAACGTTTTATTGAAGAAGAAGAAGAAGAAGCTCTGAGCGTTGGATAACATGAAATATGTTTTTGATGCTCATTCCAAGCAAATTGATGAATGTCAGCCTCAAGACTTATCACAAGTTTGACACGGCTAGATGTTCATACCATGCAACCCCGTCCAAATTTGAATCTGACACCCGGAAACATGGCCTGATGTAGGCTACTCCGCGTCTTCCTACATGTATAAAGCTTGATGCCGCTGGATCTCTATCTTCAGCTTTTCCTTTTCCTATCCATCTATCTTTTACCTTTTCGAGTATCGATTTCTGAGAAAGAAACTAGCCGAAAATGGCTTCCTCTAGTCGTATCAGAGAACTTGCATCTCGGATTTCGGATTATGCAATCGAGATTGAGACACAGTTGTCAAGGCAAAATCTTACTCTGCCAACCTTTGAGCCGGATTCCCCAATCGATTTACCTCCTGCAATTCATGGGACACAGGTAGCCCTTCTTGAAGCCGCCGATGAACTTGTATTGCTTGTACAAGGGCCAATGCAATCCTTAATGCACATTGTTGGTTATTCCGTAAGTGCAGTTCAACAATTTCCGTATCACCTATCCCTTATTTACTTTATACTAGCATAATGCCCGAAATTCACTTCATGCAATCATCCGCTATGATCTTGCTACTGCTGTTCCGATTGACTCAACTGCAACTTTCGAGGATATCGCACTCGCAAGAGGGCTTAATACTGTCGATACTACTCGTGTATTACGTCATGCAATGACTTTTCATGTTTTTGCCGAGAACAGCCCTGGGATAGTGAGCCATACTGCATCGTCACGTTTAATTTCCGAACGTTCTGATTTGCGAGCATGGATAGCAACTACCCTGGACGAGCTATTACCAGCGGCGTCGAGAATGGTAGATGCAATGGAAAAATGGCCGGGTTCTGAGGAGCCAAATGAGGCTGGATGGAATATTGTGAATAATGAATCCAGACCGATGTTTGAGGTGCTAGGAAACGACCAGAAGAGGGCAAAAAACTTTGCAGGATCCATGACATTCTTTGAGGCACGACCAGGCATCGCTGTAAAGTATTTGGTCGAGGATAAAGCTTTGGAGTGGGACAGGGTTAAAAGGATGGTTGATGTTGGTGGGAGTCATGGTAAGGTCGCATTTGCACTGGCTAGGAGGTATCCCGGTCTATCTTGTATAGTGCAAGACCTCAAAAGTGTTGTGAGTGGAGCGCAAGTCCCTGTTGATTTAGTTGACTCAGTGACGTTCATTCCTCACAACTTTTTCGATGCCCAGCCTGTGATAGATGCTGAAGTATATCTACTGAGGTGGGTATTGCATGACTGGTCGGACAAGTATGCAATTAAGATTTTACAAGGTCTGATACCTGCAATGAGAACTGGAATCAAGGTAGTTATCAACGAGGCATGTCTACCTGACTTTGGCACGATGTCACTATATGAGCAACGATTTCTGCGGTAAGCATCATCCAAAATAACAGAGCAAAAGAGACAGCATCTGACTTTGAAACAGGGCAACAGACATGACCATGAAGCAAATTCAGAATGCTCGAGAGCGAGATCAGGAAGACTGGGGAGCATTGGTAAAAGCTGCAGACAGTAGGTATAAGCTTCAAAGTATTTCGCGACCTGAAGGATCTGAGCTCGCCATTATCACTTTAGTATGGGAATGATTTCACAGTATCTCTGTTATCGGGGTGCTTGAAATATGTGCAGAGCATTACAAAGTATCCTTTAGATAAATCATACATCCACCTGTACCGCACTACTATCCATAATACCCACAGTGCTACTCCTTTGCATTGCGTTCATTTACCCAGTCAACCATTTGCCACCAGTTTCTACATGGATAAGTAGTGCCGAAGGCCAATATACCTTGATGATAAGATGCCTCTACCTGTAGAGAAGTATCGGCGTGGCACATAACACTCTGGCGTAAAAATTCAACGCAATGCAAGACGTGAGTTTCATCGATGTGTTGCGGCATATTATCCAGATCCTCACCCGCTATCAAAGCCTTCTTCAAATCTTCTTCTTGATAGAACCTCTTTCTGAGTGCATCCTGCTGTAGGATTAGCTCCTGTAAATTTGTTGCAATGCTCATTCTCAAGGTACTCACGACGCAATGTAGTTGGTGGAATCCTGCGAAGCCAGATCTCTCGGGCTTGTCTTCTGGCCACTCGAATAGACCATGGTGATCTTTGGGGTATAGTCCCTCCCACAGCTTATCATTTTCAGGCGAAGGTCTCTCCAGGTATGTTCTGTTCGATTTGAACGTAATGGCAACAGGTTCAACTACGGACAGATGTTAGTGTTGATGTCTGCAGGAAAAATCCAGCCATGAGAAGACTCAGTACTGACGGTCAAGGATCGGGCGTGGATAGCCGTTGTTATATGGATGGGATAGCTCTTTCTGCATTGAATATACTTTTCCAGCAAGAAATCCAATCCCCGCACTAGTTAAAAATCCCGCGGAGACAATTATTGCGCAAATGCAATATAAAAACTGTTGTCTTAGTTTGTCCTTTCCTTTGTATTGTGAAGATTTTGATTGCGCGAGAAATTCGTTTTCCTCTTGGTCGAGTGACTCGTAGTTGTGGTTCTTTGACGAGTTCTGTAGGGCTGCCATATTGAGATGGAGAATTTTGGAAATTGACTTGGTATGAGAATAATAATAAAGGCGGGGCGGATTTACTCTGCTATCGATTTATGAGATGTGCCGAAACTATGAGACATCTCAGTTTTATGAGGTTTTGGTTGTAGCGCTCGGTAAGAAAGAAAGCAAGCTGACAGAGATCAAATGAACCTAGAGGCTGGGCATGCAACGCTCCCTAGTCACAAAAATTGCGCAATATACCATCTTGGGTAAATGTGACTGGGTCACCGCCTTCCAAAGTACGTGGGCACGGAAGACAATAAGACAACTTACATGGATTCGATGCATACAAATTCAATTTTGGATTGAAGATACGCGGCGAAACTTTGGTAAAAGGGCTTTGAATCAACTCTGTGGGGCTAGAATCAGTCGGGTAAATGATTCTACCATTTCCTCTGCTACAACTATCTCTCTACTGGGAACTACGTATGAATCACAGTACTGAAAACTCTCAAAACCCTGATAATGTTGTGGCTCTTGTCATTTAAATTGTGGAAGTCTACACTATCCAGCCTGCTCTGTGTAGCTATCTGCTATATTTTTCCCGCCTGAATAGTAGTATTTAAGTGCCTAGTACTCTTCGTTGTAAAGCTTCTCATCGGGATAGACGATGCTGTCGTCGGCCTCAGCTATCATGGAAACCAATCAGCGACAGTGTTCAAACACATTCTATTGAGAAGTTTTACCTGTGTGTCTCTTATACTCTTCGTTGTAGAGCTTTTCGTCTGGATAGACGACACTTTCATCGGCTTCAAACCAAAGAAGATTGTTAGCAGTTGTTTGCAATAAAAGATTTTATTAATTGCGTACCTGTATGTCTCTTGTACTCTTCATTATAGAGTTTTTCATCGGGATAGACAACACTATCATCGGCTTCCGTGGCCACAATTACTATATAGCACCAAAGTTGGTCAACAATCCATGAAAAAATAGGGCCAGTTTAGTTTTGAGATCTTACCTGGAGCTCTCTTGTATTCCTCATTGTACAGTTTCTCGTCCGGATACACAACTACGTCGTCGGTCCCAAAACGTCTCTCAATAGGTCCTCCGATGGCTAATGTGCTGAGCAGGACTGTGAGAATAGTTGATGCACGCATTTTTTGGTAGTTTTTCTCAAAGATTGAAGTTATGGAATCAGACAGAAGTTGTGATGTCAAATTTTAGAATTACGGGTTATAGTACAAATGTGGGGCTCATTGACTGTCATATAAGTGCCCGGAGCATGCCAAAGAGCATCTCATAAGTTCCCCAGAGCCTCGGTAATTCGGGGAATATACTGATTAGAAACTGCATATTTGCCCGTCTTACGTTTATAGTATGCATATATATGCATCAAGTGAGCATTACAACATCGCCTCGGAAAATTCCAACATCGCTTAAAAAGCATTATGTTGCATGCTCTCTTCTAAATCTTCGTGCAGCAGAGCAGATTCGGGGCAACAGCATCCAAACTGAAATTGCTCAATGATCCTTCTTTGGAGTCACCTATCCCAACACGACTCTCCATAGAAATAGACAAGGTCCCACTTTTCCATCGATTGAGGTCTCACGATATCTTCCTCTCCTACAATTTTCAAAATGCACACACAAATCACCAGATTTGGAGTCCCAGAGATCGAACTTGGGGACTCGACCGAAACTTTTCCGTTTTTATTCCCCAGATAATGGTAGCAGGCAGAAGCGCAAAGACCGTGTCAGTGAACACATTGAAGCCTAAGGATGGAGAATTAGTAAACAAGATTTCAAGCATGGAAATGTTGGACATACTAGCTTGGAATATCGAGAAGTTGGCCTGTACTGTAGGATTCCAGCAGTGTGCCTTTACTGTTGGCTCCCATAACGCTTTAGGGGGATTGCATTGGGCATATGTGAGGATGCTATCAAGTGTATTGATGATGGTCATGAGCGTCATGATGGTGACGATTGTCCAAAATTTCCATCCACGGATCGGATGGAGAATGCGTATGAGAAGCAGATCGACAGACAACTTGCTGGGTGTAAAAGCACTTATGCCCCAGCACTGTAGTATGTAGTTCCATTTAATAGTTTCGGTAAGCTGTGATGGACTCAGGTAATAGAGATGCTTGAAACCGCCGATGGTTGCTTCATACGTGCAGAAACAGCTCAAGGTGACTTGGAAGATCTTTAAAATCTCATTAGCAAGAACAATGATCGGCAGTGAAACTGCGATGGAGATCTCACAAGACTGATAAGCATGAGCCAGTCATCAGCACCAATGGCACGAACGAGTCGACGAGAGTAGAATCGTAGACCAACTACTAGCATAGCTACTGCGGCTATTGACCAGTACACAGCAATGACAGCTCCACCACGATCTTGGTCACCATCTGCTGGTTGGGGGTAAACTGGGCTAGACGTTGTCGATAATTGCTAGACAGGTCTTTGATAATGCAGTGTCAAACGACTTTGAAATGAGACAGATTTTGAGCAGCTGTCTTTCCGTTGAATTGAAATTCAGCAGGTGGAAAGTGATTGCAAATCATATTAAGTATTTCTCAACAAGCACATCGAGTTACTTTGAGAACGCGAAGGATGTGAGATCGAGTCCGTGAATTGTAGTTTGAAGATCATGGCTCCTACAGTAGGTTGCCATCCTTCATTAAGCCACGAAATCGAAAATGCAACTTCATTTTCTCTTCACTTATAAATAAATCATCTCTTGAATCACCCACTTACAAATATGAGTGCGTGAGTCATAATCAGGTGGTAAATGTAGCAGCAACCCAGCAACCCCTCCTCCCCCTTTAAAAAAATTCGACAACCATGCACCAACCGTTGGCTAAAATTGGGTCCACTCAGGTATTTGTCACAGTAGGGTTGCAGTGCGGCTCAGCAGCGCAGTCATCCAATTGCTAGGGTGTATACTGTGCTGTGCCACCACTAGAGTTTCCCGATTGGCTTCTTATTGCAGAAGCTCGGACAAAGTACCTCCGTTCGACAGCTCCTTACCAAAATCACTACATTCATTTACCCCATCAGCGGGGAAAACAGATATTCCTCACTCTTTTTTTCTTCTGGTAGATACTCAATCCATTCACATTTCTTGATCTAATTGAAAAATTATTTGACGATCATGGAGGCAGTTGCTACTCTTGCGGAGAAGATACGAAATGCAGCAGCTACTGCGGATGAAGCTGGCCGCAAAGAACTGCTAGATTCTCTCAGAGATCTGCAATATTCTATCGAGAAGCCAGAAGATACAATGCAGAGAGTGATTCATCTGGTAAGATACTCACTCTCCAACCCTTAATTGCAAGTTAGTTTCTAAATTGATGACTGCGATTTTGCAGCACCTTGTCATCGCTATCACTCGAACTGCAATTGACCTAAAACTTTTTGATATTCTTGGAGAGTCCGAAGGTTCTCAACAGCTACGAGACTTGGCCTCCAGGACTGGTGCCGATCCAACACTTCTCGGTTAGTCATAGAAATTTCACTCTAAAGTCCAAATTTAAGAGTAACGGTTGTCATGTGTTAACATTTTTCTAGGCAGAATACTACGCATGCTTTCGTCATTGGGTATGATCAAAGAAACAGGGGAAGATCAGTTTGCCTCAAGCCAAACGAGCAAAAACCTTTCCATTGCTGAAATCCAGGCTGGTCTTTACCACAAGTAAGAGCGTCCCCGTGAATTATCTTCATCTTATCCTCTGACATGGTGTGTACAATGATAGTTACGATGTTTTTGGTCCCGCGTACCAGCTTCTCCCTGACTTTCTAGCTTCTACAAACTACCAAAGTCCCACAGAAACTCATAAAGCTGCCTTCCAGAAAGCTTGGAATACAGACTTACCTTTGTGGCTATGGTTTCAATCGCGTCCCAAGGAAACAGCACAGTTTAATCGCTTCATGATTGCACAGCGATCTAGCACACCTAATGCGTTCAACTTCTTCCCGATCGAGGAGGAATGCAAAAATTGGCCTGCAGAGAAACCACTCTTTGTCGATGTAGGAGGAGCTTCGGGTCAACAATGTATTGAGTTTAGGAAAAGGTTCCCTGAAATTAAGGGTCGCGTTATATTCCAGGATCTACCTGGAGAAATTGAACACGCCGTATCACAAGGCCTTCCTGATGGAGTCGAGGCCATGGTCCATGATTTCTACACTCCGCAGGTTATAAAAGGTGTGTGGCAAGAAACATTTTTGTGAAAAAAGTTATTAACATCATCTAGGGGCAAAGTTTTACTACTTGCGTGCTATCCTTCACGACCATCTTGATGATAAGGCAATTCTCATTCTGAAAAATATCATGCAAGTCATGGAAAAAGATTCACTAATATTGCTCGACGAAATGGTGTTACCAAACCACAATGTTGACTGGTTTGCTACTCAAACGGATATGACAATGTTGACAGCATTTGGTTCAATGGAGCGAACCGAAGCACAATGGAAAAACCTTCTAGATGGTGTTGGATTGAAAATCCGGAAGATTGTTACTTACACGCATGCATTCAGGCTTAGTGTGATTGCAGCAAGCCTTTGACAGGTTTCATTTCATACAGAAATGTATCTTCGTACAGAATAGATAGATTTCGCGAAAAGGTCATCTGGAAATGGAAATTACATGCATGAAACTGACTACTTAAAATGAGTCAATAATGACAAACCATTAATTTTTTCATGAGAGATGGGACAGTACTGAAATGCATGGAAAAGGCCGTATTTTAAAATATGGTTGGTAGCGTCCTTAATGGTGCTCGTGGTGATCCGTTGCACCGTGAGCTTTTACTTTCTCCCTCTCTTCCTCTATTTTATAGCCCTGCCACTTTTCAACCCATTGTGCGACCTGGCTCCAGTCCTTACACTTGTGTTCGACACCAAATCCAGACACCCCTCCTCTCTCTTGATCCTTCTCTTCGATGGCGAGATCGGGTTGGCACATGAGGCTTTGTCGAAGTAGATCGATACAATGTCTAATATGTGGGGGAGAAGCCATCATTGGGATTTCATCTTCAAGAATAGTAGGCCCGGTTGTTGCAGCTGAGAGCAGTAACCAATATGTGTTACGAAGACCGTCCTTTCAATCTGTCAGAATTTTACAGCCATCTCATCAAGGCTCGACGGCTTACCAGGCAATGCAATTGATGGAACACAGAGAGCGCAGAGCGGTGAGGTGCAAACGTAGGATGCTGGAAATATCCTCCTTGGGAAGGAAACAGAGATTCCCATGCAGCATCTGTCTGATTAGATGGCTTCTCGCCATAAGTTTGATTGTACACAAACGTTTTCGACTTGCTAGCAACTAGTATATTGTCAGGGTACTCTTATAATAGAATAAACTCGGGTGCAGGTCACAACTTACGATGAAGGAAGCCATCAGGTTCTAATTTTTCATAGTACCTTCCAGTAAGAAACGAAGCTACAGTCAGAAACATTACCAGTAAACCCAGAAGAAAACGTGACATTGTGCTCGGTGCACAAGTATTCCGGGGTTGCTTCTCCAGAGGACCAAGCAAGGAGTGATACCGAAAAGATTGCATTGCAAGTATTCTTACCATTCTGGACCTTTGTGATTACAAAAATAAAAAGAGCAAGAAAAACACGAATACATTCCTCTATATTAATAGGACTGTCTGGAAGCAAGTCGCCGAAACTGTTCATGCAAATATTCGTTACGACCCCAAAACGTAATCAATTTATGCACTTCGCCTCTCAACGACACCCTGCCCGGGCAAATTGGTGCCGAGGACAAATAAAGAACCCCAAGTAGGGACAAGGTTACCTGGATAAATAGGTACACTAGGTACACTAATATTGACAAATACGATACCCCGACGAGCTTCCGCCAGTTCTTAACCTTGTTCATCTCCCAGAAACGTGAATAAAACCCCAAGTTTGTCTTCTCAGACTTTGCGTACAGTCCAACAAATTCATTATGAGTCTTTCAAAAACAATGCAAGCAATCTATGCCTCCCGACCTTCAGCAACAGCACAACTCCAACTTACTCTCAAATCTTTGACTGTCCCAACTATTCCGTCGGGTCCCAACACAGCTTTGATTCGCGTCCATGCGGCAGGAATCAACCCTTCCGACGTTGCTAACGCAATTTTTGATAGATTTGGTGGAAAGAAACCTATAGTTCCAGGTCGCGATTTCGCTGGTACAGTCATCTAAGCTCCATCTGACGCCTAACTCGAAGGTGCTGAGGTGTACGGAACTTCTGGTCGAGAACTTAGTCTCTCCATTGATGGAACTCATGCCGAGTACGTCGCTGTACCTGTAGAAGGCCTGTCTATCAAGCCCAAATGTCTCAGTTGGACTCAGGCATCGGCTGTGGGTGTTCCATACTCAACAGTTTATTTGATGCTGGAGAAAGCTGCTGCACGTGCTGGGGATGTGGTCCTGATCTTTGGCGCGAGAGGAGCGGTCGGGAAGGCTGCAATAGAGCTTGCGAATGCCAGAGGGCTCAAGATCATTACTACATCGAGGATAGATGGTTCTGATGTAAATGTTACAACGGATGAGAATTTAAAAAGCGTGTTGGAGTTGAACAATGGAAGAGGACCTAGTATTATTCTTGACTGTGCAGGATCTCCCGTATTGATGGAGAAGGGTCTTGCCATTTTGGGAAAGTCTGGACGATATGTTTTCGTATCTGGCATGAGAGGAGGTGGACCAGAAGTGAAGATCAATGTCATGAAGATGCTAGCGATGGATCAAAGCTTGCATGGAGTCAATAGCTGGAGCCTCACCTTAGCTGAGACAAAGGATATCATGGATGAATTGAGAAAAATGTTTGAAGATGGAAAAATCAAGGGCCCTGAGGAAGAGTCTTTGACCAAAATCAAACTTGCAGATGCGGTTGAAGCATATCAGGAGGTTGCAAAATTTGATGGAAAGAAATTCGTGATTGCCGTGGAGGATCAGTAATCTGGTGGTTGGCTTTTATAGTAGATTTGGGATGTGGTTCTCTCCGCAATTTCTGGCTACCCAGGCAGTAATAATTATGGTTTCTGACTGCACACTCAGAGTTCACAAACCTTGAAGATATCTTTTTGAATCTCAAAACGATATCGTCAGTACACGTGATTTTGAAGCACGTGTTGACGCGTTTCGTGTTGTCTAAGACTTTGTAGAAACTCGCCTTGTCTCCTGCTAACCTCATACTTGTCATCGCCATCATAGTCATCTCCTGATATAACTTTCAGCGCTGTTAATAGATCTTGTTATCAATGCCAGCAATGATCTTTGCGAGCGAAAGAAGTGTTGAGGCTAATCTCTTGCTTAACATATTTGAATGATATTCCAGAGCAAGCTTTCGGCTGATAAAACCTTACTCGAGGTTTTGTCCTTGGATTAGGAAAAAGCCGACGACGAGCCAGACAGACTGCCTGAACTATAGCCAATGTGCAGAAAGAAAACTTCGGCTGGGCATTCTTTCGACTGTCTCGGAATATCATACACATCCAGGATAAATGCTACCCGTTACGAAAAGCTCTTTGGCACGTGATATTTGACGACGTTATTTTCGCGCTGCTTTCTTCGTATCCGTTCTGTCATCCCACTCTCACACAGTTCAAATGCCGAAAGCACTCCAGTGATTAAAGACTTGGAAGTTGGAACAAATCCTGCAGAGCACCGCAACGCAACACGAAAATTAAATCGGACTTTTGGACTGAACGTCGTTGATTGGTGTCAGGAAACGATGAATGGTAGGGAATAATCGATCTTTAGACATGCTCGACATGGTGGACCTCAGATTCTCAGATGCTTTATAGATCCCTTTTGATTGGCTGAAAAGCTGACTAATATTCTGTGCTTAACCATTCATGACATCAACCCTGATTATCCCATCCACTTATTCACTATTTGGACGGAGCACAAGCTCCTTCCCAATGTCCCGGCCCAGATGGAACAATGAAAACATGGATCTTTTTCAAATATCCAGCATTGCATTCGCTGTTTCGTGAGCAGTTCTCTGCAAAGAGAAAAGAGAACAAAAGATTCTGCGGAGAACATGTTCCACAATGCTCTTATCGCCGCAAAGCTGCGTCACCCATGATGTAATATGCTTGACTAGAATATGGGATTTTGCCCAAAATCCCATTGTCTATTTATTTGCCCATCTTTCTTCCTTTTCTTCGTCTTGAAACCTTATTTGGATGTTCAGTTTACGATAATCTAACTTTGATCATAATAATGCAATCCGTTATTGGAGCCACAGTACAGAAAGCAGGAGCAGCAGTATCTTCAGCCATGTCCGACAAGAAGACGGCAGATATGCTGCCTGAGATGAGAGAACCAAATACAAAGGAACCTCTTACCAGTGACTTTGGTGTCAAACACGGTAACCATGACAATTGGCTATCTGCTTCAACCGGCGATCGCCAAGGTCCCTTATTGTTAGAAGACAACTTTGGTAGGGAGAAGATCATGAAATTTGATCACGAGCGTATACCAGAAAGAGTTGTTCATGCACGTGGAGCTGGAGCTTTTGGTACCTTCAAACTCTACGAGAGCGCCGATGTAAGTATCTCATTGTTCTACTCGGTGCCAAACAATCAAAGCTAATCTCAGGCATAGGATGTTACAAACGCTGGAGTTCTTACAGATACTTCTCGCACCACACCTGTTTTCATCCGCTTTTCGACAGTCTTAGGTTCTCGTGGCAGTGCTGATACTGTTAGAGATGTACGAGGTTTTGCCGTGAAGTTCTATACCGAAGAGGGCAACTGGGATGTTGTCGGAAACGACATTCCCGTTTTCTTCATTCAGGACGCTATTAAGTTTCCCGATGTCATTCATGCCGGAAGTGAGTGCTCTTCTCTTAAACGTACATTCATAGTCCCTAACTTTGCATAGAACCTGAGCCAGACAATGAGATCCCTCAAGCACAGTCTGCACACAATAACTTCTGGGATTTCCAATTTCTGCACACAGAGGCAACACATATGTTCATGTGGGCCATGTCAGATCGAGGTATTCCAAGATCTTACCGCATGATGCAAGGTTTCGGAGTGAACACATATACTTTGATAAACGCCGAAGGCAAACGATCATTCGTCAAATTCCATTTTACTCCAACTCTAGGTGTCCATTCACTAGTTTGGGATGAAGCATTAAAGATTGCTGGTCAAGATCCAGATTTCCATCGCAAAGATCTTTGGACTGCTATTGAAAGTGGGTGTTATCCCAAATGGAAGTTTGGTATTCAAGTCTGCGACGAAAGTCGCCAAGATGAATTCGACTTCGACATCCTAGACGCCACGAAGGTTTGGCCTGAAGATATTCTCCCAGTCAGATATGTCGGTGAACTAGAGCTCAACAAGAATGTCGATGAATATTTCACACAAACTGAACAAGTTGCTTTTTGCACTGCTCATCTTGTTCCTGGCATCGGTTTCAGTGACGATCCACTACTCCAAGGCCGCAACTTCTCTTACTTCGATACTCAACTCTCAAGACTCGGTGTTAACTGGCAAGAACTTCCCGTCAACCGACCAGTATGCCCGGTTATGAACAACCACCGAGACGGTCAAATGCGACACCGAATTACAAAAGGCAAGATCAACTACTGGCCCAACAGAGAAAGTGTTGTACCTCCATCCAAGCAATCAGAAGGTGCCTATTACGAATATCCCGATAAAGTTGTAGCCATGAAACAACGACTCAACTCCATAAAGTTCAAGGAACATTTCTCCCAAGCTCAGTTGTTCTGGAACTCAATGTCTGAAGTTGAAAAATCTCACATCATCAATGCTCTAGGTTTTGAACTTGATCATTGCGACGACCCTGTTGTATATGAGCGCATGGTTGAGCGACTGACTGATATCGACCTTGGCCTCGCACAAGCTGTAGCCGAGAAAGCTGGTGCCCCTACACCCACTCAAGCCGGACGCCCAAATCACGGCAAGAAGGCCAAGGGTCTATCACAATTTGATTTCACCCCTGAAGCTCTGGGCTTACCAGCTACTATTGCTTCTCGTATGGTCGCAATCATCATTGCAGATGGATTCAACTTCCTCGAGTATGAAGCAGTGAAGGGTGCATTGACTGCATCCGGCGCTCTTCCATTCACCATCGGCCCCAAGAGACAACCAATCAAGAGTTCAGGTGGCAAGAGCGTAAGCGCAGATCATCATTTCGAAGGTATGAGAAGTACCATGTTCGATTCGATCTATATCCCTGGTGGCGAGCATGTATCTACTCTACTTAAACAAGGACGAGTCATCCACTGGGTTCGCGAGGCTTTCGGCCATTGCAAAGCTATCGGAGCTACTGGCGAGGGTGTCAAACTAGTACAAGTTGCATGTGCAGTTGATGGTATGACTTTCAGCACCTCCAGTGAAGTAGTCGACTCGTATGGTGTTGTGACTGCGCAAGGATTGGGCAAAACCGAGGAAGGATTGAATATGGTGAAGGGAGCGAAGAATTTCCTGGATGCGTATACGTATAATATCTCGCAACACAGAAACTTCCAAAGAGAGTTGGATGGATTGACTAGTATGGTTGCTTTTTAAGTTGGCTTCTGTGAGTGAATGATTAGCATAGGGCTTGGGATGATGGAGTGACTAGTGTGTTGTTGAGGGATTTTGGACGTCTTCAAAACTTTTGCAAGGATACCTTTATTTCTGTTAGTTGTGGTAATGGTAATAGTTAATAATATCTTTTCCCATCAACTTACAGGTCCTATCACATGTTTTACTCTTGCATCGAGAGGTGAAGCCCGCTCTGCTGATATCAAATGTTGAATAACTTTCCCAACCAAGTAGTTCATATACTGGCCCATAAGAATAATAAGTTATCACTGCCCAGTTTATTTTCTTTCTCAGAACAATTCTCTTTCTCCCCATCTGTACTTCTCAACCGAAATTATTCTTCTAATTCACTTCTTTCACACGATGCAGAATCCTGTGGAGAAAATGCCAGTTTGCTGCAACCGTTCATTCACCTACAAGCGAGGTGATTGGAAAGTTGAACTTCAGCATACGATGAGGGATTTAGTGCGATACCTATGTATGGAGCAGGGAATTCACTAGGAAGTGAATCTCAAAGCGTTGGATCTTGCAGTGAGAACTACCGAGACTGGTTGGGATGGCTCAATTTGATGGCTTGGGGTACTTTGTTGAGAGAAGAGGAGAGGGTTGGGTAGATGTCTGTCTGGTATACATGATGTATTGCGGGCTGCTCTCTTGCTTGATCTCTGGATGTCTCTTAGGCCTGGTTTTGATAGAAATGGACTGATGTCCATACCTAGTGTTGGTATCACATTCAGACAATGAAGCTCACAGAGACAGTTGAAACATGGCAACATTAACGAATATACCAATTTCCCGTGCGCTTTCCTCCTATGGAAACCCCAAAAATAGAATTCCAATTGCAATTCCAACTCCAACTCCGAGTATCGTTTCCTTCACATCAGCTGCGGTACACGTAGATAGATATGACATTCACCTCTGCGCCCCAACAAGACTTGAAGTGAAGCGCATACCCTATCGCATTATTTCTCTTCGCCTTCCGATTACCACAAACATTCACTGTTTAACCGATTCACAATTTTCTCGGTAACCGTATCTTCGCTAGCTGGAATTCGCACTGTTGATATTCTGGAATTGCAAACTTGAGTTCTTTTTATTCTGTCCTCTCTTGACATTCAGATTCGGAAAGTACTCAAGACATAATCTGTTCCAAGTATATCTTGATCCGAACTGAAAGTAAAGAATCTTCCATATTAAGAAGTTCTTAACTCTCTGATCTTCTCGACATATATCAGTGTGAAGATCCCAATCAATAAAGAAAGTAAGTTTCCATCCCACACAAGAAAAAAAAAGTTCTTTTCCCTCTAACATTTTTTCTTCTTTCTCTCAAGAAATGAATGAGAAACCTGCACCCTCCTACTGCTTCAAATATTTCGTGCATAAATGGGTTCGATCTCAAACTACGCGCGGATATATCTCACCTTATGCAATACCTGCTTACCCCGCTTTACGAAGGTATAAATCTACGGTTGGGCCATCTTCTCCGGCTATTTCAAGTACTTCCCCGCCTGTACCAAATAATCCTCGTACACGACCATACCTCTCATCACTCATCCCTCATACACATCAGTACGTCTCACCCTACAACCAACCCACCATGCCTCCTCCATCTCAATCTCGACGAACAAAACGCACCCGCAAAAACGGCCCCGGCAAATCCAACAAACCCGCCGTTCTTCCCCCACCTATTTCACCACCTTCCCCCCCTCTTCCCTCTCCACCCCAACGACCCCAGGATCCCCGCTACTCATTAACCTACATCCTCAACTCCTCCACCCCACCCATCCACCACCACAGCAACCCCACCCGTTCCCTCCAAAGTCTCCCTAACAAAGTACGCCATCTAATCTGGAGCTACGCGCGTTCCCGCACCATCCGCATCACCATCTCCGATGATCTCATCTACAGTCGCTCGCCCAGCCCCATCACCTTCCGCATTAATCGGGAATCTCGCTCCGCGACAATAAACCACTATTCTGTTCATCCACACTTTTATATCCTGGATACGCAACACAAGAACAAGAGGATTCACTATCCATGTTTTGATCCTAGTGTTGATAGCGTGGTATTGAGTGATATTCCTATGGATTACACTTCTGCTCTGAGTAGTACCATTTTTGGACTCTATGACTCGGGCACGAGAGAGGTTGCATATCGAAAGAGAGAAGTGCTAGATTATGAACATTTGGATGTTCTGCAATCTTTGCATATTCCAGCACGAGCATGGGATTGGAACCGAATTCAAAGAGCGCCAAGAACGGAGATCAGGTTTCGAAATTTGACGGAGATTGTTTTGCAGGGCGGAGCGATGGGGTTGAGGACAAAGAGAGATGTGAAGAAGTGTAGGGAGTTCATTAGAGGTTGTTTTGAGAGAAGCGTTGGGGAAATTGCCGAGGAAGAGAAAATTGTCGATATGGATGGCATGCAATTTGCGAGTCATGGGATGGCGAGAAATGCGAGGACTGCGAATATGGGCATCAAAGTTCCGGGGGTGAGGGTCATTATGCCTAATGGCCTGGACCATGAATGGATGTTCGAAGAAGATCAGTTGGGGATGGAATCGATTGAAGAGCGGACATGGGTGATGAATTTTATTAGCAAGGTTAAAGCAGGTCGTTGATGGTGATGGAAGACTGCTTGGCGTTGAGATTATGGGAGCAGACGATACTGCTGTTATGATGGCAGGATTCGCAGATATAACAGTTGTCCCTAGAGGGTTTTTGATGGATGAAGAATATTAGCATAATCGTAATAAACCTTGAGTCGCATGATTGATCTTATCTTGAAATGTGAAATGTGAGTCCAAAAGTTGTAATACACCCCACTCATAAACTTGTGCACCCCCTTAAAGATACAACATATGTTGGTTGATAATATGTTAGTTAATAATATCAAATGCCACGAAGCAAAAACGCGAGAAATTCAATAGGACAAGAACTCTGCTTTCAAAAACGACAACAGCATAAATCAAGGGTGCCACAAAATAAATTTCGTGACATCGACATAAATTTAAATCGTACAATAAACGTTTTCCTCCATAATACATCAAATCATTATTACAACGATACAGCCATCAAGCATACTGTAATCTCTCCTCAGTCCATCCGGGCTGCAAGTATGTTGCATCAAAGATGGGCTCAAAACTACTTGCAAAAGCCCCCGTAACCTTCCATCCAACATCAACACCCATACTCTCACCACCCTCTTCTTGTCTCCAAACACTCAACCCAATAACATTATCCCCATCGTAATTTAAGATTCCAGGTGGTACAGGGAATTCAACTTGGTTTCCAATCCAGGGACTAAATCGTCCATATTGGTATCCGTTCACGAAAAGAAGGGCACGAAGAGCTGCGTTTGAGGGTGAAGCGTTGAGTGTGAAAGATATTGCCACGTCGAGACCTGTAGGAATGGCTAAAGGAACGGTGGTGCGGTAGAATGTTACGCCGGCTGAAGAAGAAACGTTGCTTGGGGATGCGGAGGACCATTCACTGTCGTCGAAACCTGGAAGATGCCATCCGAGACGTTCGGCGTAGAGACCACCCTCTGAGAGAATACCACGGACAGGATCGATTGCTGTATCTGGCTTACCAGCCGTACCGGTGACTTTCCATGATGTGAAATTCTTGGCAGAAGAACTGATTAAGGTTGCATTATTGATTCCTCGTGGATTGAGTGCCTCGCTGGTCTCATCATGACCAGAGTTATCCTGAAGAACGAGAAGGATATTGGTAGAATTCGAGTTGACGGTGACATTACTGAAGGAAAGTGTCAATTTTCCTGTATCTGGGTAAGCAGCTCCTAGATATGAGCCGATAAACTCGCCATTCAGCCAGGCACTATAGCCGAAAGCACGACCTCCAGTGACGCTGAGATATACTCCGCTTGCTGAACCTTCGAATCTTCCACGCCAGAGATGATTTCCAACATGGTATCCATAATCATCGATGTAGAGCACTGGAAGTGTTTCTGGCTTGGTTGGATTTGAAGTGTTCATGTGATCGGCAGCGATCCACCAGCTATCATCATATGTAGATAGACGTTCAGGTAAGCTGTCGTTTGCTTTCCAGCCAGAAATCTCTGGTAAAGTCAAAGAATCAAGTGTCGGACCGGTGAGACTGCCGATTAAGCTACCGTAATCTGTCTTGGATGTCGTAATGGATTGACCGTTCCATGTAACTTTGCTTACGACCTTGGGTGGGAAAACCTCGATCTGTGTCGAAGTTCCATTGTTGTCTCCGGTGAGCTCCAAAGTTGTACCATCGGAGGAGTAGGAAACGCTTCGGACTAGACTTGGGCCTTGAACAAACACAGTTTCGTTCGCAGGACTGAATGGATCTGCTGTGAGAACTGGGACCCAGAATTCATATGCGTATGATCTATCCATGACGAGAACACGGAGTCCATCGTCAAATGTCAAGATACTAATGCCTTTGGATTGAGAGATGGTGACGAGGAGATCATCCCCTTGTGGGTAGAAACCAACGGAAGAACAACCTCCACAACTGGAAACTTTGCCGGATTTCGCACCAGTGATAACGAATTCGCCAGCTTCACCAGTTGGCATCCAGAGAGCTAGAATGTCTTGCTCATCTACAACAGAATGGGAAAGAACTTCAGCTGTAGAGTACAATAGCGAGTGAGATCCAAAGCTGAAGTCTGTGACAATAATTTTAGATTGGAAGCCATCCAAAACAATGGGCGCGGCCTTTTGAGGAATCGTGAACTCTCCTTTGGATGTGTTAGCGTGGATGTAGAATTCCTCTCTGGTGCCAACTGTAGATTCCTGGTGGATCGTAACGTAGAACGCGCCATTTGTATCTGGATTGCGTAGTTCGGAGTATACGATATTTGGATTGGTAGAAGCGGTTTGGTTTGTGCCAATTCGATCAGTCTTTGTCAAATCTTTGGCTACACGAAGGAATTGGCCGAACAATTTGGTTTCGGCATACTTGTCATTGATCATTCTGTTTTCAGAGATTGGACTCGAGTAATCGTAACTAGTTGCCACGACGGGAGCTGCTAACCAACCCCAGTTAGTTCCTCCGTAAAGCATATAAAGACTCATGGCTGTCACTCTTTGTCCAACGTTATTGCGATAGAAGAGATTTGCGAAATCGGGCGGAGAGTTTTCTGGACATCCACCTTCGGGGCCACCCCAGGGATTGAAACTACCACCTTGAAATTCTGGGAGAAATGATGGCTGAGTTGGTGAGATTGCTTCGAAATGATCGTAATAATCGATGACGTTGAAAGGTTTGTATGCTCCGTTTGTGGAATCGCACTCTGTCAAATTGCAAGTCCAGCATGCTGGATAAGAATCCATACCATAGATGTCTACTGAGCCATAGCCATCATAGAAATCCTTTGACCACGAGTCTGAGTTGAGATTAGGATCGTTGGCTTGGAATGGTATTGTAATACCTTGAGCTCGTGCAGAGGCTTCCAATGCTTCCATGTACTGAACGGAAGATAGATTGGGAATTTTTTTGGATGGGGCTCCACGCCATTGTGAGCCCAGCTCGTTCTCAATTTGATAAGTGAGAACATTTCCTCCATTGGTAAGTTGATATGGGGCAACTATAGAGGCAACCTTTTCCCAGAAAGGTGTCCAGGCTTCAGTATAGCGAGTATCATTATTTCGAAGAGCTCCATAAGCCCCGGTCGTCAACCATAATGGGAAAGCTCCAGCATTGGACTCGGCATTGACATAAGGCCCTGGGCGAAACACAACATACTAAACATGTGATTAGCCAAGTCCTTGTTGTTTTCGAACCGAGATTGGATCATTTAAACCATACCATTCCCAATTCTTTAGCAAGATCAAAGATCTTTGTGAAATCGTGTGCTGCATTTTCGAAGTCGAGCGTTTCAGAGTTTGGATTATGAAAGTACCAGTGTGTATAAATCGCAAATGTATTGAAACCAGCGGCCTTGATCTTTTGTAGAACATCAACCCACAGTTCCGGCACGGGAATTCGCCAATAATGGAGCTCGCCGGACCATAAAAAGAAACGTTGTCCATTGACTATCATACTATAATGATCCCATTCAATCTGCGTAGTGAGACCATTGTTGTGTATTGGCCATGTGCCATTTGTACTGTTCTGGGCGACGCATGACCCTAGAGTCAATGCCCACGCAAATAGTGACTGCAGCAGCATGGTGCGTAGGAGATGAGCAAAGGACCTGATTGCTTGCTCGAGAAAACAACATCTAGGATCAAGCTCTTTTATACACAACTTTTCGCATATATGACTTCATAAGTGCTTAATATGTAGCTTTCGTATAAGCGACCCACTACGAGGTAGTTCAAGGTCGTTTGTACCGAGGATGGTAATATATCCCCAGTATGCATATCTTTAAGCTGCCCAATAGAACAAGAGAAAGCGGACGATTCTGGCCCGAACATGGATTCTGAGAGGGGTAGTAGTACATTGGCGATCTCGTAGACATATTAAAATTTCGAATTTCCGGAATATGGTTCTACCGCAATTTGCCAATCATATAAACCAACAGGAATCAAGCAACATATAAGTCCCGCAGGAACCAAATTGTTGGCAAATTCCTCGGCAGGCGACAACTTCGATCGGGACGGTGTGGATTTCTTTGACAGTTGTATGGTTACCCCCGCGAGATCACGGAACAACTTGGGATATTTTTCCACCCAATGAATTGATGTATACATCAAGTTGTGGAGTAAAGTAATTTCTTAGCTAACCTTGGAAATGGAATTTGACAGTTCAAAGAATGGAGGTGGCAGGTGCAGGGGAGTTTCTCCGCTTTTCGGCACTACCCGAGGTGTACACGTGACACTGTAATGACATCCCCACAGATGCCGATCAATAAGGTTATTAAAGATGGTCAAGTGCATACGGACTCCGGAGTAAGAGTATCTGAAGGGAGTGAAAAGTTGAGAATGTACACCACTATCAAGCTACTCTCCTAATAAGTGATAACACAACCAAATAGAAATCAATCCGATCAGGTGATACACCGGATCGTTTCCATTGATCAAGAGCTCAACGATTCGGGGTGAGAGGGCGAGAAGGGTACGATTCGATTTTCCCGATAGCACTACTCTTACTTTCCCGATTTCTTGTTCTCTTAATCGGGTTTCCTTTCGAAGGGCATTGATAAACTGGATGAGCCTTCAGCATGTAAGATCGGATTCTCAATAGACATCCGAAGAGATTCGTTGAAGAGTAGGGGCATTCCCATCTGACTGTCCACATTGAGCAACTCTACAGCCAAGCAATGAACGATCAAGGTGGACAACAAACATTGCCAGGATTCGGTAGGAAACTGGTGTTAAGCTTTCATGTAGGTACACGAGTGAGAATGATCTCAGGGAGAAAGGGAGACAGATGGGAGAATGGATTGTATTGAATCGTGTTGAGCAAGCAAAGACTAACATGAAAAACTTTATAAAGGTTTCCATGAGATTTAGACGAACTAGATCATGTTTGACCAAGGCCAAATAGTCAGTTGAAAAATGATTGCAAAAATTCACATAAGGCTTTCCATATATACTCCCCATACAGAGAGTAGCTGTCAATAGAACTTTGATGTTTATTAGTCATGCAGTTGAAAATTGGATTGATGTTTTCCTATCCTGCCCTGCCTCACCTGCTTAATTTGTAACTTGATGCCACCATGCCAATCTCATATCTGCCATTGCTTATGTAATAATTAAATTTGTTGGTGCAACATCACACAACATAGGCCTTTTTTGCAATTGCTCACCAATAAGCAATGCCAATACCTCAAGATTTCTTCGTTCGCTCATCCTCTCATCTTATTGGAACAGCAATCAGGAAACTGTTTCTTCATGCAAATAGATATATCTTGACAACTTTTCTCCACAGCATTTTTCATCGTCTTACAAGATATCGCAACTCATACTCATGGACAATAGCACGCCAAGACTCAAAATCTGCCAGGGCCAGTTACTATAAAAGTGGATACATAGCAGCATCGAGAGTCGAGACGCGAAGAGAGTATCAAATCGCGTACTCCGGATTCATCTAGTTGACACGATCAACTCCAGACTTCCTCCAATCTGTAGTCTTCGGATCTCAACTCTAGATTTTGGTTCATTAAACCATACCTCCGATACCTCACATCATAACACTTTCACTTTTCGCGAACTATCGCATTATAAGATCATTCACTTCCCGATTATTTACATAAAATCACGTTACTTGAGGTCTTCTTGGCCTCCCCCTGTCAACTCGTGAGACAATCAGAAAATTGGTTTCGAACAAATTTTCAATTTATTATCATGCGTTGGATATCCAGTTTCAAAACCTGCTTGTCCAAGAGGTAGCATATCGCCGTGATATACGATAAAATTGATTTTCGAGCGAAATCGTATTGAAGATGTCGGGAGTCAATGGGGGCAGCGCATCGCGCTCCACCAGTAGCATTCGTGGTTATCCCATACTTATTGATCTCACAGACGATAGTGATGAAGATAAGAAGCGCAATGGGAATCGTAGTGAGGAGCGTCAAGAGAAATCCAAAGAGATTCCCACGCAGAACCCGAGAGAGATACCCAAGGAGAAAAGTAACAAGTCTTTCATTGACTTGTGTTCATCGTCTGATGATGAACCTTCTGCGCCGCTAACATCAAAGGCGAAGGCGAAGTCAACCAAATTGTCAGCCAGTAGTTCAGCAACATCGACAGAAAAGCTGCCAATAAAGACACAAAAGTATAAGACTGGGGGAACATATAGCCTTTCATCGGACGGTGAATCTGATGATGAATTCCATAAAAATCTATCAGAATCAATTTCAAAGCAGAATAGCGGTGAGCGTAGCAACGATTTTATAAATAGAAGGTCGCATTCGGGCTTGAAGTCTAATGGAGCAAGGGATGCAGGTAACGTTTCTTCTCCACGACAAGACACTGGCCGCACTGCCCGCAAGACAGTGGTCTCACATCGAAAGTCTAACTCAGGATCAGTTGGTCCAGTTGGCTCCGATTTAAATCGAAATAACAACACTTCTTCGCCCAGCTCAATTGGATCAACGCCGGCAGCATCGAAACGTTTTAGATTTGCAACAAAGCCATCAGTCACTTCCAATCTTTCCCACGTTGTGGGCCAGCAGTCAAGTCCAAAAGCTAGTGCGCAGCCAGCATCCGATCTCTCGAAGATGGATTCAAAGACTGCCAAGGAAATTAGCACAGAAAGGCTCCCATTCAGCAACGCTGTTGCACCGCTCCCTTCGGACACTTCGTCTCTGAGGAACGACCCTGCTACAAGTAGTGTTCCTACCAGACTGGTGCCTAAAAGAGTTTCAGCGACGATCAGGCAATACTCTAGATCGCCCGAGATCAAAGAATCTCCACTTTCTACGAGAACGTCCACATCAAGAATGTCAGACAAACAAAATCAAAATGACAATGATGAATTTGTAATTCAAAACGATTTTGCAGCTCAGAAGGAACTTGAGTCGCGAAAGGCTGCAGGGCACTTGCGGGGATCGCGGACGAGAGGAGCAACTGGGTCTTCTGAATCAACAGCAAATCGAGACAAGAGCCCCAGCTCATTTATAACAAATGATCTCTCTGAGCCTAATCTTAAAGTCAAGGGAAGAGATATGGATAATGGTGCTGATATTCATAAAATCCGAAAGGGTCCTTATCAAAAGAAGGGGAATCATGGCGGTGCAAGACGCGGGCCAGCTTGGGAAAAACAGAAGATCGAAAGAGAGAGCGCTCAAAATACCGACGAAGAAGCTGTAGATAACGACATTGATGATGGTGACGATGATTTTCGATCAATACTACAGAAGAGAATGACAAGAGGTAAAACATCAAGCAACGTAACTTCGAGGCCTGCATCTACCCGCTCTAACTCACCTTCTCTCAGAGTGCAAGAAGGGGAGAGACGTGGACGATTGGCATCATCTATCCCGAGATCAAGAGGAAAGTCCCCAGTCCTAGATGCATCGTCTGACGTGGTATCGCGAGAGTTGTCCGCAAAGGAGATCAAAGCAAGTTTGGTAAAACTAGGGGAGATAGGAATGGAAGATTGGGGATTCAGCCTTGAGCGTCACTTGGAGAAACTACAATTGCGGCCCCTTGCAGCGTCAAATATATCTTTACATGACGATGAAGAGAATCCTTTTGCATCTTTCACGGCGCAAGACGAAACTTTTGATGATGCTATCGATCTAATCACACGAGTATGTTCTAATGAAATCATGTAATTCATTATTTGCTAACCGTAACAGACATCCAAGAAAGCGAAAACTTCAAATTATGTATGCCCACAGATAATGGGAGATGGTGACGTAAAGCGAACGCCGAGCTACACTCATCACATCAATGTCACACGAAATCATATAACAGGAGATGATGATATCCTGCGGTATGTTCCATTGGTTGTTCAGAATGAAGAGAAAGCTATGAATAAATTCGAAAGGGAATTGAATACAGCGTACACAGAAAGGCTTGATAACCCAAGAGTAAAAGAACAAATAACCCAAATAAATAGGCGAGTGGTTGTCGCATTAAGCAACATAGGATTCGACAACAATTGTGATATGGACACGCTCGTTCAATACTTTTTGGGACATCAGTCTGATAAAATACCGTATCCTACCAGAGAGAAACAATTGGTCCTAAAAACACTTGGTGGCCCTCTATCTGGCCACTTATTGAAGAGAATGGCTATGGTCGCTGAGGTATTGGCTGAATACTTTAAGGTTGATCTGGAAACTGTGGTCCTGTCTCAATCCCAGTTCAAAGCTTACATTGAGAGATCAACTTCTGAGTTGCACAAACGATCTGACGAACCATCAGCTCGATTAGAGACAACGGCCCAATTTACCTGTTTAATATGCCAAGGTGCTGCATGCACAACGCATGGTGAGTATAATTATCAAAGGATACATAAGGACATCCCTAGTGAAGAGAATTCCTCCGAGATCGGTTCTCCTCAGCAATCATACTTCAATAAGTCTGATTACGAGTATGCGTGGGAAAAATCTATCATGCATTTGCCAGATGTCTTACGGAAACACAATGGCCGAGACCATGGTGATGAGGATTGGCATCCGGAGCTTTGGAACACAGAAAAAGACATTGTCGAGGCATGTAATGATGAATGTTACAGTGGATGGAAAGACTGGGCAAACTATTCTTGGACCGAAGAGGAAGAAAATGAGTTGAAAGACGCACTTATAATCAAACCCAGTAGACCATGCGTTCTTGTGGAGATTCTCGAAAAGCCCTGCTGGCAGATTTATTCCAAGATTCTAGAGCTTGAAGACAAAGCCCCTTTGAGCAGAAGTAAGAGTCACCAGCCGAGCGAACGAGTAGAGTGGTACAATCCCAAAGCTGTACCTCGCAATCGTGGCCTCAAACCGGGTTGGCAAGATAGCACCATGGCACACTTACACGAACTGCGCTCCCAACCTGTTCCTTGCGTACACGAAGGGCCCTGTAGTCGGGAGATGAAATGCTATTGCGCTCTCAACAATCTTCTCTGCGAACAATTCTGCGGTTGTTCAGATCGTTGTGAACGACGATTTGCCGGTTGTTCTTGTCATTCGACGGGTCTTGCTTGCGCCTCTGATACATGCATATGCTTTCAAATGAACCGCGAATGCGGCGATCAATGCAATACCTGTGGAGCAATTCCTCGGATTCGACCGCAGAGCCGTCATAAGAACGAACTTTTCCAGTATGGTTGTCAAAATATAGCCTTGCAAAGGGGCGTGAATAAGAAATTGATTCTCGGAAAATCTCCAATCGAAGGAGCTGGCTTTGGACTTTTCACTGCAGAACCTGTCAAGAAAGGGGATTTCCTAAGCGAATATACAGGAGAATTGATTTCTGATAACGAAGCCGAACGCAGAGGAGTGGAATACAATGCAAAGTTCATGAGTTTTCTATTTAACTTGAATAAAGAATGGACGATAGATGCTATGCGGATGGGCAATAAAACGAGATTCATAAACCATGCGGGATCAGAAGCCGACGGGATGAACTGCGCTGCAAGGATTCTATTGGTTAATGGAGAGCATAGAATTGCGTTCCGGGCGACTCGAGATATTCTCATTGGGGAGGAATTACTTTTCGACTACGGTCGCAATTTTGCGGAGCTATACGGTTTGAATAAGAAAAGTGCAAAGGGAAAAGGAAAATTGCCCAAGACGAATAAAGCCACGTTGAATAGACTGGGTGGAAATAGCGGTAAAGGAACGGTGCCGGGAACAGTAGCAGCGAAGAGAAAGGGCTGGCAGAAAGGAAGACCGAGAAAGGCGAGTAAAAAGGCGAAGGTTCTAGAATATGATGTTGCGGGACCATCGAATGCTGTATATCCCGGTGAGGAAGAGGCTGGTCATGGCGATGAGATGATGATGGATTCTACTCGCAATCTCAATGACAACGACAACATGATACAAGATAGTGATGCGGAAGACGAGATGTTGCGTGGTCAAGGTTCAGATATCGAGATGGGCGATGCGGACGAGGAAGGAAATGAAAATGAAAATGAAAATGAAAATGAGAACGAAGATGAGGACGAAGAAGCAGCAGACTTTGCGGTGAGAAGAACAGCTCGTCGGGCAAAGATTCCTTTGAGGTATACGCGATGAAGAAGGGAACAAGAATTGTATCGCGGAAGGAAGAGATCTTGGTATATAGCTCTCGTGCTTTTTTTCCTTCTTTTCTTTTTGCGTCACTTTCGGTGTATTCATATTGAAGTGTGTATAGTATCACATTGGTGAGGTAGCTGCATGATGGGCTTGGGGGGTGGTGGTTGGTTATTGAGAAGGGTGGGCGGATGGATTCAGAGCAGTTAAGTACATAGGTACATACATACATAATGAAACGAAGTTTGTATCTGATGCGATCCTTCTAGTTTACTTTGTGTGGCAGTGAGCTGGAAAGTTCACTGGCGTGGTGCAGAGCAAAAATCCAGAGTTCACAGAAGGGGCTAAAATATTGATGAATTGTCATGATAACATTGGATCATCTAATAACTACTTAACAAACTGAACAGAGATATATACAAGCTAACCCAAAAATGTAGCTACGACATTAGCAAACTCCTCTGGCTTTTCAACCATCGGTAAATGTCCCGCTCCTTCAATAACCTTACACTCAACACCCTTTCCATAATTACCTGCCATCTCTTTCATTGTCTTGGGTAAAACGCCATCACTACCACCAACTACAAATAAGGCCTTCTCAACCTCTGGATTCTTCATCTCTTCTCTAATATCATATTGATAAAGAGCCTTTACACCTTTCTGGAAACCCTCAAAACTATTTTCCTCGACCTGTTTCTTCACATCCTCAAATCTTTTCTTCAATACTTCATTCTCGTAATTTTCTGCTACAAACCATCTGCGAGTTGTAACCTCGGCCAATTCTGAGCCTACAATCTGTTCATCGTTGGACGATTTGGCAGATTCGGCGGCAGACATGGCGATGCGCTCATCCCATGCTTTGGGGTTGGAAGGAGGAGCATAGGCATTTGTATCGCAGGATATAAAAGCATTAACACGATTGGGGTATTTGAGTGCAGTGTTGAGAACGGTGACACCACCGAGTGAGACACCGATTAGACAAGCTGCTTTGGGAACACGCAGAGTATCTAAGATGTGGATGATGTCGGAAGCGAGAAGATCGACGGTTACGGGTAAAGAGCCGGCGTTGGATGTGCGTCCACGGGAGTTGTAGCGGAGAATGCGGTAATTTTTGCCAGTTGGTGAGGCAAGGAATGCTTGAATGAAAGGTGTCCAGATTGAATAGTTTACGAGGATGGAATTGCTGAGGATGATAAGGGGAGCAGCTGGGTCAGAAGATCCTTCGAGTCGGTATGCAAGATCGACTCCATCTTTTGTTGTTATGTAGGACTCGATGGCCCCCCCTTCAGCAATCGTATTTGGTCCAGTGCTTGTTTTCCCGTCAATCGATTTCCAATTCGTCGAATAGGATCTTGAAAAGTTAGAGATATCTCGGGGTGCGGCGCCGAATGTATAATATAAATTATATTGCCTAGAATTAAAGGAATTCAAAGCGGTCGATGTGAGTTTCTTGGCCCATTCTGTAGAACCAACGGCTTTAAATGCATCCCCAAATGCATCGTTTTTAGGAGCGAATTCAGTGACATTCAAATACTCCTTTCCTTCCTTGCCTCCCAAGATACTGCTTGTAACAAAGCGCCTTGTACGTCTCCAACCTGGAATCTTCGCAATCATTGATAAATGTTCTTCTTCCATCCACTTATTGAATTCCTCATCAAATTCCTCCTTGACTTCTGCCGTAGAAGTCACCACGTAATTGCCCTCATCATACCCCACTTCCTCCACTTTCTTATATCCGTCAATTTCCTTGCCACTAATGTAATCATACAATTTCCTGTCCACCTTAATCTGCGCCATTGTTTCCTTTTCTCTATCGGTCTTTACTTCGGGCCCGCGGAGTCGAAGATAGGTATCGGTGTTCATGGCTGCCATATCTGTGACATCGTAAATGGCCATCCATTCTGGATGAGATGGAGAGGCTGGCTTCGCGGAAGACAAGTCGCTTGCGCGGTAGCGAAAACCATTTGTGATGAAGGGAAGACGCAATCGGAGAGGTCCATGTTCATTGTTGTACCAGTCGTGCCATTGAGAATCTGGAAGAGATTCTTGAGGCTGCATGGTAACATACAGGATACCGGGTATGGGTGCCATGGTTGAGTATGCTGTAGTGGGACTGTTTCGAGTCTTCTGTATGAATTGACTTGATTGTAAAATTCAATCGTTGGGATAAGTGAGAGATATCTTGATGAGAGGATTCCTCGAGGTGAATTGCGAATAATTTCGCATAGCGGACGGGACCGAGATGATCAAGGGGGCAGAAGGCTTAACCGTCTCACATGGCCATATCTGCCCCTCCATGTTTGTTCGCCATGAAATATCGTCCCCATATTATTGAGGGGTGGCTCGAGGGTGGTTGAATAGCGGTTAGAAATCCGGTATGTGTTTGACACGGAAACTTCTCCGGCATTTTCCAAGTGAGGGGATTAAATTCATGCCTTAACCTTGGAGGTTTTAAGGCATTAAATAAAAGGTTCATCATGGTTTCTAATTGACATGTGGAAGGAAATATTCGGAATATTTTTTGTAAAATTACATTTCAACAATTTACACTCTACGATACGTCGTGTATACTATGTCACAAATATCATTTATTTCTATCTTCTATATTCTTCAATCATACCAAATGGCATTCATACCAAACCCAGGTTCCGGGATATCAATTCTCGCAACCCTATACAAAAACTCCTCGTGCCATCTATAAATTTCAAATCCACCATCTTGATCGTCTGTCAAAGCCAACCACTCATCACTCCAAGGACAAGGACTAACTGCATTTGAATGACCTCCACTTGTTGGCGTCGGATTCAGACAAATCTGTCTTTCGATATTTCCAGCTGGTCCGAGTTTGAACGCTGCTATGTAACCTGTAACCTTGAAATCGTTCGATCGTGATGTCGCAAAAAGATATTTGCCGCTATGTGATATGAAAACAACATCGGATCGATATAACTTCAGATTCGGAACCCCTATTATGAAATGTTAGTCGCTAAGCGGGAAATCTTCCGTGAACATGAAAGGAAGGAGGAACGCATACCTGGGGGTACCAGAGGATATGTAATGTTTGTGAATACTGGCAGATGAGTTTTCTCATCAATGACATAAACTGCCAGATTATTTCCTGCTTCATTCAAAGCATAAAGATACTTTCCATTTGGGTGTATTTCAACCCATCGAGGATGATCTCCCTTCTTCGGCGCATCTACACTTCCCACCAACTCAAGTAAACCTGTTTGGCTATCTTTTTTATGTGTCCATACTTTGTTCCCCCACATGTCTGCAGAATAAAGATAATTCTCTTCTGCGTCAAATACCATGCCATGTATTGCAGATTCGGGACTATATTCATAATTTTGAATGTTCTCCTTCAATGCGCCATTTTCATCAACAGAGAAAACATTTCCATGGCCAGCGAATTCATAGAATGGATTGCCATAAACATTATAAGGTGCTTTCTTTGATGCTAAGCAGAAAATTGCTCTCGTTCTCGTGTCGGATTTCGATGCGGATGCTATTTGCAAACGCGATTAGAATGTTTTCGCAAAGAATACAGCGACCGAGGAAGTTACATACGGTCATGGGACATAGGATGTGAAGTGGTATGTTGGATTTCCGCAGGGCTTGTGACAGAATGACTTGACCACTTCTTCATTGAAGCTCCATATATGTTTTTCTTCGCATGCTATTCAAGAAGATGTTGGGTCAGCCTACTGGCGCTCATTAGACTCCCACCCGACAGAGATCCCAACTTACATCAAAAGTCATCCAGGAAATTGGCTCATCTTCTGGAATTGGTGTTCTCTTGAGCAATTTCAAAGTTAATGCTTCATCATCAAACTCAATGGTAAAAATTGCACCTGGAGGGGTCCAAGTTCCCACCATCAAATGATGAAGCATTCTTCTCGGTTGTAGAGGGTGAAGTCGGCGAACAAACGAATTTCTGAACATACACGTTACAACCAATGCAAGGCGACCGACCAACTTTGAAATTTAGAATTGGAATCTCGTAACGACTTCTCTCAATTATGAGCTGATGACGGGAACAGACCGTAATATTATCTTGTAGAAATGAAAATTGTTTTGTTATCGAGGCATTCCCGTCATACAACCCCCTGGCTTGCTGTTGGCGGGGCCAAAGCTAGGTTATAGGAGTGCGGGGCGTAATCCGGGGACTTCGCACGGGAAGTTTGGTGCTGGCGGTTAAAGACTTTCCCGGACAGTTCCAAGAGGATAACAGAACTCTACGATATTAGCAAAACTTTCACACTCACACAGACACTTAATCGTAGTAAATGCGGAGGGCGAATTAGATCAATTCAATTATGAAGCTAAGACAGATGGTTTGACATACAGTCTAGTGATCGCGATTCCATTGTCGAATGATTTTTGGACAATTCATGTGGCAAAAGATACTTCCGGTCAAACCCGTGACTTAGCGTTAGCTGTAGCAGCGTTTCCGAAGATCAGTGCCGTGCTATTTTCAATGCTAAACCACATTATTCTGACACTAACAGCCGACTGAACTACCGTCTCAACCATCGCTAGAACTTTGGAGGGGTCACTCGATCACCAATTCTGGAGTAGGCATTGCGGACTACTCCCAAGATGCTTGTTGATTCGTTCCCATCGTTAGGGCGAATATCGTGAGGATACTTGGGGAAATAATCATATATAGGTAGGCCTCTTTCCTCGAGCTAAGTTGTTGTTCATTTCCATCATTAACATCTTCTTTATATTCATCCTTCCATCGCATCCTCCTTTGAGACTATCATTCAAACACTCCATCCACATCTTCCCCAATCAATATCAATATGTCAACCCAGCCAGAAACCACCGGTACCTCCAAGGGATTCGAGAGATTCGACCCAACTTTCACCACCAATGTCATCAAGTCTATCGGTCCCAAGACCGATGCTCGATCAAGACAATTGATGGGCTCTCTCATCCAACACATCCATGACTTCGCAAGAGAGAACGAACTCACAATCGACGAATGGTTGGCCGGTGTCAACTTCGTCAACACTATCGGACAAATTAGTACCCCCACTAGAAATGAAGGTCACAGAATTTCCGATGTTCTCGGACTCGAATCGTGAGTAGCCAAACCCATTACCCCACATTCACATCTAACAATGTTCTTAGTGTCGTCGATGAAATTGCACACTACATCATGACCGAGTCTGGCGAGACCCCTACATCTTCCTCAATTCTCGGTCCATTCTGGAGCCCCAACGCCCCATTCAGACCACTTGGTGGTAGCATCATTCAGGACCCCGTACCTGCAGGTGGACAGACTACTTTGATGCACGGAACCGTTACCGATTTGGTTACTAAGAAGCCAATTCCAAACGCAGTTGTTGACATCTGGCAAGCATCTGCCAACGGAAAATACGATTTCCAAGACCCTGAGAACCAAACCGATAACAACTTGAGAGGAAAGTTCAGAACCGATGAGAACGGACAATATCACTTCTACTGTCTTCACCCAACTGCCTACTCTCTGCCAACAGATGGACCAGCTGGTGTTCTCTTGAAATTGCTTGATCGTCACCCAATGAGACCTGCTCACATTCACTTGATGGTAAGTTACTCCGCATATTTTAATATGATTGGTAAGCTAATGCAGGAACCCGCAGATCTCAAACGAAAACTACAAGCCAGTCACAACTCAAATCTACCCAAATACCGACCCATACCTCATCACCGACACTGTTTTTGCTGTCAAGCCAGATCTCGTCGTTGACTTCAAGCCCCGCCACGGTGACCCCAAGGCAGAATTGGACCTCGAGTACAACATTATCTTGGCACCAAAGGATTTGAAGATGTAAATGATGAAGTTCGGGTTAAAAGGATGAATTAAAATGCTGGATCATAGATGGAATGAAGAATTCTACATGGGACGGGGTGTGGTGTTTGTGTATATAGCCTTGGGTTATCGGCGTTTTATATGTTTACGATTTTATGTTCGAAATGAGAAATCCTCTTTCACCCTTTATATCTATCATGATCTATTCACTTTTGATTTTACTCGCTTTTTAAATATCTTGTGGGGATGTGCAGAATACTTTTGTTATGAATCCCACATAATAAATACATCCAGAAATTTCAGATGTCCGAGACAAGTATCATACATCGACACAAAGTCGTTCGAATAGTGTCATTTGAACTGTGCCCATTCGTTCAGAGAACAAGTTATTTCTTGGGCTAGGAATCAAGACAATAACAGAGAGATATCTCTAACGCTACTATTTGCTGTTACACTGCGGCAGGCTCTCAAAGGGAGGGCAAAGGAAGGGGTTATTAGCTCACTCTGATTCTGAGGGTCACATGAAATAGGGATGGTGAAGCAGCAGGATAGAATTGTATCAGCGTGCTTTTTACAGGTGCTATATATACTATATCGAAGTACTGATTTCATTTAAGGTTTTGGTCAAATTCACTGTTCATTGGATGGATTTACTTTAGGGTCTAAATTTGGTAGTTTATTGCCATGACAGGCTTTTGATATTTTGATTTGGATTTTGCGCTTTCGCTGCGAAGGGGGATCGGTTATTTAGGTGCGAAAATTAAGGGAAAGTTTTCGATTTGGACTCGAGATGACTTGGATCATTCTTGAGCTCTCCTTCGGCTGGTGAATCCAATCGCTCGCACCAAAGAATCGATTCTAGTCCAAATTCCCGCACACAATTGACTTCCACTGAGAGAGCGTAGAAGGCACTCCAAGGTTCCGTCTCCTTCTCGGCGTAGTCAGCTGGCAAAATCAGTGGATTGACCTTGATGATGTTAAATAGTCTCGAGTGATATTTTGGCCTGGGATCTAGTTCGCGAAATTTTGAATGGCTCTCAAGCTCAAAAACGAAATCCTTGCGGATTGGTTGCGTCGAGATCTGATCTCTGGTGAGCTCGGCAAACCAATTGCAATTGATATCGTTGTTCAGGTTCGATACGCAGACCAAATCGAGTGACCATTTAAAAGGAGACCAGACGTGCCTAAAGACGATTCCGGGTTTATTTAGGTCGATTGGTGCTTGTCGAGATAACTCGAAAACCTTGATTCCCTCAACGAATGGGACGTTGTGGGTGTCCGCAATTGCGATGCTTACGAGGAAGCAGATGATGAAGTTCTTCATGATTGATATTGCTTGTTTGAAGATTTTCTGTGGAGATGAGTTGACTGTTTTTGTGGTTTCAATATTTGATATAGTTATTGTTAGTTCTATGTCTTGTTTGATACTGAAGTTTGAATGGGCGAATCAAATGATGGTTAAAGGGGCCCTTCTAATACCCCTAAGAATTCATTTGTTTCGGATCTGTTCTGAGATCTCTGTACAGAGACGATATATCCTTTGTAAGGGACAGGTAGACATGTTTATGAGAATTCATCATATAACCAACCGCATGTATGTGGCTGCACGTGCTCTTAGTGAAGATTGAAAAATTGGCTGGTTAACATAAGCCATTTTCTACTTGGAAACAATGGATGAATATGATACCATGTTTCAAATATCGTTGGAGTAATTACGGATCAGGCCATGATGCAGAGCTGTTCTGGTGTTATTTCTCCGTGGTTCTATCCTCAGTTAATGAAATGAACTGCGCAATAAATCGACAATTGTTGACTTTGAACATCCAAATTATATCTAAACAACAACGTGGTTCCAAATATAAATAGGTTCATGTTCCTCCCTCTACTTCATTTCTCTTCAAACCATTCCAGTCCTCAATACCTACTTACAAACCAACAGCCAACCAAGCTAACATCACCACCACAAGAACCAATCCCAGATCTTCAACATGTGTCGCCACATGACCATCACTTACTCGTGCGGATGCTTGACTAGGTCCGTCGAGGCTTGCCCCCACTCATTGAGCATGAAAATTGCTCCCGAAGACTGCCAATTCCATTTCTCGGAGCCAATCCACAGAGAAGAAGGTGACTGTCTCAGCTGTGTTGTCAGAACCACCCAGCGCATTCAGAAGAAGCTCGAAAGCATGCAATTGGAAGATTTTCATGTTGCAACCCTCAAGTTCCCACCATCTCCATCTCCGCCACTATCTCATCCAAAATCCTTAGGAACGCAAGTCCTCAAGAAACAGGAGAAAGCCAAGGAACTCGATAGATCTTATCAAGTTCCGGTAAAGAGAGAAAGCGGAGAGGAGGAAGACAACGAAGAGACTCCCCGTCAAAGTTTCAGTCAACCTCCAACTCCACGAGAGATCGAAAGCAGACATCCAACACCGGAAAGCCAACGACAAAGACCTGTTGCGGAGCCACGCACAGTTCCAGTCGAGGGTGAAGTCGAGTCATTCACGCCAAAGAAGTTGGTGAGAAAGATGAGCGAAGGGATGAAGAAGATGGCGAGGAGTTTCTCGAAGAAGAAGTAAAAGGTAAGTGGGAAACCTTGGAGAGTTTCAGAAGATAAGTCAAGGCGCTGACTTCTTATAAAACACAAAAAAAGTATCAAGGGGCATCTCAATAGGTTGGAAGACTGTTTGAGTTACGCAGGCCTTGATTAATAGAATATAAATTTCCTTTCAGAATATAAACGAAGATTTTATGATATGCAGATAGTGTCATTGTACGTGAAAATTAAATTAATATGTAACTAATGACAAAATGATAGAAATGAAGTGCGGAGGCATGCACTCTTCGCAATGGAATTTATTTTCGCTAAATAGGGACGCTAGTGACTTCACCTCATAATTTTCCCTGTGCCAGCTCCCCTACCCCTTTTTAATTTTATCGCAATTAGTCTCGTCAGTTATTTATCCTTTAACGGAGAACCTTCTTTGAGGTTTGTTCTTTTAAGAACAACAGCATTTGAACAAGAAGAACAAAGAACGCATTCTTTAAGTTCTCAAACGAGGAAAAACCTCGGATCCCGTTCTAGCATTTCCTTTGTCCGATTACATCAGAGCTATCGAAATTAAATACTTATTTCTTATGAAAAACTAATGAATTCCTGAAAAAAAGCTCGTCACTTTCATCAACTACTGTAGTTCTTGATATATTAAACGCCAATGGCTAGTAGAAGAAGACCCAGTGCACGACAAACTGCTGGTAGTAGACGGCTGCCGGCCAAAAATCGTATTCCTGGTCTTACGCAGCAGCCCTTCAGCGCTAATATAACACCTAATATATCTTATACTCCCATATTTAGTATAGAACCACCACGTACACCACCTCCCGGGCAACCCTCTTCTTCCGATTGGGATTCTTACACTCCTTCGCAGCGCGAACAAATACAAGCGGAAGCATGGAGAAAGTTAGCTGAAACATGGCAACAATGGCCCGAATTTGAGAAAACATGGGAAGGAGTGCGACATCTCGGGAAAGGCGGTGCCGGCTCTGCAGATCTGTATCGAAAGATTGGATCGCAAAAGGGAACGGACGCAATACCTGAGTATATTGTAGTCAAACAAGCTGACGGATCAGACAAGGATCTTTTGAGCGAGTCGATTTTACTCCAATTATTCGTGGATAGAGATACGTCACATGTGCTGAAGATATATCAGGGATACCATGAAGGCGAGGTTGTACCACATAACATTGGAGGAATGTTTGATATCGGGAGAGAGAATTTCAAAAAGCGTCAGAAGAGATGTCAAAGCAGGATCTATCTCGAATTTTGCGAGAAGGGCGATGTCGAAAACTGGATGACGAATCAAATTGAGTAAGTGAAAGTTGTGGTGAATTAGGCAAGAAGCACAACGCTGAACTAATGGTAGAAAGTCCGGTACTGTACTTCAAGAGAAAGATATATGGAACATCTTTGAGTGTTTAGCTCGAGCATGCATCGTGCTCGAGAGAGGAACTGAGAATTTAGAGGCTGAGAATGGCCGAGACTGGATTCCTATCTGCCACTTGGATCTTAAACCGGCAAACAGTAAGTTGCTCCTCTTGTCTTGTTAAGTCGCAATGATGTTTATTCTTTCACTTCCTAGTACTCATTGGAGATAAGGACGAAATTCATGATATCGACATCTTCAAGGTAACTTAAACCATGAAAGTCCACAAGTTCAAAATTTTGGTTGGCTAATCAAATATATAGATGGGAGACTTTGGCTTAGCAAGCCATGTTCCTAGCAACCCACAAGATCCCGGATGGCTCGAACATGTTGCGAATAATTTGACGCTCGGATGGGGCGCCCCAGTATGTTAATCTAACTCAGTTATTACCCCTATCTCGCCGCTCTCTAATCTCTCAAAAGGAACAATTTTTTCCTCAAATGCAGAATCGTTTCTATAGTACACCTGCCAATGTCTTTGGCGTAGCTGCAATAGTATACTTTCTAATGACAAAACAACAAGTCAGAATAGGCCAAGACATGGCGTATGTAGGATTCCCATCATCAGACAGTGATTCCACAATAGCACTACAAACACCAGTGCTTACGTGTGGACGGAGCCTACTCGATGATCCCACGATAAAAAGCTCGGGCATCTATTCGAAAAGTCTCATAAGAACATTACTCCAATGTCTCGCGTATTCACCCCATGAGCGCATGACTGCGAAGCAATTACTAGATGTCTGTACCACTGGTAGATTCCTTTGCAAGAATATGGGAGAGGAATATATGTATAAAGATAGCCAGCCAGTGACCAATTACTGGCCAGAAAAAATCGCGCCAAGCATTCCAGAATATCAGGATCCCAAAAAACATTTGAAATATAATCCAACGCACGAATCGACTACAGAGGAGAAAGAGAGAGAAGGCATATTCCTGGTATCTTTCTGGATAACTCCACCTAAACAAATAGCACCGCCAACCTCGTTTTCCGCAAGTGCCTTCAACTCCACGGTGGACTCCAGCTCAAGTTCAGGTGCAAATATGTCTTACAATTTTGGAAAGCTAACCTCTGCCTCACAATTTGGTGGCTCTAATCTTTCTGAATCTGAAAATACCTCTGGCGTTAAATTCACTCCAGGAAGTAGCTTTATGTTCGGAAGAAATCAGCCTTCAGAGCCTCAGCATGGCAACTCGAATATTTTTGGTACTGGGAACGCCTTTCGTACAAGCACTTTTGGGTTTGAATAATGAAAGTCTTCAAATTCTCACTAAGAATTGCTCAGTCTGGTAAACAAAACGATTTCCGGTCTTGAGTTCTTCTAGTGTTAGCTTCAGTATGGGGGTTCTCAAGTTCGGGCGTTGGATGATAATCAAGTATTCATCACCAATACGAGTCGGTATTAAAAGCAAGTCAAATTTATTTGACTACGAAATGTGAGATATGACGATCTACATATAAATCTGGTATGCAGTTATACAACTACCAAACTGTAGAAAAAGCGTTCGAGTGAGTGAGTGCACTAGCTGACCATGGCGATCCATCTCGTGAGAAAGCGCTCCGAGAAAGAAAGCCAACGATAAACATCTGCAAAGATACTCAAAAATTCCATATTCTAAATTCTATAAACCCTAAAACATAATTTATACCACCATTTCCCCCCATCTATGATAAAATAACAACATTTATGTCGCGCACTTCAACGACACTTGTGTCCCATTGTGCGAACAGACGACCAGAGTATATGCTTCCTGCCATGGCTTATCATCTCTCGGCTCAATCTCCTCAAATTCCTGCAGCATTCTTACAATCACAAACGACGCTTCGATCAATGCGAATTGCTCTGTGTCCGAAATTTTAGTCAGTCGCCATTAAACTACTTGAATTACCATAAAGAAACACGAGGAACTTACGCCCTAAACAAATTCTCGGCCCTCCATTGAATGGTAAAAATTCCTATTCAAATTAGTATGGCTGAAATGCAAGAGATTTGGATCAGGATTCATACCCATTTCGGCTGTATATGATCCCAGCGTTCTGGACGAAAAGTTTCCACATCTTCACCAAAAAGATCTTTACGACGATGCATCGAGTACACGCTGTATAGAACCTGGGTTCCCGCTTTACCAAATAACGGTGCTTGGCCATCTTCTCCCCCACCACGTGGAAGACAAGTGTCGCGGACGGCTTCGCGAGTGTTGGCGGGGACTACAGGATGGATACGGAGAGCTACTCGATCAGCGTCTGATTTTGGACCTGTAATTAGGTTTGGAAATAGGGCTATTACACTTACATTCGTTAATACATTGACGCAGATATTTCATATTTCGCAAATCGTTATACGTCGGCAATTGACCGTCAAGTTCCATCACTTCAGCTCGTAGCCTTCTCCATACATCCGGGTATCGTGCTAGCATGAAAAACAGATTACTAAGTAAACTAGCTGTTGTATCTCGGCCCGCGAGAAGGGTATTCAACACCTGGTCCCTCAGAACCTGTCGATCTGTGGTCAACTTGGCTATCTCTTCGAGAAAAACGTAGGGGCCAAATTTGACATCGTTTGTTTCTGTCTTCTTCGCATCCTTTTTTAGCGCGTCGAGAGCTACATCTATGTGATGATCGACGTACTTAAAAACGGTCTTCTGAGCCCTGTTGGCCGCAGGGTTATATCGAAACCGTGCAAGTGGTCCAAGCCGTACATTACGGGATGCTTCTAGTTGAGTATACGTATACTGTTCAACAAATTCTGCATCGGATACGCCACCCGAGGAATGGTCTGAGTTGGACTGGGAGTTGACGGAATGTCCAAAAAGAAACTGGGTAGCCGTATCTATGGTGAATTTGAAAAAGAGATCTTGTAGATCAATAGTAGACCCTTCGCGTGGAATACGATTTAGTAGATGTTGGAAATGTATCTCAGCAACCTCTAGATTAGATATACTCTCCTTTGCAAAAGTAGGCCGAAGGAGTGCGCGAGATTTGTGCCACAGTTTTCCGTCAGTTGTAAAAATCCCATGTCCAAACACGGGTTTCATTGCATCGACTCGAATAGATGAGAGCCGGAAATCATCAAATTTTGTTGCAAGAATGGTTTTGACATTCTCTGTATCGATTGTGAAAACTGTGGGATACGTAATAAGTTTGGATGTAAAGGTATTTCCGTGCTGCTCATAACGCCTCCAAGTTCCTTCAAGATGTCGTAGGTTTTTGGCATTTTTGATTGTATCCAATACCAAATCAATGCCAAATATTGGATCTTTCAAAGGGTATTTTACTTGAGCTGGTTGACAACCGTTTGACTTTTGGAATCGGCGTCTCGTGAAGTAAAGCTTAATTTGCTTTAACACATAATAAAAGAGACATAAAGTTAAAGAAACTGTAATTATATTGGAGCTCATCCCACTGAGAATTATCATATTTGCGATCAAGAAGTGAAGTTAAATTTATATGAGCAGTTGATACTAGACAGCATAAGTTTTTCGTTGTTAGTGGTGCTTCAAAAGACATATGGACAGTGACTGTTCTTTATGATCCATTCGGAAAGTAACTATGTTGTCACTTTACATGCGACAGAAACATAGCATAGCTTTATCTGCATATGGCAGGGCTCATATTGCCAACATTCCGTAAGGCCATGCCAAGTTAAAACCGGATATCGAACTGACAAGCCTGGGCATTGACAGGTGCAGAGCAGATCAAAAAAGCTATAAATAGTAGAGATAATTAATCAAAGGCAACGCAAAATATCATAGACTTGTCTCTCCAACACACGTGTCATAATATGTCAAATCTGACCCCGATCAAGCAAGCTTTTGACTCAGGAGATCACTAAGACATCTCATAAATGAAAGATACTACAGCCAAGTTAAAACCGGGGTTCGGATTGATAAGCGTAGACATCACATATGTATAAAGTAGATCTTTGACACTAATTTAGGCAGGGAAGATTCTGACTCAGACGATCACTAAGAAACCCCATGTATCAAAGACGCCATATGGAGCTAAGAACTTTGACAGCTATCTCATCCACTATTTTAAAATACTAACAGCTTTTTTCTTTTTGATTGAACATTTTGACCTTCAATTACAGATCGTAACATATTATTACAGATCGCATATCAGGAGTTTACAACCTTACAACTGTACATCGTACAATCTAATGTTAGAGAGGGAGATCTCACATCTCATGTGATACTGAGCAACACTTATTATTATTATAAGCATGCAGCACATCAGCCCCAAGGAATCTTAATTTGGATCCCTTTCAACTCTCCATAGAGCTCTAAAGTAAATCATTGTTTCTATTGATCGTATCGTGTTCTCACACATAATCATAGTTATCAATGCGTATGACTATACTATTTGATTGTGTAGTCAGCTTTATATGATAGGATGGATATATGCGATCTGCGGCGAAATGTTATGAACTATCAACATTCATCACTGTTTGTCCCAAAAAGTCTTCATTTAGGGTCCACAGACAGGCATGGTTTCGCACGGCATATGATAGTGACAAGAAACGGGCACTAAATAATTCCTTGGCCATGTAATAAGAATTATCTCTGTGATATGTGAACGGGTACTATCAATCGATGCGCGGGTAGAAATGTCAGAAGATATTCTTATGACACTAGGGACGTCAGATTTGAAAGGCATTGAATGCCATCCGATGAGTACTTTGATATCAGTTTTCTGATGAAATCGCAACGCTGATCCTAAGACAGAGCAATAAGAAGATGTAAGCTGAGAATAGAACAACAGGAAGCATGGTGAGGATAGCAGGAGTTATGGATATTCCAAGTAAGCAGTAGTATATACAGCTGTTGTATCCAAGTACGCTCTCAAATAGGATCACACGAAGACAGATTTCCTATGCAAGCTTTAAAATCAATACTTCAGGTGTGCTGATATGCTCTCACTTGACACGACCTTTATCATGCCAAGATTCAAACATCTAAGGAATAAACCAAAAAGATTGATGTAACCTTATAATCATCAAGCGGAGATAAGATGAGATCATATGGTTGATTGTGAATGTAAGACTCCGCGAGCTCGTCATTTGTATTAATCAATACTGATTTGATCATAGAATCAATATTGCGACACTAGTCTCAACTATTCGTAAATATTAGTGTACATAGTTACAGGCGATAAAGGCTCCGTCAGAAGTAAGATATGAGGTTCGTGAGCCACTCCCAACCCGAACCATATGAGTCAGCTGAGATTCTCCGCAGTAAGTTTCAAATGACAAAAATAATTTTTGACTTGGTCAAACGACTAGGAAGAACCAATACTTTGGAAAATTTATTTGCATCGCCAATTGGAAGTTTACAAACTCAGATAATCGCTTTGTCCACGATCGTAAAAAGCCTGTGGCTGTAGTTTTCAGTTCTGAAAATGTATTTAGCAACGTTTTGTAGGAGAACAAAGTACCAGGTCAGCAATTCATTTCTCAGGAGACTCGGGGCTCACTGTCAGCAATTTTAAGCGAGGTGCCCGACACCGCCATGTGCCGCCCGTCAACCTAAGCACCATTGAAAGTTACTTACTCTGAGATATGTGGTCAGATATTCCAAGAAAGATAGAAATTATCCCCCTTGATGATGCTAACCAAGCAAGTTTGATGTCGTATCATCTGCTATTCTCATCATGCGCAAGGAAGGTTGATGATACCTAGTAGTAAGATGTACAACGGAAGGCTGTTTTTTTGTGTTTCATTTATGTACTTAAATTGTATCCATCTGGGTTGACTCATTGTGCAAGGCTTGGAGCCTGTGGTTGGGTTGTCTCCTTGTAACCGTTGACTTATTTCTGGAGCAACGGAACTGTTGAAAATCCCTACGTTGGCTGGAAAGTCGTCGACATTACTTGAACGGTATACTTCATACTTTTTGAAATTCTGATACACATTCAATTCCGAATCTGATAGAGTATGGATACTTCAACAATTTCCGATGAGTTTCCAGTCGGACAACTCAAGGCAGAGTGCCTTGGTCTTGAGATACCCGGCATAAACCAAAGCCTATGGGACATGTTTGCTGCGGCTGCAGAAAAACATTTGAATGAAGAAGCTCTTTGTTCGCTTTGGCAGCCTTCAGATCATCTTAGCTCGAGATTCGAAATCGAACAAACAGACCTTGAGACGCATATAACACCAATTACCAATGAAAATGGGGTCGAAATGGTCACACCTAAAGCATTCTCAGCGCCACTGAGATGGACTTTTGGCCAGCTTCGGGAGAAGGCCGAGTCATTGGCAATTTGGTTGCAACAACGTGGCTGTACTAAGGGTGACAATCTTGTAGCTTTCGTTTGGAATTCAGCGGAATGGGTCTTGTTTTTGTGGGTTGCCGCGAGGCTCAGAATGCCATTTGTACCGTTGGATCCAAGGAGTTCGGATAAAGATATTATGCATTATCTGAGCCTGGCTCCCCCTCAAGTCTTAGTTGTTTTAGATCCAGACATGACCCCGATTCTTGAAAGTCTCGGAAATGTCAAAGTTCGGATATCACTTTCTAAAGTTTCCGAAGGGAGAATGAATTGGCATTCACTGTATGGAATAATGGGCAACTTGCCAATGGAAAACATTTCATTTGCTCCTTTGAATGATGATTGTACAGAACTGGGTCAGGAACTTGCTATGATCCTCTCCACAAGTGGGACAACTTCAGTTCCAAAGGGATGCCCTCACACTGCATCAAACATCTGGTCTGCAACATACGACTATGATCCTGTTGCCCGAAAAAACGGCTGTCAAAATAAGTGGCTTATCCACACACCAGTGTGGCATATCTTTGCAATGGGCCAAGCTATACGAGGCTGGAGGGATGGAAGCTCTGTGGTATTTGCTACCGAGAAGTTCGACGTGACTGCCTCCTTGCGAGCGCTCCAAAATGAGAATATTACACATGTTGGAGCCGTTCCCCTACTAGTAAAAGCACTTGTCGCACACCCAGAATTTCCTGGCAAGGATTCACTGTCTCTATCGTACGTAACCATGGGAGGAACATTGATAAAAGATGAAGATGTTAGGTTCTGCAAGGAGCATCTTGGTAGCGAGGCAGTCATTCAAGGCTTTGGTATGACAGAGGGCTCTCCTATGGTAAGCTGGAGGCGCGATGATCTAATGCTTAAGAACGGCTATCATCTCGGAGTGGGAAAAGTTTTACCAGGTGCTAGACTAAAGATATGTTCTCCGAAATCCAATGTGCCTCTAAATAAAGACGAAGCTGGAGAACTCCATATTGGCGGGACTTCCGTCATCGATGGATTTTTGAATGGTATAGATTCAGAATCGTTTTATACGGATGACGTTGGGAAGTGGTTTGTTACCGGCGATCAAGCTATGATAGACACAGATGATGTCCTCTACATCAGTGGACGATATAAAGATATCATCATTCGTGGAGGTGAGAACTTGGTTCCGTCGAAAATAGAATATTGCCTTCAGGACCTTGGCATAACCGTGAGTACCAACCCCTGAAACCAGTTTTCAAGCTGACATTGAAAATTACAGGCTCAAGTGATTGGCATCGGGGATTCCATAGCCGGTGAGGTTCCCGTCGCAGTCTTACAGTCTTGTCCTAAGGAAGTCACCAAGGCACATATGTTCAAAGCTATAGTAGAAAGTTTGGGTCAGATATATGCACTCCATTCTATCATAACATTAGATGAACTTCATCTAAAAGCCTTTCCGATGACTGCGACAGGAAAGATTCGGAAGGTGGAATTGAAAGATATAGTCAATAAGCATTTCGCCACAATCTCAGAAGCGAAAAAAACAAAACCCAGCGAGAAATTAATCGCTCAATTGCGGGGGATCTGGGCAGAGCTTACGAACGCAACCCCAGATGAGATTTCAGTCGAAGACGATGTAACAAATTTTGCCGATAGCATTACAAGATTGAGGTTTTGTAAGATCTTGTGGACCAGACTTGGTCAAAGATTGTACTTGCCAGATTTAGAGAAAAACAATACCATTGAGCAGCAGACAAAGCTTCTCATTGAACGAGGCTATCATGGAGACTCATCTACTTTCCTTTCAGATGACGTAACCTATGTTGAGGACCAATGCAATCCGACTGCATCTAATCAATCCTGTCAGAAAGTACCACACTCTCAAGGAGAAAATGCACGCCAAAATCATCATACTTTAGCCGAGACGACTAACGCAGCTTTGCAAAAGTTCGGTCTAACATGGGAGAATGACATAGAAGATGTTTTGGCAATAAAAGACACATTTCAGGAGTTTGCAAAAGGACAAAGACCACAATCATATCGCCACAGAATAGCATTCGAAATCAAGGATCGCAATTCTAACCAGATCCGTGCAGCATTAGAGAAATCTCTTTTGACCAGACCGGTTTTGCGCACAGTCTTAGTCGAAGTTTCGGGTGCGACAGCTGTTCACGCGGTCCTCCGTCCATCTCAAGCTGTGTACGACATATTGATCTCGCGGAGGAATCTCTCTCACGAGTCAGAAATCCAAGAATATCTAATTGATGATTCCGACCAAAGCTTTGAAGATCGAATGTTCCAAGCTATAATTGCAGATGTTGAGGGCAAGGATACATCAGCGTTGATCTTGACTTTAAATCATTCCGTCTTTGATGCATTGTTCGCATATGGATGGTATAGCGATCTCGATATGTTTATACAAAATCCAAAAGCAACAGCGACCCCTGGCACGCCCTTTAGACTTTTCGCTGATCTGTATCAACAATACCAAGATAGCTCACTCGCTCTCTCAGATGTCAACTTTCATGTTAGGAGGCTTCGAGGTATTTCAAGATTTACCGAGGCTCTATGGCCACCGAAGCGAGCTCCTGGTTGGATGGTTGGGAATGACAGCAAATCGAAAGATTTCATCACTCGTAACACCACAAGAAGGAAGCTTAACATAAATTCACAGCCGAGACCAAGACTTGCTCGAGTGCAGGATTTCCCTGATATTGAGCGGCTTCGGACGCAGTACTTTATCCAAGCACCAGTCATCGTTAAAACTGCTATCTCCATCTTCAACGTCATACAAACAGGAAAGCCACATGCGATTTTCAAGAACTTCGACGCAGGTCGTAACTGGCCATTCCTTCCAGAGTGGATTGCAGATCGTCTGCCTTCTGCCATGAGCATTGATGGCCCCACTTTGACTTGGAACATGAATATGATACAGATTAAACCAAAAGAAACTTGTGGTGAACTCTTAAAAAGAATAGGCGAAGATGAGAAAGCGCTGAGTTCGCACACTCATGCACCATGGTTCAAGATCCTGTGGGCTAGGCGAAGACGAGGGGCCTATTGCGAAAGAGGCTGCGATGAGACAAGCATTCAATTGGGATTTGAGCATGAAGTATCTTGATTCTAGTGTTAGCGACTATTCGACTCTGAAACCTTTGGGAAGAATGGACTGGCCTGACTGGTGAGAGATCTTGATCTTCAGAAATTTCACAAATGTTACTGACCCATAATTCATAGTGGCTTCTTCTGGAACTGTGGTATGGCAAATATGGAACGCTTCTGCTGTGTGGTATCCTGGGACGATACGCAATTAGATATCAATGAAATCAACGGCTATGTGAGCAAATTGCTTGAGATCATCGGGTGGATCACACATCCTAGGAATTGGAACAATTCGGTGTCGAGCTTTCAAGGGTTTCCGATGATGACGTAAAAGATGATTATTTTGGGAGGAATAAACTGTGGGTAACGAAGGGGCTGGCCGTCTGCCGAGGAGTTCAATATCTTACTATAAGTTTTGCGGCGGTGGAATTACTTGGCCCTATCCATGCGTTTTCCAATAGTCGATCCTACATAACTCGGGAGAACGTGGATGTCTGCGACGAATTCCTTGAATTCCCATGTCAATGATTTCATGCTTGCTGTACAAAGAACTTGAAAATAGTGGCATGAGAATTCCAAGTTCACCTCGATCCTTTGCGATGTACTCGCACTGATTGAGAATAAGCTCTATCTTTCCTCCATATTCAATCCTTTGATATCTTGATCGACAAAGCATCGTCGTTACAGACAAGACGAAATTCTCCACAAAGTCGGTACTTCTTGCCATTTCGATAGATGCACAAGTTTAAGGCTGGTGTGCCTATTCCATTCCAAGTCCACTTAATCTGTCGACAAACTTGCGGAAGGTGAAACAATCACACTCGCCAATGTGCACGACATAAGAATTCAAGATCTGATGCGCTCAAGTATATGATTGATGGCCCCCAGATACATTGTAGCTTCAGATAACCTTCTAGTTTCATGTCCGATGTAATGAAAGAGGCATTGAACGCGGAAATACGTCCTTTTCCAACAAACGCAGGAGTCTAAACTCCGATCGGGATACTTTAATGGGTATATCATAACGGCACCTGGAGCCCACTTTCAGTGTCATTTAACGAGGCTTGTGGAGATTATACTCCGCAAGGCGAGATCAAATCCTCAAAAGAGGCGCAAAGAAGAAGAAACGAACGAAAGTGTCTTAGTTGAAGGGTCGATCATATCCAAAGAAGAAATAGGTTATCCTTATATGTCATAAACAAACTCTTGAATAAGAACATATGGGGCATTTGATGAGTAATGGTTTCGGCATGAGAAGAGATGGAGAGTCGAGATATCCGTTTGCGTGTATTCTATATCTTGCAATAAGAGACGAAGAGACCAAGGAGATTCTACTCCTGCTTCACGAATCACCGCCAATATGTGGACTCAGCTCACTCGATTCATGAAGAGAAAATTCAGTCAAGTTGGTGGAATCGGACCGAGGTCACGTGTAATCAAATTTATGAGGAATTGTACCACACAGATTAAAGCAAAAAAGCAAAAACAAGCTTCTTATGATTTCCTCCCTCATCCCTACTCAATTACTGTCACAAATCTCTAACTTGTCGATCTCCCCTTTCCATATACTGAGGCCGATAACGCGCATTTGGCATAAAACCCAAAAATAGATTTCTGCCTAATGAAAAAAGAAATTTTAGAATCTGTATAGTGTGTTTATAGAAATCTAATAAAGAAAGATAAAATTCAACCTTATTGAAGACTTTTTGTAAAACAAATTATATCATTAAATAGCCCTTAGGGTTAGCTTTATTAATCTGTTTTTAGAATTCATTTCGAAATGTTCTATAGGAAGTGTACTAATATTTAAAATCTATCTTCAAATAGTTTTCCTTATAATGTATAGACCACTTTAGGATAAGTGAAATAAGCGAATAAGCTTAGTAAGAATTCCTTATCTCAAGCTTAGTAAGAATTCCTTATCGAGCTTATCTCAGCTTATCTCGTTTAATTTGTATGACTAATATAGCTTTAGTTAGGTTCTATAATATTAAATAAGAGAATTCAATTCAGTACACAACTTTAAAGAAATTAATAAAAGAAAAGAGAAAGAGGTTTAATTATTAATTAGAATTAAAGGAATCGATTAGTGTATTTCTTTTTGAATTATCTCAAAAATTAAAATTTATATTCAATTCTAACTACTTTCATCATACTTAGGGATCTGTTTTATCTTAATACCTTAATTATTAGGCTCAATGACTAATCAAACCTTGAATAATATTATTAATATTAAACAGAATATTTTAATTCAGTACACAACCCTAAAAGAATTAATAAAATAAAAAGGAAAGAAATATTATTATTAATTAGAACTCAAGGAATCGATTGATATAATTACTTTTAAATTATCTCAAAAAATGAAATTTATATTCAATTTAATAATACTTAAAGAACAAAAGACTGAATATCAAAATTAGTTTTTTTTTAATTTTATTAGGAATATTTCTATATTGAATATAAATTTCATTTTTTGAGATAATTTAAAAGTAATTATATCAATCGATTCCTTGAGTTCTAATTAATAATAATATCTTTTTCCTTTTCATTTTATCAATTCTTTTAGGGTTGTGTACTGAATTAAAATATTCTTATTCTTAAATGCACACCACTAAATTCTAAATTAGATTTTAGCTTAGGCAGAAATCTATTTTTGGGGTTTATGCCAAATGCGCGTTATCGGCCTCAGTACATATGAATGGAAGCTAATTCCGAATTCTTTAGAGGAACCGACAGGAGCCGACAGGAACTATTGTAATCTTACATAACGGTAGATACAGTACTACCCGTGGACAAGCAAGCAGGACCACAAAAAATCTTTCCCACCAAGGACCAAGAGCTCCGATTGATCCACATACTGAATCAAAACATGCTTCAACGTTTGATTTTTCTACTTTGCCATTGTCAGATATCGATCCTACCCACAAAATTCCCCTCCATCGATGAAGTTATGACGACTTTTCAATTAGGAATCGCCGTCCACATCATGCTATATGAGGCCACAATATTCAAGGTAAGTGGGAAACCTCTTGTAAGTGTATTTCATTCATTCGCAGAGATTTATGCTGGACCTTGTTGCCTTTTGATATCGTGTGTGTAAGTGAGTGAAGAAAGGCAACATCAATCAAAATCGACGTTCTCATGGCAGATCATCACGATGAGGGGCGAGAGACTGGTCAAAACACTCCAGCGCCGTCGGTCAGAGACGGCAGCGTAAATACACAAAGAACTACGAGAACCACGAGATCTGCGAGAAACGTTCGTCCAAATGGCCAAGCCCACGGCTCTAAAAGATCACATATGCCAAGTTTACGACCCCATGGAGTACGTCAGCCAACAAACAATACACCTCTCGAAGATCGACCGCAATACTCCTTAGCTGGTAATAATGGAGGGGTTCAACGCGAACCTCATTATGTCGACAGAGAGTATTACGATTTCAACCCAAACTACCAAAAACCTAAAGATGAGCCAGTATGGGGATTGGCCAAACCTCTCCCGCGAGTGGTCAGGCCGGGAATGAGACGAGGGAAACAGGGCGTGGTCGAGAATAAGGATGCAGAAAATGCACAGCCAGGAAGTTCCGAGGCTATACCGCAACTTGGAATGATTGACGATCAGAGGAAAGGGCAGGCAAAAAAGAAATCGAATCGACTTGGTAGGAATGAGGAGGACCGAGGTTATGGTCACCAACAACAAGAGCGAGGACGGAGACAGAGCTACAGATCTAATAGGCAGGATTCTGAGAACTTGATATTGGATCACAATGGCACTCCGCTAGCCGAGAGAGACAACCCTATGGATGAGTGGAGATCTCCTCAGGATGATGGGGAAGGAGATCTGGGCCGGCAAAATACGAATCGACTATCTGATGTTGAGGAACATCCCTCAGGATCAACGTTAACTCATCATTCTACCACACAAAGTGCAGACTTTGCAAACGACGAGAACGACGATGGGCTTGATTTGGAGAGGGGAGATAAGGTAGAAGACGATGAATGGTCTTTAAGTAGTGAAGAAGCGGAGCAGTATATTCAAGAGGAAAGAGACAACCACAATGCTTTGGCAGCAATTCGTGAAAGATTTCGTGAGCCATTAGCCGAGTGCTTAGCAGTAAGTCCTCTATCCACCAGTGGTCATCCCACAAATAATTGATTTCACACATCTAACGAAGCCTAGACAATGATAGCAGTCCTCATTGGTATAGCCACTAATCTTGCTGTTCAAACCTCAGCAGACACTTCAGGCAATTATCAATCCACAAATTGGGCTTGGGGTTTAGGTATCACAATAGGTATTTACATCGCAGGTGGAATTTCCGGTGCTCATCTTAATCCCGCCATATCCCTCATGTTATGTATATCTAGAGGCTTCCCTATACGAAAAGCATTTATTTATATCCTCGCGCAAATCCTCGGTGGTTTTCTCGCCGGACTCATCGCATACGGCATCTACAAAGATGCAATTGCCACATATAATGCTACTGGTGGTTCACTCGGCAATGGCCAAGTAGTCAACTTACTAGCCGGAGGCACAGGTACATCTTTCTACACACAGCCCCAAGCCTTCGCTAGCCCCTCGGCGAGTTTCTTTAACGAATTCGTCGCCACTGCCATCCTCGCCTGCACCGTCCTCGCCCTCGGAGACGACTCCAACGCACCCCCAGGAGCAGGTATGCACGCGCTCATTGTCGGCCTCGTCGTTACCGTGCTCACTATGGCTTTCGGCTACACCACTGGTGCATGTCTTAACCCGGCCCGAGATTTCGGCCCACGTCTTGCCACTGCAGCAGTGGGATACGGCAGAGAAGTCTTTACCGTCTCGAATGCGTGGTGGATTTATGGGGCTTGGGGCGCGACGATCACGGGTGCGTTAATTGGAGGTCTGTTTTATGATGTGGCTATTTTTGTAGGAGGCGAAAGTCCGGTTAATTATCCGAGAAAAAGGAGGAAGCAAATTGCGAAGAATGCAAAGGGAAAGGCGGAAAAGGGATGGTGGATTTTCAAAAGAGATGTAGAAATGGGTTTGAAAGGGGATTTTAGGAAAGAGGGATGATTTTTTTGAGTTTTCGTTTGGGGGTAATTTTATACTATGACGATTAGGCGTTGATGAAAAGTAAAGGTGTTGGGGGATAATTGTATTTCATATCTATATATAGCGTTGAGGTTTTCTTATTCTTTGGTTCTTTGATTCTGGAATAATAAACAAGTATCATCGATTTTATAATATTTATTATGTTCTATATACTATAATATATATTACACCGATTATTTTATCGATCTATTTATTCATTTTTCTTTATTTATTTTTATTTATTTATTTTTGTTTATTTATTCTATATATGATATAGAACTATTAGGTATAGGTATACCATCATATTATATATTTCACTTGTCTAGATATCTAGTATTATCTACTATCTAGATATAATTATATTATATATCTAAGTATTTCTATATTTCTATTTACTTAGTTACTCTTTTATTTATTAATTTATCTATTCATCTACTTACTTATCTACTTATTCATTTATTCATTTATTCATTTACTCACTTACTCACTTACTCATCTAATTATTCATTTACTTATTCATCTACTTACTTATTCACCTACTCCCTTTTATACCTACTCATTATTCCTCAATCATTCCCCTTCTATATTCATCTATCTATTCATCTCTTTTTTATATTCACTTACTCACCTACAGTAGTCATTTCCTTTCTATATTAATTTATCTACCTACTCATCTATTTACTTATCTATTTACTTTTTTCTATATTTACTCATCTACTTTCTTACTTATTCCCTTCTATACTCATTTATCTACTCCTTTATATCTATTTATTTATTCATTTATTTATCTCCTTTCTAATATCTACCGACCTACCTACTCACCTACCTACTCACCCATCTACCCCCCATCTACCCCCCATCTACCCCCCATCTACCCATCCACTCAAAACTTCAAATTCTAAAGAACACAACCAATCAATCATTAAACAAATCTCTATTTCTCTCTCTCCTCTCTCCCTCTCTCTCCTCTCTCTCTCCTCTCTCTCCTCTCTCCTCTCTCTCTCTCTCTCCTCTCTCTCTCTCCTCTCTTCCTCTCTCTCCTCTCTCCTTTTTCCTCTCTCCTTTTTCCTCTCTCCTTTTTCCTTCTACCTTTTTCCTTCTACCTTTTCCTTTTTCCTTTTTCCTTTTAATATCTTTTTCTCTCCTCCTATCCCATTCACATCTACATCTACATCTCCATCTATCTATCCCATCCTATCCTACATATTCACATCCACATCTCCATCTCCATCCACATCTCCATCTCCATCCACATCCACATCTCCATCTCCATCCACATCTCCAGCTACATCCACATCTCCATCCACATCTCCATCTCCATTCATATCTCCATCTACAATCTCCATCCATATCTCCATCCACATCTCCTAGCTCGAGCCACATCGCCATCTACATCTCCAGCCACCCCGATACTATATCGAGATCGACACCTACAAAATAATAAAATACAAGATAATATAAACCTAGATATTTAAACAACGGCTATTTCTCAACTTGCCTTTCTTGCTTTTCTTTCTTTCTTTTACTTTCCTTTCCGTTCCTTTCTAATATCTAAATATAATCATATATATATATAGGTATAATATATATATATAAATATAAATTCAAAATATAAATCAAATCTATATTTACTATATACAAATCTACAAATCTACAAATCTATATACCTACTAATCAACCTACATAGTTATCCCAATTCTCCAAATCCTCCTACTCTATCTACTAAAATTATAATCTTACCTCTCTTATCAATCAATAGATATCCAACCCTATCCTATCCTATCCTACCCTACTCATCCACCAATCAATCCATCATCAATCAATCCACTATCCATCATCCATCAATCATCCATTAAATTGTCTATACAAACATTCATCCATACAACCACCAACCACCAACCACCCATTGCAGACCCCTAAAATCCATCATCTATCTCTCCCCATGCCCTTATAGCCCTCCTCCCAAAAAGCTTCCCCAATCCTCCACACGAATCCACATCTATTGGTTTCCCCATCTCCCCATCTCCCCATCACCTCATCCCTCATCCCTCATCCCTCATCCCTCATCCCTCATCCCTCATCCCTCATCCCTCATCATAACAACACTTTTCTCTACTCTCTACTCCAGCGCCAAGAATTTTCGAATGAAGAAGCGAAAGAAAAATAGAAGAAGAAAAAAGACCAAGAAGAAAAAAGACCAAGAAGAAGAAGAAAGAATCAAGAAGTCGAAATTGAAGTTATATGTTCATGAATTGAAGAGCCCTCTTCCATTTTCTCCCTAAGGATTATAATGGGAAGAAAGAAAAAGTAGGTTCTGCACCCATTGCATCTTCCCGCTGTAAACCTATTCCGAAATTGAACTCGAAGGCATCTTTCAGAAGAGCACTTTGAGAGTGTCCTTTTACTTCCAGTAAAATTATATGTACCACCTAAGCACGCTCGAACCTCCAACGCCAGCCTTCCTTCCCGAAACCCAGAACAAGAATTGAAGAATAAGTCGCATCCTCTTTCCAAAAGCGAGGTCACCTCAAACTTTATACACCTTTTACATGACATCACACTTTCCATCCCCATCACCCCCATTGGGATTGACACTCAATGCGACTCTAGCCGCCTCTGTAAACGCCTCGTTAACTCCTCTATTCCTCATCGCCGAGCATTCCAGATATCTGAGCGCATTGATTCTCCTCGCTACTTCCAAGCCTTGATTGTAGTCAATCATTGGTTTCTTTTCTCTCGGTTCTGCACCTTCTGTTCCCTCTGCCGCTTCATCGTCTGCACCTTGTTCCCTCAAATCACATTTCAATGCGACTAAAACGAGTTTGACACCTTGACAATTCTCAGCGATTTCGCCTACCCATTTGGACTCGACGTTTTCGAGGGAATCTTTTGAGTCGACGGAGAAACAAAGCATGATTGCGTGCGTATCATCGTAGGAAAGCGAGCGCAATCGATCGAATTCTTCTTGGCCGGCTGTGTCCCATAGAGAAAGTTCGATATGTGTACCATCGACGAAGATATCTAGATTGCGCAGGAACGTGAGTCGGGATTCCGCGGAAACAATGACGTAGTCATGAATTGATCATCAAAGGAATTGGAACATGAGAAACTTACCATGAACGTAGTTTTCAAAAACCGTAGGTTCGTATACCGTTGGGAAATATCTAAAATTCCATCATCAGATTCTCTGTCATAACAACTCCAAGATAACGTCATAAGAACCCAAAACCTACCCTCTCGTAAAAACGTTTAGTAAACTTGTTTTTCCGCAAGCACCATCCCCTCTGTGATAACAAAACATTGTTAGCAATCTTTACATTCTTTTTGGAATCCAATCGTCAACAGTAGATCAATTGAAGTCGTAATCGCAGTATCAAATTGAAGATATCATTTCCACCACTGCGCCTCCCATGCGACTCAACCCCGACGGTACTTTCGTCGCATAATTTGATCCATATGATAGAATCACTTGTACATAAATTCGGGGTAGAAAAATCCTCAATGCAGATAAGTAAACGTAAAATATAACATACAATAAGACCAATTTCCTCTGAGTAGTTTTGGAACCTCCGAGTCCGCACGGCATATTGAATATGAGATGATGTAAGAGTTGGTAGGTAAGGATGTCGATATGTAATGCGAAGGAATACCTATCTCGTAGTATATTTTGTAGGTGGAGGGAGAAAGGGACAATCAGATGTTGGAATTGTGACGGAGTGATGGCAGAAGGATGAAGGATGAAAATGAAGATTCCAGGATTGAAAAGTAACTGAATACTGGATGGGATGGGATGGATGTGGATGGATGAATGGATAGACCGAGGGTTGAGCCTTAAAGGGGCCAGGCCAAAGAATGACTAGGGTGGGAGTAGTGGTGGGTGGGTGGGTAGGTAGATGGATGGGATGGGTTATTTTTATTATTGAATATCCGACTTGTTAAACTTGATGGAGATTGTATAATTGGATAGATAGTAATCAATTCATCAATATATCAATGATGTATATACCTAGGTAGCTGGAGATATATATAAATCAATTGAAGAAATTGAAGGAAAGAAAAGAAAAGAGAATGGTGAATTCGAATCAGATCAATTGTAATTGGAAATGTAAATGGGAGTAGAAATATAAAATGTAAGGGCAGGTAAATAAGAATCAATGATAATAATAACCTTAGAATGATAATGAATAATAACTGAGAATTCCCAGTCCCGACTCGAATATCTACCCAGGCAAGGAATTCCTATGCGAGTCTATTCCGTAGGTATATAATATTTGATATCTATCTTGTATCTACAGTACTAGTAGTATATATCATATATGTGGTGAGCGAGATCAATGCTTGCTTAAATAACTTCTTCATTAGAGCCAGCCAGCCGTACAAAGTATTACTGAATATATCCCTTATCATCCATCTACTGGTATCTATCGAGGCAAGCCATAACAGCATCCCCAAATCCTTGAAGAAGAAACACGACAGCGTCTCCCAAAACTTTAAATAAAGTATCTAAATGAAGTCATGAAGTCACAAAATCACAAAATCACATCAGATGACACTACACTCTATCTAGTATCCCAGATACCTATCCTATCCCCAAAACCTTTCTTCCAAGTTCCACTCCAGCTGGACATTTTCGACATACATATTTCCTTTTGACCCTCTCACGAATCACGAAATCCTTTCTTTTGCACAGAAACTTTCCAGAGACCTGTATAGGTAAGCTGCATCACCTTACCCGATACCTACCTATCTAGTAGAGTAGAAGCACGATGCGCACAACAACCGTATCCATCTCCGAAGTGATAATTTTGGCATCGGGGGAAGGGGGGGGGAACGAACTAATGCAGCCAGAAAAAGAAATACGTCGCAGGCAGGCCCGATAGAGGTATCACTCCGGAGCTGGAGAAAGTTCGAGGTACCTATCGTCGGAGTACTTGGATATGTCATATCGTGGGGAAAAGATGGTGCATCTGGAGTCATGAGAGAAGGAGGGTATGTATGTATGTATGTATATACATATATCAATGGATACACGATGAATATCTTTCTCATTCAAATCTCAATTATGTACCTACGGTATTACAGTCTGGTCTGCCATCTGTAATCTATCATTTACAGTCTGTATATATTCTTAATCACTTGCTTGTATATCTCTAAATTCTCTATAACATCCATGGATACCTAGTACATCCATATATACACCCTACACCTGCATTAATAACAAACTAAATACTGTGGCTGATTCCCGGGAATTTATCTTGACATTTTGCGTGGCTCACAAAGTGCAATGGACAATGAAAAAGAGAAGAGAAAAAAAATTGATGGAACCAAGCGGATGATCGTCACATGGGGGAGGGGGTCAATCCTTGAATAGGAGGAAATTGCTGCTGTACACTCTGTAGAGCCGCGGGTCCATAAATCAGTCTTGCCTTGTTCAGAGTGGATCAATCAACATTACGAGTGGGTTCGAGGTGGAGAGCATTTCGACTTTCCAATTTGGAAGCTTACATTACAATTGCTTTTCTAATCTGCAATCTTGCGCAATAATAAAAGCATAATAACAACGAGTCATCAAGTTCCTATGACAATGAAAACCCCATGCAATCTGCCATACTTAAGGGTATTCGAGCAATAACACACCTCCATTGTCTTCCACATAAACAAAAAAAAATCAAAAATCAAAATCACTCCTCTTCCTTGATGAATCCTTGTCCTGCACGACGCCCGATTCGATCACCGAGATTCATATTTCCAGCTGTTCGATTGAGACCATTGATGAAATCGCCTTTGTCCGAGTACTTTGATGTATTGGTTCGTGCCCTATCCTCAGCTTCATGGGCGGCCTTCTCCTGTTCCTCCAATGCCCTTAGTCGCTTCTCCCGATCAGTTTCCAGACTTGATGCATCTTGCTGCATAGCGGCCAATTTCTTTTGTCGCTCAACCTCCTTCTCTTCTTCCGAAGGTCCATTCGCCTGCTGATGTCCACCATGAGGTCTTCTATCATCGCGTCTGCCATAACCATTTCCATTACGTTGATTATCGTATCTGTTCCCGTTATCCCTTCGGTCGTAACCATTCCTTCTATCATCTCTATCTGCTGGGTAAGATCTCCTCCTATCCGGGGACCTTCGTCGTTCTGGCGTGGGGGATCTAGAATCTGGAGATGAACTATTTCTCCTTCTCTGTTTTTTGTCTTGATTCCTGTCTGGTCTGCTATCTTGCCGTTCATTTGGTGACACAGGTCTTCGGCGGTCGTAGTCTCTTTCTCTTATTGGCCGTCCTCTTTCTCTATTATCCGGTGATACTGATCTTGGTTTTCGTGATCTGCCAAAACTATCTCGTCTTTCGACAGGGGAACGAGATCTTGAATATGAATCTGAACGTCGTCGATATTCATGTTTGCGACTTCTGCGATCTCTATCGTCATCGTAATTATCACCACTTCTGCGACGCTTGCGACTGCGATCTTCTTCCCGACCATCCCTATTCTCATCTCTCCTACGCTTTCGTCTTCGCTCTTCATCGTCGTCATCATGATGCCGATGATGGTGACGATGTTTTCTTTCCTTCTTCGGCTTAACTTCCTTGGTGTCCTGCCCAGCCAATTCAAGCAGTTTGCGTCGTTTGATCGGATCATTCATCATAGCCTCATATGCAGCCTGCTCCTGTCTTTTGATAGCAAGCATGGGGTCTTCACGAACCTTAGCTGCTGTGTCTCGTAGAGTATTCGCATTTTGTAAAGCCATGAAACTAGCCTCGGAAGCTTGTTTCTCGAGATTTTTGTGCTCTGTGCCTTTGATCAATCCATCAATGCGCCTCTTTCCAAGAAGATAACCTTCCATCTCTTCAGTGGTTCCAGCTTGACCACTTGATGGACCTTGATACATCCAATCGACACGATCAACTCGCTTTCTCGATCCGGCGGCTTCGAGTTTGTTTTGAATCTCTTCCTTCGCTCGTTCTTCTTTAAGCTCCTTAATCCTCTGTTCTGTACGCCTTCTTTCTTCGAGGGCTTTCTTCTCTTCCTCCCATACCCGCGTTTGATTCTTCATCAAATGGGGATGCCATGACTTCTTCAAATTGAGATCGCCACCCATTTTGAAAGTTGTTTGACGTTATTGTAGAAGCAGATTCAAGATAAATCGTCGTCGCAGGTGGGAACGTTTATACACACAAGTAATACCAAATATGGAAATCGAAGAATGAAGTGATGAATCCCAAGCCAAAATAAAAAATTTCGTAATCAAGAACTGCGCTATGTACGAGTTGCAATAATTCTTGACGATAAAATACAAACAAATGTTTAATGTTCATCGCAAGGCGGAAAGAAGCATTTCAAAATCAGAAAGGCAGGATGGACGCTAAGCGATTTGTAGCCAATCATACAAGACTGCGGGGATAGCTCTAGGCAAACGACACACAGCACAGCCTTATCACTGTACCGTACCTCAACCTTTGACGTTCCGTGATATCTTTAAACTCGTCATTACGGAACCTCCAAATTCTTTTGAATAAATGCGACCATAATTTATCAATACAGAGCCTCGTCTTCAAACCTCTCGCCTTACAATTAAACCAAAATAATCGCAAAAATGTCTGACGATGATGATTTCATGCAAGATTCAGACCAGGAGCAGTATGTCAAGCCTTACCAGACATTCGTTGGGTAGCTAACGTTCACAGATATGACTTCGAATATGAAGATAATGACGACGAGGAGGATGCCGATGTCGATATTGAGAACAAATACTACAATGCCAAACAGATGAAATCTACAGATCCTGAAGGTGCGATCGAGGAGTTTTTAGGAATTCCAGCTCTCGAGCAAGAGAAAGGCGATTGGGGATTCAAAGGGTTGAAACAAGCTATAAAGATGGAATTCAATCTTGCTCTATATGATAAGGTAGGGTTTTTGTCTGTTCCGAATGATCTTATTTAACAATTCATCAGGCTGTTGAACATTATCTTGAACTTCTTACCTATGTCAAATCCGCCGTAACGCGAAACTACTCGGAAAAATCTATCAACAATATCCTCGACTTCATCGAGAAAAAGACTGAAGATGATGCAGCGAGAAAATGCATGGAGGAATTTTACTCAAACACCCTACAATCTTTTCAAAGTACCAACAATGAACGATTGTGGTTGAAAACTAGTATCAAGCTGGCGAAACTCTGCCTCGACCGCAAGGATTACGCTGCGACAACAAAGAAATTACGAGAACTTCGCAAGGCATGTGAGTTGGAAGATGGTACAGATGATCCAAGCAAGGGCACCTACTCCTTGGAGATCTACGCACTCGAGATTCAGATGCATTCCGAAACGAAAAATAACAAGCAATTGAAGCGTTCATATGAAAGAGCTTTGAAGGTCAAATCAGCAGTCCCACATCCTAGGATTATGGGCATCATTCGAGAATGTGGTGGGAAGATGCACATGACTGAGGAAAACTGGAAGGACGCACAGAGTGATTTCTTCCAATCATTCAAAGATTATGATGAAGCGGGATCTTTACAGCGAATCCAGGTTCTCAAGTATCTTGTTTTGACAACCATGTTGATGAAATCCGATATCAATCCCTTCGAATCCCAAGAAACCAAACCATATAAAAATGATCCCCGCATCGCTGCAATGACCGATCTCGTCGATGCCTATCAAAGAGATGATATTCACAGATATGAAGATGTTTTAAAGAACAACAAAGATCTTATGTCCGATTCCTTCATCCGCGAAAATATTGACGAGGTAACTCGAAATATGAGAACCAAAGCCGTGGTAAAATTGATCGCCCCTTACACCCGTTTCAAGCTCGACTTCATTGGCAAAGCTCTCAAGATTCCCGTCTTGGAGGTCCAAGATATTCTAGGCTTTTTGATCGTCGATAAGAAAGTCAATGGAAAGATCAACCAACAAGATGGAACTGTTGAAATTGAGGACAATAGAGATGCAGAACGTCTCAAGGCAATGCATGAATGGACTACAGCTATAGGTTCATTGTATGAAACCATTTTCGCAGAGAGTGAGGGCTTCAGGATGAATGATGTCAATCAGATTGGGGATATAGACAAGGAGTTAGGTTCTATGGGCGGATATATGAGTCCAGCTAACACGAGTAACGTGAGATTTGGTGGACAAAAGGGAGGTAGATTCGCGATGGGTGGAAGGGGAAAAAAGGGATGGTTGGGATGATTTGATTGAAAAATCTGGTGAACACTAGGTACGATGTTGATACCATGAGATCACATGGAGTGTATGGGAGTCGGGAGTTGATGAAGAAGCTTAAGGGAGATCACGGTAATGATGATAGATGAATTATGATCAATGGATAGGTACCCTCCCTTAGCTACCTACCTACCATAAATACATATATTAATAAACAGAGACATACAAATTTCATTTTCTTCGTCTATGCTTAAATCTAACACTTACATCACAATTCTTTATCTCCCATCCATTCACACGTGTAGTACTTATCATCCAACATTGTTCTTTCCAAAACCGCTGAAAAGTTTCAATGTATTATTTATACATATATATTCCTTTAAAGAATCATCGCGAGATAGCCGAGATTGTGGCTAGCGGGAAAGGAGTGGGGTGTGATATATATTATGTTATATGCTATATGCTATATGTAATATATAATATGTAATATCATGAATGGATATAGGCATAGTTGAAAGGGAGAGGGGGGATGATATCATGATGTGGGGAAAAGATATAAGACTAGAATGCTAGAATGGGAGTAGCAGGAGGAAAAGAAGAAGATGTGGGGATATGGGAAGGGGCTGGTGGAGGTTGTGTGATTTCTGTGTGTGTGTGTTGGGGAGGGGTTGTAGGTGGGTTTTGAAGGGGAGGGAGATGGTTTGGAGATGGTTTGGAGATGGTTTGGAGATGGTTTGGAGATGGTTTGGAGATGGTTTTGGTGTGTGGTGTTTGGTGTGTGGTAGGGATGATAATGATATGTAGGTTGAGAGGATGGAGATGAATAGGAGTAGGAGGTAGGAGGTAGGAGGTAGATGGTTGATGGTAGATGGTTGATGGTAGATGGTTGATAATAGATGGTTGATGGTAGATAATAGATGATTGATAGTAGATGATTAAGAGAAGGGGGGTAGATAGTGTGAGAGATGGTGTGAGAGATGAAGAGTGAGAAAGATGTAGAAAACACAGAGCTTGCTGGCTTGCTGGCTTGGTAGTTAAGTGAAGGAGATGAGATGGGCGGTTGATAGTGAATACATCTTATGTTTTATGTTTTATATAATGTGAAATATGTCATATATCATATATCCTATTTAAGATATCTGGATACGTAGATGCATATGATTTGGAGTAAAGCGATGAAATCATATCTAGATATCTACATGAGCTACCTTGAGATAGGGACGGAGGATTAGCGAGAGCGGGAATACCTACTGGTGTTTATCTGGATTATGTGGTGGGAATAAGGTGGTGCTGAGGGGAGATTTTGGCGTGGGGGGAGGAGGAGGGGAGAAGGGGGAGGGGTATGTAGGTGTAATATGCTGAGTAGGTAGGTGTGTATATACATGCATGTTCATACAGAGATAGAATCTTACAGTATAATGCAATGAGCGATGATCGGAAGAAGGGAATTTCTGGGTATATGTAGATGGAGTTAATGTATGTGGGATTTCGGAGGCGGTGATGGGGAGAGAAATCTTTACTCTGTGGATATCTCGATGTCTCGAGATCTTGAGTTTGCTTCTGGGTTCTGGGTTCTCGGTTCTGGGTTTGGGGGAGGAGATGAAGGAGTTGGTGATGATTTGATGTTATGCTATGGAGATGTATGATGTGTATGTTGTGTGCATCCGGATCGAAGGTATGTGAAGCTGTGAAGCTGTGTAGGTATGTATGTATATATGCAGGGAGTATGAGAGGTGCATTTTGCGGCTGGCTGGAGATGGGACACGGATTAGCGAGGGTTGGGAGAAATGAAATTATGAGTTTTTTGGTTAGAGGAATGTGTGTGTTTGTATGTGTTATCTTGTTAGTGGAAGATTGGAAGTTTCTGTTGTGATTGATTGATTGAGTGATTGAGTGATTGATCGGTAGGTTGATCTTGGGATATCTGGAACGGAGTGGATGGTGTTGAGTATATGGTGTGAAGAAAGTTGGTTCGGTTAGAATGGGCTTGAAACGATGAGCTTGATGAGGCTTGAGATCCTTGAATGGGAAGGGATCAGGGATGATATGTGATGTGATGTGCTGGTTTGAGAGGGTAGGATCGGATGCGTTGAAACTCGGATAGGATTGGATTCCTGGTAGAGAGATCGAGGGATTTGAGATGGATGGGAGGTGTAGATGAGGGGAACTTGAGGAGAGAGCGGGAAGTGAGGGGTTTGGTTCGCTCTAGTGAGAATTGATGTATTAGTAAGGCTTGAAGATGCAGGATATGAGCAGTACAGCAGAAAAACGAACGGCTGAACACTAAAATGTGGAAATGTGGTGAAAATTAAGATCTGACTCTGACTGCTTGTTGATCGACAGATGTGTGTGTGAGATCAGCATCTGATTAACTTTATTCACAACATGTAGGATGTACATAAAGATGTGTGAGATAGAGGGGTAGGTCCAAAATTAGAAGTAGATGACACAAAATTCATACTCCTAGGTACTTTTTTTTAGTTACTTCTCACCATGCTTGCTAGATATGGAATATACTTCAACCCATCTGTGTAAAATATGTGATGCGGTATGCATGGAAAGCAATCAATCTAGTACTCTATAATCTAATCTCGATCTTCATCAGATTAAACATGCGGGAGATTCACCCCTAGTAATGTTTGACTCAGTAGTATACATGATGATAACCTATCAGAAGCATCAGAGTTTAGAAGGTGGTAGACCAATAGTCGATGGGGTTTTCATATGGTGGATTTTTTGGAGGTTGAGGTAGGAACAATGTATTCATGTAGCATCGGGCCAACTCGGTTCTTTCTAGGTGTAGACTTGGCGGGGTATTGCCGGAGGGGTTCCTACCTACCGTTCCTCACACATTCATGATAATGATTAGCTTTTGTGAGATGTGATAGATATCATATGGGTAGCATGGAACTTTGTGTTATGCATGATGATGGTAGGTACTTTGACTCTTGGTACGGGTGTGAGGATGCGGGTAGGTCTTATTTTCCGGGATGTGTGCGATAGCATTGGAGATATGATAGATGTGTTGATGTAAGATGAATCAATTGATGAGAGGAGATCAACACGAATGGTAGAATCGGGCTGAGATAAGGTGTGTAGCATGGGAGAGCGTGGGTTGCGAGGTTCCTTGGTTAGGTCTCGCATGTATTGGTACGTTGAAATTGGAATTGGTGTGATTATCGGTACTTGATGAAGGGGCATGTAAGATTTTGATTGTATTTTTCAGAGATTAGCAATGATCTAGTACTTTCTTAGATGAATTCTACTTATTAGTTCCGTCTTTTATCTTTCATTAAGAAAATACGACTTGATATTCTTGACACTCATGTTCAGGGACAATAACCGAATGAATACATACATACTTCCAGCTAATCGTATGTACTCAAATGCATGTCTAATAGATATTATTTATAACTGAAGTTCGATTGGTGGATCGTGAATAGAATCCCTACATCGCAGTAGACGATCCAAAAGTCTACTAACTCTTCATTCTGCAGTAGACCAAAGGTTATGCGTATAGAAAAAATACTAGGGGACACTCTATAGCTTCCCCGAACCCATGATCCCAGCTTAATTTGCTAAATAGCTTTTCTCGTCTATCAATGTCACTATACTTTATTTACACTCCTGCTTTCTACTCTGACCCTCCTCTTGGCAACCAACCACAAATATCAATTGTTCCTTATCCTGGAAAAATTCTTCCTGCCCTATCGTTTTGCTCGTCATCTCGAAATGCAATGTTCAATACTCATACATGATGTTTATGCATATAATCTATAACCTAGTCACGATACCGAACAAACAAACGGACAGGCGGAATGGTGCGCGATATTCCAATTTCAAGATGGCATCGAATTGGTTAAGATTCAATATAGAGAGTAATGGTAGAAGGCGACCTGCATGAGAAGGGTATGTATGCACGCAAGCAAGCCATGCCAAAACTCGGGAAGTTGAGTTACCGTTAGGATCAAGATGATTGAGTAATGAATGGTAAGGAGAAGGAGAAAAAGCTTTTCCTCGCGGAATATCTTGTAGCGATTATTCTGTGACAATGAAGCATGTGAGGGAGGATGGACAAAGCCGAATGAATGGCTTCATTTTCACCCAATTGCAACGTCAATATATCTTCGGTGCAATATCCGGAGGTATGTATATGTACGTATCAACGGGCATTATTTCAATAGGTGAATAATGTACAATCGATGTCATGACATGATGAACATGATCTCGCCCCCATGTCACTCATTGTACAATACAGATACGCACGGAGTAACAAGGGCGGTTTTCTTTCCTACAGGCATGCCTTGTGGGTTTAAAACTATTGAGTACTTAATACAGAGGTACATGGGCACAATATGGCATGGTACTCTCGGGGAATGAGAGAGGGTTCCGTTTCCTCGGGAAAATTTGGAAAGGACGAGACAAGAGACACGAGTAGACGAATAATACATGATTATACATCGTTACATGTGAGCGGCAGTACGGCCCGCATGGATGCAAACAATCAGTGCGTTCTTTTCACCCAATCGCAACTTGGATAATTCCGTCTCGATATTTTGGTTGGGTTATCTCAAAGTTGAAACTCTAGAACCCTTAATTCAAAATTTTCATATCCCATGTTGGCTGTTATGTTTTGCCTAGCAATTGTTGGTTAATGTTATTGCTCGTGTTAGATGGTTGTTGGATGCGTCGTGCTCCGATAGTTGTTGGTTTCCTTGCCACGCCTACTTACTTTAAACTACCCCCGATGGAGTACGGAGATTTCGAAATGAAGAAACTTCATTGGTGAAATTGAAATGGTAGTCACTTTCCAAGGCTGTTATGTTCAACATCTACTTGTTATAACCATACATAAGGTCTCGATCCAGACAGCGAATGATCGAGAACTCTTCATTTATCTTCACACGGGTGTGATGTGATACCAAAGCCATCACTACATTCCCGTGTGTGAAACCTAACCTTTCCCCCTCATTGTGGAAAGGGAACGTAACTACCCGTGGTTTCTTCCCTTTCGGCTTCCACAAGGAACTCCTTTTCTTAAATTTTTCCCTGGCCCTTCTCTCTTCTCCACATTTCCTTTACGGGATCCTTCATTCTCTCAATCCTCTCTCTTCTCCGTCGATTCTCCGTCGATTCTCCTTCCGTAAAGTTAAGTGAGATACGGTGGATGATTTTCGTAAGTTACCAACCAACAATTCCGATGTCGAGATGCCAAGACGGAGAATAGCCAATTAAACAACCAATAACGGAGAAGGGGACCTCATGAGGTCGCATCAAGTGTCAGCAGGCAAGGGTGGTATGATATATCGAACGCCATATAGCTAGATCCAGGTGTGAAGGGTCCCATAATGGGGAATTAAACGCTATTAGCGCGCGGGAGGGTGAGTAGGTTAGAGACACAGAACTATGTCCATCGTGGGTGAGTGATCGGTCGTTATGGAAGAAGTAAGAGGAAAGTTGAAGATGGATGTGATACATGAATATACCTCCGAACCAAGGAAATGAAGTGAAACGGTAACAGGTGGAAGCTGGAAGGGGTGGCAATTCATGCAGCCTTCAGCTACAGATACATTACATGAAAACCTTGATACGTAGGATGTCAAGCTTCATTGTAGAGGAGCCGTGTTCATGAATACATAATGTGAATGAAGTTCATGCAGCCGCGGGGAAAATAGAACGTCTGCACAGGCGACTAGGTAATTTGAGGCCTTGGATCACCCTTACTGTTTTCCTATATCTGAGGCGATTGACACTGATGGCAAGATTTGTACATGATGTGTATATTACGTATTAAATACAGAGGTATTTCTTCAATGCGAGAGGTTTGAGGAGCATTTAGGAGTTGGGGAGTTGGGGAGTCTCCAAATGAAGCATGCACGTACACCAACAAGCACAAGAATGATAGTATCGATAACAAAGATTCATCATAACATAAAAGTATCATGCAATTCCTATTAGCAGCCGAGCATGTAAGAAATCTGCCCAGCTGCAGCTCCACGACCGACGGAAGAAGAAGAATTCATCGGGCATTTGCAGAAGAAAAGGTGGGGCACTCAGCATCCGTTACATACATACATTACAGTACGATATCAAATCTAACACTGCCTGCCATACAATACCATACATACATCAGGCTACATCGACGAGATCAAGCTCAAAGTCTAGCTCAATACTGATGACACCTCATAAACACGACGATTTCTACCCAGGCAAAATTGAGAAAGAGAAAGGAACCACGGGAGAATCAACTGCTCATTCAATTATCCATCTCCGTAATATAATCCTCTCGTGTATATGTTGTTTCGTCTGGGAACACCTTTCTAATCCACCTGCACTCCTTAAATTTTTGGCTGAATCTCAAAACGACTTGACGATAGAACGAAGCTATATATTACCCTACATACCGATTGCATATTTTGATTCCTACAGCTCGTGATTTGTCGAGGGATCTAAGACCAAGACCAACGGGGAGCCGACAGGATACGCAAGGTAAAGGGCGAATAAACGAATGGGATCTCTTTGAACTTTGAGCAGGGCCCTTGTACTGGATTTTGCAGTGAGATTACCGGTATATGCATAACCCAACCCATCATCGAGCGGACGAACGAAGAGAAAGAAGAAGAACGAGAGATTCTGCAAAGGGCCTGGACGCATACATGTGAATGAGTCAAAGAGGGACGAGAAGAAAAAGTTGGAAGGAATTGTCATTCATTGGAGTATTTTGCCGTGATTGATTTGTACTGAGTTACGGAGTCGGGATTCTCGCATCAAACGAAGAAGTCGAGCAGGGAGAGGGAAGGAAGATAACAGATATTGGGAAGGGTTAAGTATAATTAATACCTTTCTTTGAAGAACGACTCTCGTCGATTTGCATCAACAATCATAGAATCCAAAGACATATAAAGAATAAACACGATACATACGATACGTACGATACATACGATATACACGGGATCAATATATGGTCCAAATCTATAAGCATCGACAATCCACTTTCACTTGGCCGGATCATCTCGTCACTCTTTGATTCGACTACTACTTGCTCATTTGTCTACTACCCTCGCTCCTACATCACACATACATATCAGATACTCCAATACTCCAATACCCCCTTTCCGAATCCATTCTCGGCATCTGAAGCGCCCAGTCGTCGGCCAATCTGGAACTTGACTCCAATACCCCGTCTCCATCTTTCTCTCCGTCCATCATTTATCCCGTACTCCGTCCATCGTCCATTGACATTATCTCCCATTCTCTCTGCGCCCCCTGGTTACTTCTTGGTACTCATTACATATATTTTGTACCCCTACTGGTACCTCTACCATTACATCCATTATATCTCCATTTGCTGTGTGTGCACTTGGCGTAACCCATTCGAGGCCTTTCTTCATTTCTCGCTCGATCTCGCAGGTCCTCGCCCGTACCATCCACCTTTTTTATATGCTCATGGTGTGTCGCACCCAGTCAAACCACATAAAGTACCAAATTCCCAGGCGACTCCAATAAAGTTTCATCCACCACGCCCCCAAAGCCACTCTCCGAGCATCCAAGACATTTCGATATCGATACACCCAGACGCAGTCGAGCAACGGAGAGGAAAGGAAAGGAAAGGAGGTGAAAGCAAGTGAAAGCAAAGAAAATCTTCATTCATCAGCCAGACGCAATTCACATCACATCACGTACCAACATCACGGCAACTGGATAGATAGTGTGGATATTGATCAATCAATCAATCAATCAATCAATCATTCCATCATTCCATCAACCGACCAATCTAACCCAACTTAAGCCTCCCCCAAGAAGGATCATCCATCTTGATATCATTTCCATTATTATTCCGATATTCGATTTCCTCCCAGATTCCCTCACTCTTTTTGAGGTTCTCTTGCGTGGGTACGGGATTATTACTATTCAAGGCTTGGTTGTTGTTACATTCCGCTTCTTGTTCTTATTGTCGATCATTAATTATTACTCTTATTACTCTTATTATCATTACTATCATTACTATCATTACTACCTACCACCATACATATCTATTTCCTACGACCGATACTCCGACCGATATCACTCTGGACCTTGATCAATTGATGATCCGATTTATCTTAAGGCTTGAACCACTTTTAAGCTTTGCTCAAGCTTCCATTGCACATCCATTAATTAATCAAAATTAATCAATCAAATCATTCGTTATTTTTATATTTTTACTCGTTATCCTTATTATACTCCGTCCGCACTTTGGTCCCTTGGTCTTGGGGTTAGAGTTATATATCTGATTCGTTAAAAGTCCCCTCAACTCACCACCTCTTCTTTGCCATACATACATACATACATATCTATATTAATTGATTCTAATAACAAAGGAGAGAAGGGAAAATTTAAAACGACAACGACGACGTGGAAAAGAAGAATTCGGGTGATTTCTCAGAATTGATTTATCTTTTATTTTCCTGGATAAGAAAAGAGAGAGAGAGACGGAGACAGAGGAAGAGACAAAAGAAGAAGGGACGGAGTAGGAAAAGAGTGAGAGTGAGTAGGTGAGAAGTGAAGAGAGAATTGAAAAGTGGAAGAAGTAGGAAAAGAGTGAGAGAGTGAAGTGAAGTGAAGTGAAGTGAAGAGTGAAAAGAGTGAAAAGAGTGTGTGAAGTGAAGAAAAAAAAAGAAAAAGAGAAAGAAGAAAAAAAGGAAAGAAGCTCTCGCTCTCTCTCTCTCTCTCTCTCTCACCTCTCCATTCATTATCATTATCATGTTCCAACCACAACCCACACCCTTTTCACCCTTCTCTACATATGGATTAAATATATCTCCACAACCGCAACCTCCTCCACCACTTCTGGATTTCAACAATTTTCATCACAATCACAATCACAATCACACCACTCACCCTCACCCTCACAATCACCCTCACAATCAAAATCAAAATCTTAACAACCACAACCACAACCACAATAACAATAACAACCACAACAATCACAATCACAATTCAATTTCAAACACGCAATCACTTCATCAACACCAACACCAACATCCTCATCCTCATCCTCATCCTCAATCCCACTCTCAATCTCAATCTCACTCACACTCCAATTCGCATTCGCACTCTCACCCTCACCCTCATCCTCATCCTCAACCTCATCCTCTTAACCATACACATACACTTACACATACACACTCACAATCTCACGCCCAACAACAACAGCGCTCAAATTCTCTCTCTCATTCCTCTCCCTCGGCATGTACACCACCAACAACGACAGCTATCGTGGATAATCTAAACTCAATTGTTGTTGCAACTCAACCAGGACAAGGTACGACGGCGGGACGCGGACAAGGAAATACCCTGCAACAATTCCAACAGCGACATCCACAACAACCAATTTTTAATCCCATCAATAGTAGCGCTTCGAATTCGAACCCAAATCTGACGGGCACTATCAATCTACCCCACAACACCAATACCAATTCTTCTCTACCACCATTGTTCGCACATCATAGTCAGCAACAATACAAAATGGAGGATAATGGTGTCAGTGGAGTTAGTGATATGGAAGCACAGGAAGCTTTAGCTCGGGAGTTTCAACCAGCGTTGGAGGTATGAATTTTAATTTTTTGGGGTATCATCACAGAAGCTTCAAAATAGCTATGAATTGGTGAGATTTTTTGAGTACAGAGCGTGAACTGACAGCACAGTAGGGTCCATTGGTGGGGGAAAAGAAGAGCAGTCTGGCGATAGCTGAAGAGTATGCAAAAGCTGACCCAATTTATGTTTCGAAAACTTCTGTAAGTGTTCTATACCAGATGACATCCTCAACGCTACTCACGACTAACAATTGGTGATAGGCATTACCTCAGAAGTATTCTCATTATCGACCGATTCTTGGCGATGGAAATTGTGGATGGCGGGGTAAGTCTTCTGAGCTTGGTGCTTGATGATACCCGTGCACAAACAACATGATATTCGCCGTCAAGAGACATTGCTATGGGTAGAGCTGATTTATTTGGTGTTTAGCGGCGGGATTCTCCTACTTTGAGACTTTACTGAGAATGGGAAATAGAGGTCAGGTAGAGGAAGAACTAGCAAGGATATTATCGCTCAACAGTCTACTCACCACGGCTGGAGGATTCGATGCGTGGATCTTTGAAGATATGGTAGAAGAAACTACCACGTTGTTGAGAGACATGGCAGATTTGATGGATACCTCTATCCAAGCTGCCGAATCCTTGATCTTGGATCGATTCAACAACTCGGAAATCTCGAACGCTATCGTATACCATTTTCGATTATTGGCTAGCTCTTGGCTCAAAGCTAACCCTCAAAATTACCAAGGATTTATACCAGACGGCGGTGGTGTCGATCAATATAGAAAAGAATGGTTGGAGCCACCTAATCAAGAGATAGATCATCTTGGTATGACGTTGCTCATCGACATTTTACTAAAACCTACTCGATTCTCCGTTGAGATTGTCTATCTCGATCGTAGTGAAGGAACACAAGTCAACAGTCACATGTTCCAAGCTGAAGATTCAAATGGTCAGCCCACCAACCCAGGAGGTCCAATTATATACCTTCTCTATCGACCTGGTCATTACGATATCTTGTATAAAGATCTTGTACGGCAAAGTATTGATATGAGCTCAAATATTCAAGTCAATCGAGCCACGAATTTTACTCATCAACACTCGACTGAAGCACATCCTCCTATGAATCCATATCAAACTATGGATCTCCTCCTCAGTATTCCGGGTGTCAGTTTCGCATCACCATATTCGAACTTTGGTACGCAATATCAATCACCGATGTCTCAAGCATTTGCTCCTGCGCCATCGACCGCCTTATCACCCATGTCACCTACAGGGAATTCAGTCTCCACACCACAATCCACAACCTCAGTCACAAGTCTTCCCAATCGTTCAACATTTACTTCAATCAATACCCCTACCCCAATTATCACCTCTCCACACCCATTCAAAAATACACCAATCTCCCTTCCTATTCATACCCTACCTCCACCTACCCCTCATACTATCCCATCTCCTATTTCATTAGGTATACCAGCTGCAAGTTTTCGCCCAAGCAAGTACGAATGGGCGATATCGGCCGATTTACAAGAGGGACCCGTGCCCAGTTTTCAAACTAGCACATTTAAAAATAGTCATTATAATACAGCGCATTATAATAATCCGAATTTCCAACCAGAAGAATGGACGCCAGAAGAAGATGGCTTAGGTGTGGGTAGCAAAGGAGGAGGTGGAGGAGGCTATGGTGGATGGGCAAGAAAGAGGAGTAGTTGATGAGTGAGGTTAGGCATGGGACATGAAATGGGGGTTTGGGGAGGGAAAAAAATTATGATATTAATGATGCTGGTATTGGGGATAATTTTTTGTGTTCATATGTTTTAAGGGAGTTTCAAGGAACTTGATTTGGGGGATTTTGCGAAACATGCAAATTTATATTATATCATAACATGATGATTATAAGTTGATTTGAGAATTAAGTGAAATGAAGTCTATTTGAAGGTTGTTTGAGTGTGTTTTATTTAAATGATTGTTGTGGACCTAGGTATGGTTTGTTATATGTGGTTTGATGTGTGCTGAGATGTTGTATGTATTAAGAGATATTGTGTGAGGTGAGGTAGGACGGAATGAGATGAGATGAGATGAGATGAAATGAGATGTGATTATATGAAATGAGAAGTATTCAATCAAGTAGTGAGTAGATAGGTTATTAATATCTAAACGATTAGAATTAGGGTTAGGATTAGGATCATTAGTAGATAGATAGGTACACAGACTCACAGAACAACGTGACAAAACAGTACAAATTCATATCGTATATCAAAAAGAGTAATTTTAATCATTCAATTAAAACTCAATATATATATCATTGAATTCTTTTAAACATTGAATGTAAAAATTTAAAATAGAAAGATTTTATATCGTTTTAAGATTGAATTAGATCAAAAAGATTTAATATTAATATTTTTATATATAAAGAAAATTGTATAATTTTTTATTGAAAATTTTTAATGAAAATTTTTTAATGAAAAGATATATATGTTATTTTTGTAGTTTTTTCAGCTCGAAGATTCTTTCTTTCTATAAATTACAAGATGATTATTTTTATTATTATTATTATTTATTATTATTATTATTATTATTATTATTATTATTATTATTATTATTATTATTATTATTATTATTATTATTATTATTAGTATTATTATTATTATTATTATTATTATTATTATTATTATTATATTATTATTATTATTATTATTATTATTATTATTATATTATTATTATTATTATTATTATTATTATTATTATTATTATTATTATTATTATTAAAAAACTATATATCTTGGTTTTGAGAGGAGAATTTATTAAAATTTTATATTTTAGTTGAGTTGAGTTGAGTTGTAAAAATTAATCTTTTTCATATAAATGAAATTAAATTGTAAAAGTTCTAGTCTTTATTTATTGTATTTAAATCGTTTTCTTTACTAAAATTCTTATTTCTTTAACTTTTGAAATATTTATTCAATTACTAATTTGTGATTAAAATATTTAAAAAAAAATATTATTAATATTTAGTAGAATACGAAGTAAGAAAAAAAGCTATTTTATTTTTCTCTGATTTATTTTTTATAAGATTGTAAGGTTTGAAAGATAAAAAATTTTTTAAAAAAAAAATTTCGCTTATTTTGTAGGGGAAAAGTATTATAAATTGAAAAAACTTATTTTTTTTCAATTTTGAATTTATATAATTTCCTTACGAAAATGTTAAAAAATAAACTGTTTTATTTTTTTTAACTAATTTATAATTGTTATAATTATATACTAGAATATATCATAGAGGTCAAATAACTAGAATAAGAAAGCTAAAAAGGAAAGAGATTCTTAAGAGATCTCTTTATCTCTTATATATATCAGAAAAGACGTATAGAATAGGTAGGGTTTTTAGTATTAAGTATAGTACGTATTGTATTGAAAGCTATATACAATCCAGTTGACTATATCAATCAAGATGATTACGTAATACGCCTAATGCATTTAGCCTGTTTTCTACATCTAATTCAAACTAGATAGTCTTGAACTAGACTGTAATAAGTCATTATGTATGTCACGTTATATTCGTCATAATAATATAATTTATATGTAATTTAATTTTCGAAATAAAATCTTTTAAATTGAAAACGCGATTGATTTTTATATATATAATAAATACTATCTTTATAGGGATTTTATTATAAAATGTTATAGTATATAGTGAGTAGGGGGTAGAACTTTTATGTAGATATATATATAGGTATATATATGAATATAAACGTAGGTATATATGTGAATATAAATATAGATATGTGTGTGAATATAAATATATATATATATAAATATAGATATATATAAAAATATAAACGTAGGTATATATGTGAATATAAATATAGATATCTGTATGAATATAAATGTGAATATAAATGTGAATATAAATGTGAATATAAATGTGAATATAAATGTGAATATAAATGTGAATATAAATGTGAATATAAATGTAATATAATGTGATTATAAATGTGATTATAAATGTAAATATAAAGATAAATATAAAGATAAATCTGAATATGAATTTTATAAATACAAGAAGTTTGAAGAAAGATTTACGACGGGTTCTTTTTAGAGGCGTTCTTTTTTAGAGTACGGGCAGAACAGGAGAGGGGAGGGGTGATGCTGCTGCTGCTTATCTAATTATGAATAATGAAATGATGTTGATTTTTGGTGATGTGATAGGATGGGTCGTATTTTCATCTAGGGAGGGGGGGAGGGGGGGGAAGGGTAGATTCTAGGAGTGAATTTATGGGGTTGAGTGGGTTGATTGGGTTTGTGGATTGGGTTTGTGGATTTGGGTTGATTGGGGGAATCTCGGGGGGTTGCGGGGAGGATTAGAAAGGGAAGGGTAGGTAGGGCCGGTAAGGTAAGGTAAGATAGGGGAGTTGGTGAATTATGAGAAGATGGAATGGGAATGATTGATTGATTGACTAATCCATTGACTAATAGATGTGTGTAGGTATCTAGCGGGAACTAAAAATCAGTTCCCCGACGGGTAAGATCGAGATTTGAATTTTAGATGAGATCTAGAGGGTTGAGGAGGGGTAGGGGTAGGGGTAGGGGTAAGGGTAAGGGTAAGTTTAGAGGGGATTTGATGATGTGATGTGATGTGATGTGATGTTATGTATGTGATGTGATGTGATGAGAAGGAGATCGGAAATCTGGGCTGAGGTGAGATGAGATGAAATGAGATGGTAAGGAGGTATTTTATGTATTGTATGTGGATTATGTATATGTGGGTGTAGATGTAGATCTATACTAGGTATGTAAACGGATAATTCGGATGTGATATTAGGTTATGTAGGGAGAGATGAGGAACGAGAGTGAGGAAGAGAAGATGTGGATTCTGGATTATGAAGTTCACCAGGTTATGAAGTTATGATTTAGTAATCCAATGTATATATACGATACCCAGGTATGATTTCCAAAAGAATACTCGAGTAGCATAACTTAGACAAATCCTGGAAGAAATGAAGTTTGAATAAGTTATTCAGAATGATGTAATTTTCCTTTTCTGCTTGTGGATTACCTATTGATTTGATCATTGGGCTTTTCGCATCTAGATTCAAAACTGTGAGATCAGCCGAGATGCTCCGGTGATATAGTACATATGAGGGGCATTATCGGTATTAGATATATATGTATGTATGTATGTATGTGTGCGGGAAAAGGTCGGGATGGGGATGGGATGGGGATGAATATTAGGTAGGTAGGATTTGGGTTGGGAGATTTTATGTGATGATGATTGAATGAGTGAGGGAATGATTGGTTATTGAATTGAAGCAAAAAAGCTAATTTTATAAGTTTATGAGTAGTTCTTTGGGGGTTTAGTAGTTAGTATAAGGTTATCTAGGCTTTTGTTGGTTGTGGGTTTGTAGATTGGTTGATTTGAATTTTGGTACTGGTACTGCTGCATACCCCGAGTTGAGTTTCATGTGTATGTACCTACCTGTCTATACATATCTAAAGATCTAATTAATAGTTAGGTAATTTTGATAATAATTATTGGTACTCGTACTCCGTCCGAAGTATATTCAATGCATACCTCCCTAGATGAATGTAGTGAAGATCACTAATATGAAAGGATGTGGGGCTGTGAAGCGGCGGGGAAGTGGACAGGAGGAGAGAATGGATATTTGTATGATGGATTTGTGAAAAGGTAGGTGTGAGTAGAGAGGTATGATAGTTTTGTAATAGATGGGAATTGGACTGTGAAGATATATGAATATGTGAGTATTTTCTTTAAGGTTGATGATTGGGAAGCTGTAGATGGTAGGCCTGGGAGGAGAGTCTTTTTTTAGTAAATACCAGATACCTAGAGGCTCAGTGAGAGATGATAAAACGCAGGGTTGGCTTTGGGTTACTTGTGCGGCCAGAAAGTATGCAATTCCAATGCTATAAAAACCAGGTTGGTCCTCTTATAGTTTACCATCTTGTAGTATATACACCTAGCATCGGAGTTGCATACTTTCTGAAAGCATGAGTAATGGTAAGAAGGATCTAATGAAATTGGATTTAGGGAAGTATTAGGGTAGCTGAGTAGGCACGGTAGATTTTCTGCATTGCTTTTAGTGAGGAATGTCTCTTCTAATTTATTTTGTTGAAGATTTAATAGAGTGAGTGAAGTTGTCATTTTTTTTCTTTTCTTATTTCCACTTCTTTCTGGGGAAGAAAAAGAGAATGAAGATATGTAATACATCCTGAATTCGAATCTCAAGAAAATCTTCAACTCCAACTCTCACATCATTCCCGAAATCTCCGGGCTAAACAGCGTACGAGAAATATTATATAGAATAGGATGATAAATATCACAGATGACTCAGACCCATCCATGAAGAAGTAGGTTTTCACAAACTTTTCCTCTTTACTTCATTAAATTCAATCACATGTATAAGCGTATCGCATTCAATGTAGAGTTAACTATAATTAGATAGACTGAACGGATTAGGATTTACTACTACTAGTTTCGATTCAAGCAATTTTTATCTCAGATACTTGTGGACGTGTATGTTAGTTGTTAGTTCTCTTACTAATATACCTATGTATACCTAGGTAGGTAGGTAGTTCAAGTTCGGTTCGCTTGGATATCTAAGCGATGAATAATACTAAGATTATATATTGAGAAGTGATACTTAATACTGGAATCAAGAACTTTTATCTTTATCATCAATATACTAATACATGAGCTCAATAAAAGTTTGAGTAAAAGACTTATTTATTTTCGTATCGAGTATATATCGCTATGCTGAAATTCCGGCTATTTGTTTCGAAAGTCTTGGTTGAGTGAAGTCCTAGTCTTGTCTGTATGTGTGATGTGATATTGTAAATGATAGGATGGTGAGTATTATTGATTTTTATGAGGACTGCTTGAAGGAAGAGTGAATGATCTACTTTCCTTGAGTATTTTCTAAAATG